AATGGGTGTCCCAATAACAGACCTCTCTGAGCTAGGATCATACACATGCTCAACTCGCTGCACATACAAGAAATGGGCCTTCCAAGGAAGGGAAGCTTGTTAACATCACCAGGGTTCTAACTTGGTGCTGCAGGGACATCCCCTGTTTTTGTTGGAATTTTCAGTATTTACTTCCTAATGTGTTTATTGTAATTTTATGTTGTAGGAATTTTTCTATAACTACTGTATGTGAGCTGATGAGAGACCGTTTACACTGATGCCTTGTTACATGCAATCTGGTTACTGTACTAGTGGAAGATATTATATCTATTCCATCCTTTATCAATTCTGAGTCTTATTTTACCCATGAATAGTAAACAACTGTTTTTGTAACCTCAGTATCCCAGTTGGTACTTCAAACCACTTGAAGGACTAACTTATTGGATTATTAGAAAGGAATCCCAGTGAAAGGCTGGATTTTGGTAAATAATTTCAATGGCTTAGTTAAATTTACCAAGTAGTCTTAAAAACTACTAGTAGAAAAACGCAAAGCTTGCTCCTGGTAATTTGAAGCTGAATTGTATGAGGTAGATGTAGATGGAGGCTAAGGTGTGATTTTTCTCTAGATGTGATGCTTTTGGGTAATATAACCACAAATATTTCTATTTACTCATGTGCAAATGAGCTACTGCTCAGTTGATAATCTGAGAACAAGTCAGGGTACAGAGGAGAAAAGAGAACAGTATCATTGTGAACCGAAAAAGTTTTTTTTTTTGAAAGCATTAGTCTTCTACTGTAGGCTGTGCTAGACAAAGTTGCACTCTGGGCACAAAATACATTTAAATTTGTTTCCTAAAGAGGTGCAGCATTCTTGTAGGGGGTAATTTTCTGGGAGAAAAAGGAGGGTGGCTTGGTTGAGGATAGTCCTAACTTAAGTTGATTTGGCACCCATAATGCATGTATCTTTAAGACATTCCATCATTAACTTGTGTATCAAGCACCCATCAGGGCAATGATTATGAAATATATATGAACTTATTTTTCTGTTTGCAGGTGAGTTCTTTGTTCATCCTTTCTTGACTGGCAGAGTTCCCCATATGCATGCAAGTAAAAACTTCCATGTATCTTACTAATAGTGTTAAGTATAGGCATTTACAGCTGTAGGCAGTTAAATGGAACAAAGAAAGTAAAATGAATGAGATATTTGTTCTAGAAAGAAATCCATACCTATAAAAATCCATTTCTGTGAAAACTTTCATTATTTTGACCCAGATCCTTCTAAAAATACAGTTGACTTTAAAAATGTAAAAGCAACTAATAGTTACTTAAGATTTTAAGAGTGGAATTAATTTATTAACCCCATAACTCCCATGAGTTACCAAGACTTAATTTCTCCTTACAATTTTGAAACAACATCAAGCTGACAAGTGATGATTTTTCAATATCTTTCCACATGTATATAGCTACCCCTGGTCAGCTGTTGTCCCAGTTCATCAGTGTAAATGCTCTGGCAGTTCTCATGGAGCAAGGTCACCTTCCTATTCCCCAGAAAGTGTGCCATTATCATTGATAGTATTGTAACAAATGTCTGTTCTTGTGGAGGGGCTAGTGCATATATAGTCTAAACAGCTCAGTTAGAGAGGGAAGGCCATCTAAGTAGTCAATTTTCCCTAAAGAATTGGCTCCAGTGTTCACAGGATGAGTTTTCTCTACATGTAGTAGATAGGCTTCAAGTTTTTCCAAGGACACATATCCCCCAGAACAGGCATTTATGTGGGAAACAGTGTTATGCAACCTTCATGTACATGTATCAACTACCTGGGCTAGAGACTTACTTTAAACACTAGATTTTTCTACAAATGTTACAAATCCATTTCTTGGCAAGAAACTGACTGTGCAAATCATTTACATGTAATGTGAAAACATGGTTAGCCAGATAGATATGCAGTGTAAGAATGTCAAAATAACTAACACTTTAATCTATTCCATAAATTTGAACAAGTTTCTCTACTTATTATGAAGTCAAATAAAGTCACCTGTTTAAAGTATCCTTATTTTGTTTTTCTTTTCTTTGTTATTCTCTGAATTTAATTCAACAGAACTTTGGTGCAGACCCTTGCAAACTGAATTCCCAGTTTTTCAGGGAATTCCTCGGAATTCTCAAAAATTCCCAACTATCAAATATTCAAGCTTTGGGTGACATAAGAGTTGATCTTCTTCATCGCATCACTCCACCCTATAATGGCACAGGCATTTCCCCTCAGGACCCTCCCACAATTATAAATATCTGCACCTCTGGGAACAGTGAGTTAATATTGGGAAAGGCTTTGAATTTTGATGAATATAGAGAGGTATAAAGAGGACACATGATAGCATAATGTTTAGCATGCCAAGCACTGGACATTGTTGTACAAACTTCAAACTGCACAGGCAAAAATTCTGTAAATAATGAATTTTTGTTGAGGCCTACTGGCTGTCTTATAGTTCTGCAAGTTATAGTTGTAATGTGAATAAAGGGGATAAGTTTCTGTAGAAACTGTGGTGCAGCATTGGTGGGAGAGTAATTTAGTGTTATCAACTGAGTTGAGTACAGAAATTGGCCACCATAAAGAATGAAAAGCTGGCAGTTTGAGCATTAGCCCTTCTTCCAATCACAATAATACTAAATTACCCTCATTTATAGTTGTGATGTGTTCCACTGCCACTTTTTTCTACTCATTTGATTGTTTTGGGGAAAATGTGATGACTTGCAAATGTCTTGGTAATAAATGGTTGTGTACCTGGTATATGCAGGGTTTAGAAGTGCTAAATTGTCAAAACTGGAATTGGAAAGTATATATTTATTGTTTATATTTTATCCCTTTTTTGTTTGTTTATTTCAGACTCAGGTGCACAGCTCAGTTCTCGAGGTGCCTACCCTCCAAATGTAGTGCAAGGTGATGAGCTAGCTGCTGAGATTTGTTTGAGAGTACTTAATACTGACTTGCCACTTAGTTTTAAGCCTGCATATTAATCCGATGCACAAGATATGACAGACTAGCTGTTAGTTAGAGCAGCATTAAAGAAGAGGGCTAACACCCCCTTCCCCTGTCAAGCTCCCTGTACTAGGTGCTACAGTTACTATAGTGTTGCCTGGGGCATGTGTCTCCAAAACAACCAAATATGCAGTTCCCCTACCCTAGATCTTAATTGTTTTGAAAATACCCATTTCAAGCAAACAAGACACTGAGGCTGCAATAGAGTAATAAAATGGCTGTAAATAACGAACAAGAGTACACAAACCATGCCCTATTTCAGAGGTTGTCTAAAAGAGACTACCCCTCTTTAACTTGAGACTTCAGTTACTATTCCTAACCCCTCCTTGAGAAATGTATTTCTTTTTAATTCCAATCATTATAAAATTCACCCTTAGCAATAAGGGTTTTGTGCTGGTCCCATCTAACCCAGAAGTGAGTATTTACAGTTGTTTGTACAGAATATATCTCAAGTCACATGTATACCTTGACAAAATCATTACCATGGCCTTCTTAATCTAAACTGCAATGCAACATACACATAATTCTGCAATTAGGATAATTTTAGATCTGAAGTTGTAACCTGCAGAGTGTAAAAAAAAAATTATGTCGTTCCATCATTTTCAAGGTCAAGTTACAACCAAACAGAATATGATTCTAAATCTTTCTTTTTAGTTACACAGTCCATTTAGAGGTTTTAGTTTTCACTATAAAATTTAGGATTTCTTCTAAAGAACAAGTATTAATGTCTGCCTCAATGATTTAATTTTTTCTGGTCTTAGTTTAAGTAGTAGGAACAATTATAAGACTTTCTCAACCTTCACATGTAAATGGAGAACTGTACTCGACAAGAATAAATCATCAAGCTAATAATTTTACTTTCTCCTTTAAGTGTTCATGCACTGTCAGGCAGAACGGTGCCAAGAAGAAATGAAAATATCAATATGGGAAGTTTGTTTGGTTTAAAACTGAATTCTCAGAGCTTAGACTAGTAGAAGTGTATGGTGGAAAGAGGGAGAATTGATATTTTTATCTTGTTGGTTGAAGGGTGTAATAAGATGAATTTCAATTTGTCTCCAGGATATCATCAGCAGAGGCATCATTCTGATCCACTGTTTCCTTTCTTTGGGTAAGTATTCTCTCTCATTAGTTCTGCAGATTTATTTAGGATCAATTAAAATGATACTGTAATTTCTTCCTTTTCCAAAGCCAATCATCTCCAAGGACTGTGAGAAGTCCACATTCTCCTCCATCGTAACGCACTCCTCAGAGAGCCACCTTTCTAGTGGGTTCGCCACAGTCAGCATCCCCAGTCTCCTAACCTTCACCTCTGGTACAGGCCCCGCCTGCTCTTTCCCCATTGTCATCTCCATCATCTGCAGAATCCCCTCCAGTTGAAATCCCAATAAGGAAGCGCAAAGTTCCTCTCCAGGACCTACACTAAGGGGTCAGCCATAATCCTCTCCTCTGCCTATTCCACGCAGTGGAAGTGTACCCAAACAGGCACCCTCTCGAACTCCCCCATCCCCTACTCACCATGGAGCTAGTTCAGGCGTGACTCCTAGAAAGCAAAGAGTTGGCACTCCGTCCTCTAAACCTTAATATGCAAGAGCCCTGGTGCATTGAAAAGTGGCAGCAGCCGAAAAATAAATAATACATCCCATAGTACGGAGGCTAGAGATCCCATGGTTGATCCTGACAATGAGATGAAGCCCTTGAAGGGTCTCTTTACTGTTGGGTCGTGTTCGCCAAAAACGAGCGAGAATATGTTTCTACTAGGGAAGAATTCACTAAACACGACTAAGAATGGAGAGAAACCTGCTGTTGTTAGTCAAGGTAAACATTACGTGTTAGAGTGATTTTCGATGGAGTGGCGTGGAACCAAAACCAAAGTAGTTACAACTACCAATCAAGCGAAAGGCATAAAAGAAGGAGACTTTACCTTATCGCGAAATATTTGGTTTTACTTAGATGTGACTTACTAAGGTTCATACATTTTGCAGGAAAATGGAACAGCTGGTACTGTACGTGAAAGCTCTACGAGCTCTTAAACTGTCTCTTCTCTTCGCGCAAGGAGAAATCAGAGTTGGCCACCAAAAACCCTCCAACGCCGTCAAGAATGGTGAGACAAATAGATGCTCTGAGGCCTATCCCTTTTCTACGAGTGCTTGTAACAAGCCTGAACGAAGCATTAAGTTTTTATATTATCTTTGTTTACAATTTTCAGTTCTAAACGACTTGAACAGTCGATATCACCAGTGTTTGGAGAAGGCGTCCAAACTGAAGCAGCTCTTAGAACCTGGACTACAGACACTTGATGGAAAATCTATGACGGTGAGCTTACAACTTATATGCGTTAAATCCTTTCGAGAATTAAATCAGCTTTCTGCAACATAATTGCTTTGGTTTTGCTACTGTTCGCTTTGCGATTGGCGTAAAACTTTGCACCATTGCCGCTACCAAAGAGTAATATGCAGAGCTTATATCAATCGTGGCTTGGTCACTCGCGTTTCCAAGCTTCAGACGAGTTTCGTCCATTTGAGCTGAATTCTCATGGGCCATTTTCAAAATATGTCTTTGTGGAATGGGTTGTTGTGATGAATGTTATTTTGTTTTGGGGAAACCTCATTACAAAGGGTGGGGCTCTAGGTCACGTGCGTTCGAGTGACCTCTCCGCTCCTTTTCTGCACTCTTTGTTCTCCTTTTCCCCCACCCCCCTCCCTAGCCCCCCCTTCCATCAGTATTCCCTGGATACTGCTCAATTCGAACTGTCTTGCTGGTGCTTTGTTTTCAAACGCCTAGAGGTGAGCTGTGGCGAGGTTGCTTCTCTATCCACTGCTTCATTTGACGCAGAGTAAAATACATCTTATATCCTTCTCACAGGTCAGCGCTGACAGATTGATGTACCATTACGCCATGGAACAGGTAACTACCTTTAACGTTGAGGCATGCCATTCGCTATTTGCTAGATCTTGTATTTTTTATCAAGTTTCCTCCTGTTTTTGTTTTTGTTTTTGATTCTTTAGTGTCAAAATGCTGCCCTCGACGAGGTGTTCGGAAACCCAAAAGAGGTGACTAACAGTCATTTGTTTGTTCCACGTGTTCATTGTTTCTTGTCAAGTTCTGTTTTTTCTCGTCTATCAGCAGTTTAAAATGTTTTTCTTTATTCTCTCTTTTAGTCTAACTCCAAATTTTTTTCAGTGTAAGGTCAAGTACGAGACTGCTCAGGTTTTACTTCAAGGCCTGGAGGAAGAAGCTCATACTGACGAAGATCGGCGTCTGTTGAATAAATGTATCCTTTGGTCTCGTTTGTGGCGCCTTGTTTGCGCCGCCTCAACGAAATAATTACAGACTCCGAATACTGAATATCTTTTTTCTTCTCCCTCCCCACTAATGCCACCCAAAAAGATAAAGTTACTGAGGTCTTTTCATCTTGAATAAGGTGCACTGTATACCATGTCACAAAAGTATTTTAAATAAGGGAGGAGTAGTCTTAAGCAACGCTGGGCATAACTTAATGTCACTTCAGAAGAATAGAGAATTGAAAGATTCTGCTTTGTGAAAGACCACGGAGTGCTTACCATTCTATTCCTTCCCATGTTTCAATTTTTTGGAACACCGCGAGTTAACCAATAAAAGTGTTAATTACATAGTCATTACTTGGGTGGCGTAGGCTATTCACAATGTAATGCCTTTAAAATGGTGATACAACCAGTTACATCAAGCCCTATATAGACGCAAATTTGTGAACCAGTGTCACTATTTACCAGCTTGACGATTGGTTCCTTAACGAAAACTGTAGATAAAATCGCCGTAGATAAACGGCTGACGTGTATTTCCAGGACGAGGACACGCAAAACCAGTCAAAGTAACACCAGATAATCAGCGCAGGGCAGGCAGTGAACTGTTAGGTGCACTGTGGGCATATGTCAGCGTATGTGAATGGAGTGGAATGGACGTTCTGGTAACTGAGGAGAATACCGTCGATATTGTTTAGTAGTAGGGCATTCATTACTCTTTATTTTATAATCCTTGAAAGAGAGCATAGAATTGCAATAATCATTTGAACTTCAGAGTGAGAGAATCGAACGTTGTTGAAGTTGTAACTCTAATATAAATAATCTGATACGGGACGTTTGGTTTTTGTTTGTTTGTTTTTGCTTGAAATCTTGTATTTATTTCTTGGAAAAAAGTACTGCTGCTCTTATGTGGTGAGCAGATAGGATGGCCAATTTTATCTATATTTTTCGTCACGTTCAGACCTTGCAGTTTGTATTTGCAATGGACAAGATTTCTCCAGCAGAAGTTCAAAATTGTTAAGGACTTTGTTTCAAACTCACCTTTGATATATTTAAACGATGTTTAGTGATTATCAAAACCTAGCAATATTTGCGTTAACTTTTTTAACTAGTTACTTACGCTTTAATGTGTATAGAATAACGAAAATCTTTGGAGGCACTTACACAGAAGTTAAATTAAATATCGGATCGTAACTATTCCTTGTTACTAAGGCCATAGTTATCATTGGTCATGAGAAGTACTACATTTGAAATAGGACCACATCTCCCCTAGACATAATTTTTACCATGGGTGAAATTGCTACTGCCTTGTACAAATACGCTTGGGTAAACAGAAAAGTATTGTATATAAAGTAAGCGAACATTTAAAAAAAATGGAACATGATGAAAAGGTTTATAAAATGTGAAATTTTACGTCGCTATTTTTAGAGTCGATAATTTAACTTAATATACGTATGGACGGCGTTTGCTTGAGTTTAAATTTATAAGTGATAATTCATTGAGATTATTTCGCTACGCAGCAAAAATTGTCATGGGATAAATTTATTCGCGATTTCCAATATATAAACGCTATTTGTAAAGTGAAAATTTTGCTCTCTGATGAAGAGAATTATAAAAAGTGTTGTCATGAAACTTCAAAACAAACAAACAAAAAAAAGAATAAAAGTAAAAAGAAAGTGTGAAACTGTTCCAGTGTGTTCAGTTATTTAACCCGTCTTCTGACCTGTGGGTTGTAGGGTTTATTTCAGGAATTCTCCGGGATAGCGGCGATTCAGGTATTGCTGGTGACATTGCAAAGTTCGTTTGAAAACTGAGCAATCAAAGGATCCTTTATGGCCTTAGTTTTGCGAAGGAAATCTCCTAACCATACACATAACAAAATATATTGCGATGAATAATCATAGCCATTCTGTCATCACTAAAGGATTATTCACAAATTGTTGCCTTCGTTGTTATCTGTCTGTATGGCCACTTAGGATTGTTACTGTAAATGCGAAAATGCGTTGATTTAATTGGTAGAGGGTTAAAGGACTTTTCAAAACTATATGCAGAATGTCACGTTTAAATATTAAAACGTCTGATTTCCCCCCTGGAATTTTATATAAAAATATTCCTTCGACAGACCGAAAATCAAGAATCAGAAGTTGGACCTTAAATTCAAGTCTAGTTCCCAGTGACCTCACTTGAGTTCCCTTAATCGTTCGTCGCTCGTTTCATTTGGAGAAAAATGTTTTTCGTCTTATCACATTCTATACTCCTAGCAGTATGCAGGACGCGTGACACATATGAGCTTCGTATTGGGCCTTGCTCACCAAAGAGTCTGTGGCTCAGTGGTAATGCATCAGAGGGCAGTCGTATCTTCGTCAGGGGAAGATTTTCGTATCTCCTCGCTGGTACCTCTTTTTCATCGTATTTCTTTCCCTAATTATCTGAAACCCTCTACAAAGTCAAGGTTTTTGCAAACTTTTCTCTTCGGTAGAAAACTGTTCAAAGCTCGACACGTAATTAAAATGCTCGGCTATATCTTAAAAAACTAGCAAGCCAACCTTGCTTGAAGTTAAGTCGGCGACCGGTTTCCACCATTAAGGCAAACTCGCAAACGCCCCATTCCCCTTTCTCTCCAAACTGAATCCGCCTTTTAAGCGTACAGGTCTACTCAATCAATTTTACCGGCCAATTAATCTCCGTAGAGTGGCAAGCGAGGATCCTCTCACTTTTTCCGAGCGCCATCTTGAGGTCCAATCAGAAATCAGGAATCGGTCCACGTACACACACTCCTTAAGGGTTTATAACAGTCAGGTCATGTTTATGAGCTCATATTGGTCAATTCTGTTTTTAAAGCAAAAAGAAACAGTAGCGTGACTAGCGAGTGTTTTTTGGTGGAAATTAACGTTAAAGATTTATTTTTTTATTGAAGTGTATTTTGTGTCTGAGTTTCGCAAACCTTCAATTTGGAGTAGTTTGTTACACAGGTCAAGCTTTTCTCAGAAATAACCTGCCTGTAAATAATTCTTAGAAGCCAGACATCCACAGTCTGTATAACCTGCCTTGATTGGTCGATATTACCAGTGCGATAAACATGATAATTGATTTTAAAAAAGATTTCCTTGAGGCAACTTCAAGTTGATACCTCTACCTTTGTCTGTTGTACTCAGTCATGGATGTAAAAAAACCTTGCTTGACAATCTTCATGAAGAAGTATCCTGTTCTGTGTGTATGACCACATTTACTGAACCAAAGATACTGCCGTGTTTGCACACTTTCTGTCTTCACTGCTTGAACGGGATTTTACGAACCAGTGGCCGCCATGATATCATCCCATGTCCTGAATGTCGAAGAGAAGTTCAAGTTCCTAGCAGTGGAAACCTCAAGGATCTGCCAACAAACTTTCGTATCAACAGTTTGCTAGATGTGCTGGCCATCAAAGAATGCCATACTGCTGGAGTGAAATGTGCAAACTGCGACAAAAGTAGCAAACACAGTTCGTACTGTTTTCAGTGCTGTGCGTTCTGGTGTGACGAGTGTATCACTGCGCATAACTTAGTCAAAGCGAATAAAGAGCATCGAGTTCTTGCTCTGAAAGATTTTGAAGATCAAGACATCGAGGACGTGTTAAAGCGGCCGGCATTTTGCCAACAGAAGCATCACGAAAAAGAAGAACTCAAGCTCTTTTGCAAGAACTGTGATGTTGCTATTTGTAATTTGTGTGTTGCAACCATCCATGATGGTCACGCTAAGATTGTTCTAGAAGAAGCAGCAAGTGAACGCAAGATACAAGTCAAGTCTGTGATCGAGAAGCAAAAGAAAACTATTGAACACAAAAAAACCAAAATCGCTGATCTTGAAAGACAGTGTAACCAAATTGAAGCGCGAGGCGATGCAGTGAAACGAGACATCCACAAGTTTGCTGAAAACATGATCGCAGTCATTGAAACAAAGAAGAAGGAAATGTTAAACAAAGCTGAAAAAAAAATCAAAGAATCCCTTGGATGTCTGCGAACTCAACAATGCGAGGTGATACGTCAATTGAAACTGCTGGAAACTACAGTTGAAAAAACTGAAACACTTGTAAAACAATGTACAAATGCCGAGATTACTCAGTTAGATAAGTCACTGAGCACGGTCATACCCGAAGAAGTCAGTGATGTTGGAAAACAAGCCGCAGCTGACCTTGAAGGTCTTCGTCAATTCCTTTTCAAAGAAAACAAAACATTTGTTGATAGTCTTAACTCTGACGGCATCGGCTCATTTCAAACTTTTGTGACTAACACTTGCGCTCATCAGTCAACTACCGAAGGGAAAGGACTCAGTGAAGCGAGTGTTGGACTTGAATCAAACTTTTTAGTAACCACAAGAAATGCCGAAGGAGAACAATGTTACAATGAGAGTGACTGTGTAACCGTGGAAATAAAAAATCAGCGAGGCCATGACTGTGCGACGGAAGTACGATTCAAAGATGAGAAAGATGGTAGCTACAAAGTCAGATATTTCCTCAAAGATACAGGAAAATGCCAAGTATCAGTGAAAGTAAATGAAGAACACATTCGTGGCAGTCCATTTCCTATTAAACCGAAACCCAGACAATTCAGACACGTGTTATCTTTTGGACGACGAGGTTCGTGTGCTGAAATGGTAAAAGCTCCATACGGAGTAACAGTGAATGAACGAGATGAAATTGCAGTGACTGATACTGATAACCACAAGGTTCAGGTATTCAGTAGTGATGGAACTTACTTAAGATCTTTTGGTAGGATTGGTGATAAACAGGGAGAGTTAAATTGGCCTGCTGGGATAGCATTTGATAAGAATAGTCGCAGTATAGTTGTAGACAGTGATAATCACCGAGTTCAATTGTTTAATGAGCAGGGTCAGTACCTGAGCCAGTTTGGTGATGAAGGAAATCTTGATCACCAGCTGAGGGATCCTTTGGGGTTATCTGTTGACACGAATGGAAATATCATTGTTGCCGATGCGGGCAACAAACTTATAAAAATCTTTTCTCCCAGTGGTCAGTTTTTGTATAAACTTGGTGAAGGTGAAAGTGGACATTTTACTTCTCCTTTTCACTGTATTCAATATGATAAATTTCTTATAGTATCAGACGCTGGTGAACATTGTATCAAAGTGTTTGATATAAACGGCAACTTTTTGTACAAATTTGGAAATCAGGGGAACAGGGACGGGGAGTTTAACGAGCCCCGTTTTTTATCAGTTAACAAAGCAGGACACCTGATGGTCTGTGACACAAAGAATCACAGAGTTCAGGTATTTGAACTGAATGGTAATTTTGTAACAAAGTTTGGAAAACTAGGGAGTTGGCTGGGGGAGTTCGGCTCGCCAACATCTGCAGCAGTTCTTAGTAATGGTAGGATAGTTGTGACTGAATGGTTTAACAGTCGCATTCAGATATTTGAGTAAATGTGGATAATTTATCTACCATCACATTCAGACTACAATTTACTTCTAAAAAACATTCTTTTCACCTAATCTTGAAATCATTTTCCAGATAGGCTTCTTGTTATAGTTTCAGTGAGAAGAACATTTTAGAACTTTGAGTAAGTGGATTCGATTTTGTGCATTGTCTAGTTATCAGTTCACGCTTTAATGTCCCATTTTTTTCTCTTGCTCACGGTAATCCCAAGAAAAGTGTTTTCTTGCCTTGGTTATTTTGCCTAAATGAATGGAAATTAATTAAATGTAGATTAAAATGACACGTTTTGAAGTTTTCGGGAGAAGCCATTAGAAAACAATAAGTCAACTGCAAACTGGTTATTGTCATTTTCAATCAAAATCGCTAAGATTTCTTTCACAAATTGTCGTTGTTGCTTCTAATTGTCGTTTTTCCATGAGCTTGAATGGACAACACTTTTACTTTTCTTTTGTTGTTGGCTATTTTCTTTTCTAATGGCTCGTCCTTCAGTTCACTCGTTATAAACGAATAATGCTGGTGTATATATCAGTGTAAAGTTACACGGAGCTGCACGTCAAAGTGATGTTGAACCCAATAATGTTTGCGACGTGATTATTTTATTCATGTAAATCACGCAGTGTTTGCCGGAAAAATTGTAACTGTAAAGAAGCAACGTCATTAAAATCTAAGGTTTTTTTTATGTTTCGATTCGCGTGCAAGAATCCAACCATTGTAATTCTAGTTTGTTAGGGAGGACAAACAAAAGAAATGTAAACAATATGATTGCGTATTCGTTATTGAAAAAGAAACAAAAATTGATTAAAATTTTCATAGAGTAAGGAAAACCGTTCTAGTGTGTTCAATTATTTCAGTAGTATTCAGTACATAACTTTTGATGCCCGCGGAGTGTTGATTTTGATGAGATCTCCAAGGTAGCAGCGAAGTTCAAAGAAAGACTCAGATGTTACTGATCACATTGCAAGCTCGACACATAGGCAAAGTGCTCGGCCATATGTTGAACAAACAGACCACCTTCGCTTGGAGCAGGAGGCCGCTTTGGATTTTCATACGGAAGATGCAGCGATAAGACAATGCTTACCAGTGCCCAATGCTTACTCTTCTCCGACTCACATCAGAAGTGGAAATAGCGAACGAGGATCTTTACACCTCTGTTGAGTTCAATTCATCATGAGATGCGCGCTGAAATCCACGACTTTAATCGGGTTAAAATCCGTTCCGCAAGAGAATAAACACTTTATATGCTCTTGCCCGTTCTTAAACTGATGTCACCCCCAACTGTTATATTGTTCACAATCTAGGATTTCGCATACACGAGAAGACACTATTTAGTCCTATTTGTAATTACCAGTAACTACGAAGTAACCTCAACCACGGGGTGTGGGGTTAGGAACACCTCAAATGTTTGAGGGTATGGTATGGTTTTTTTGATGTTCGAAGTAAAATTTCTTACATCCTTGTCAGTTACCTTCCCATTGACTTTGTCCGGCACTCTTTTTAAGGTACTAGTTGTTCACTTTTCGCTCTCAATAACTTGTAATCTACAAGTTATGTTTCCCTCTTAGTTTTCCCTCTAAGCTTTTATTTGTATATAGTTTATAAATAATATTGAAATTGTAAGATAGCATATTGTTATTTCATTTTAGCTTTTTTCTCGAAGATATTAGCTCTACAGCTACAGTGAATTTCGAGCTTAAATAAAGTATATGTATGTATGTATGTATGTATGTATGTATGTATGTAATAACATCTCCCCTTTTTACGAGTGTTTTATTCAGTTAGTCAGGAGCAGTTCATTGAAGGATTGAATGTCAAAATTGCACAGAATGTTGTCAGAGGTCTATCAGCCTGGAGAAAAATCTTATATGTGACTCGTCTGATATTTGCCCAAGTCACGCGTACTATCGGTCAAAAGTTGATTTTGAATTAGTCTGACCAAAGTCTGACCTCATTCTTGGGTCGTCCTCAATATCTCGTTCGTTTTTTGTTGTGATTTTCAGTTCACTTTTACTGACTGAATTTTGTAGATCTACTCTTGGCCAATTTGATGGCGGGTTGAATATGGCCTTTCCATGGCAACCGAACTTACAGGGAACAGCTGATTGATACTGTAACTTGTTCTTTTTCCTCAGCCAATCACCTCCAAGAACTGTAAGCAGTACACATTCTCCTTCTCATCCGCTACACACTCCTCAGAGAGCCACCTTTACAGTTAGTTCACCGCAGTCAGCATTCCCAGTCTCCCCACCTTCACCTCTGATACAGGCCAGCCCGCTCTTTCCCCATTGTCATCTCCATCATTTGCAAAATCCCCTTCAGTTGAGATCCCAATAAGAAAGCGCACAAGTTCCTCGCAGAGAAATGCATCAAGAGGTCAGCCGTCATCCTCTCCTCTGCCTATTCCACGTACTGGAAGTGTACCCAGACATATATCCTCTAGAACTTCCCCGTCACCCGCTCACAGCGGAGCTAGTTCAGGCATGAACCCTAGAGAGCAGAGAGTTGGCACCCCGTCCTCAAAACCGTTAGTAGGTAAGAGCCTAAATAGTAGCACAAAGGCATTGAAAAGTGGTAGCAGCCGCAAGCAGCAGAGGCAAGAAGCATAGGTTAGCCCCGAAGGATCTTCTATCCCTGAGATGACCGTAAGCCTGCACCAGCAAGCTTTTGCAGGATTTTCTAACACGAATGCTGATAACAGATTGGCACGGGGTGCAGCAGTGGGATTTTCCGAAGAGCTCTCTCCAATATTGAACCTTTGGTCACTCAGCTTCCCAATATTGACAGCTCTGGCTCGTCATTCAAGCTCAGGAATGGGTGTCCCAGTAACAGACCTCTCCGAACTAGGAGCAGACACCAAGCAGATCATACGCGTGGTTAGCTCGCCGGCCATACTAGCGATGGGCCTTCCAAGGAAGGGAGGTCTATTGACATGACTAGGCTTCCAACTTGGGGCTGCACGGGCAGCTCCCGTATTTCGTCGCAATTCAGGTGGTTGAAATAGTCCACCTGTTTCATCCTCTCCTACCGGACTTCCTACCATACCAGGCTCGCCGAGTAAGACATCCCATGGTAAGGAGGCTAGAGATCCCACGATTGAAGGGTCTTTTTACTGTTGGGTCGTGTTCGCCAAAAACTAGCGAGAACATGTTTCTACTCGGGAGGAATTCACCAAACGCGCTTAATAATGGACAGAAACCTGCTGTTGTTAGTCAAGGTAAATATTACGTATCAGAGCGCTTAGCTTTTCGATGGAGTGGCATAGAACCAAAACCAAAGTAATTACAACTACCAATCAGAAGTAAGGAAATTGAAAAGCATATTGAAGCAAAACTATTGTAATCTCGAATCACTTTAAGCACTCAATTGAAAGTTGCTCCAACAGGTATACCATCTATATATATATATACACGAAGACATTCAGGACGACCCTCAGTAGAAGCCTTCAAAGTTCTAGATAACCTTTTAATTTTTTTTAAGGTCAAAAGAGATTGTTCTTAAGTCATAAGCTGGGTTTTCTCTGCTATTGTTTTGCAATCACAGATTGCAAAACAGAGCGAAACAACATTGTTGTTAACTTACAATTTTAATTCGTAAAAACCCCAGATGGAGCACACGGAGGGCGTTAGGAAACTCAATTTCGTTTTGTCTCTGACGGATGCCATTCTTGAGGTGATCAGTGCCAGGGGAACACCTTTTACAGTGCTGACAGACTCTGTGGCCATCCGACAAGTACGTATTTTGATGTTGTTTTTTGGCTGCCCTTGGTGATTTGCGTAGTTTAACAGGTTAAAAGTCTCGCATCCGTCTATCAATGTGACGGATGAATTGTTCGATTATTACAAAAATTTGAAATCTTTGTTCTCCTTCGTAACAAATGTCGTAGCTAATGAATAAATACTCTGCTTTTCTCCCTTTCAGAAAGAAGACCTCCTCGCAGACCAGATTGGACTGAAAAGTGACGAGTTAAGGTAACAAATTGGATTTAAATGATATAACTTAATTTGATTAGGTCTTACTAATGATCTATTGGAGGACAGATGCAAAGATGACATCACCATTACCAACATTTTGCATTTTGATTATATAAAACAAATAGATTCCATTTCGCTGTGGGTCTGTAGAGTAATAGATCACAGATGACGTCTAAGTGTGGTAAGAACATCAAGGACACACTCGGCTGCGCCTCGTGTGCCACGTTTTGTTCTTTCTACTCTTTGATATCATCTGTGATCTATTACTGAACTGACCCATAGTAAGATGAAATATATTTGTTAAGGGGAGGATCACTGGAATCGGATTTGCAAATACAGACTTTACCTTGTAGCGAAGTATTTGGTTTTACTTAGATGTGACTTATTAAGGTTCAAACATTTTGTAGGAAAATGGAACAGCTGGTACTGCTCGTGAAAGCTCTACGAGCTCTTAAACTGCCTCTTCTCTTCGCACGAGGAGAAATCAGAGTTGGCCACCTAAAATCCTCCAACGCCGTTAAGAATGGTGAGACAGATAGATGCTCTGAGGCCTTACCCTTTTCTACAGGTGCTTGTAACAAGCCTCAACGAAGCATTAAGTTTTTCTATTATCTTTGTTTACAATTTTCAGTTTTAAACGACTTGAACAGTCGATATCACCAGTGTTTGGAGACATGTATGCGTGAAATCCTTTCGAGAATTAAATCAGCTTTCTGCAACATAATTGCTTTGGTTTTGCTACTGTTCACTTTACGATTGGCTTAAAACTTTGCACCATTGTCGCTACCAAAGAGTCAGAGCTTATATCAATCGTGGCTTGGTCACGCGCGTTTCCAAGCTTCAGACGAGTTTCGTCCATTTCAGCTGAATTCTCGTGGGCCATTTCAAAATGTACCTTTGTGGAATGGGTTGTTGTGATGAATTTCATTTTGTTTCGGGAAACCTCATTACAAAGGGCGGGGCTCTAGGCTACGTGCGTTCGAGTGAACTCTCCGCTCCTTTTCTGCACCCTTTGTTCTCCTTTTCGCCCACCCCCCCTCCCTAGCCCCTCCCCCCTCCCCTTCCGTCAGTATTCCCTAGATACTACTCAATTCAAACTGTCTTGCTGGTGCTTTGTTTACAAACGCCTGGAGGTGAGCTGTGGCGAGGTTGCTTTTCTATCCACTGCTTCATTTGACGCAGAGTAAAATACATCTTATATCCTTCTCACAGGTCAGCACTGACAGCCTAATGTACCATTACGCCATGGAACAGGTACCTACCTTTAACGTTGAGGCATGCCATTCGCTATTTGCTAGATCTTGATCGGCGTCTGTTGAATAATGTATCTTTTGATCTCGTTTGCGCCGCCTCAACGAAATAAATACGGACTCCGAATCCTGAATATCTTTCTTCTTCTCCCTCTCCACTAATGCCACCCAAAAAGATAAAGTTACTGTGGTCTTTTCATCTTGAATAGGGTGCACTGTATACCATGTCACAAAAGTGTTTTGAACTAGGGAGGAGTAGTCTTAAGCAACGCTGGGCGTAATTTAATGTCACTTCAGAAGAGTAGCGAATTGAAAGATTCTGCTTTGTGAAAGACCACAGAGTGCTCACCATTCTATTCCTTCCCAGTAATTTTTCGGAACACCGCGAGTTAGCCAATAAATGTTTTAAATACATAGTCATTACTCGGGTGGCGTAGGCTATACACAATGTAATGCCTTAAAAATGGTAACACAACCAGTTACATCAAGCCCTATATAAACACACATTTGTGAACCAGGGTCACTATTTAACAGCGTGACGATTGGTTCCTTAACGAAAGCTGTAGATAAAATCGCCGTAGATAAACGGCTGATGTGTATTTCCAGGACGAGGACGCGAAAAACCAGTCAAAGTAACACCAGATAATCAGCGCAGGGCAGGCAGTGAACTGTAAGGTGCACTGAGGACATACGTGAGCGTATGTGAATGGAGTGGAATGGACTTTCTGGTAACTGAGGAGAATATCGTCGATATTTTTTAGTAGTAGGGTATTCATTACTCTTTACTTTATAATCCTTGAAAGAGAGCATAGAATCGCACTAATCATTTGAACTTCAGAGTGAGAGAATTTAACGTTGTTGAAGTTGTAACTCTAATGTAAATAATCTGATACGGGACGTTTGGTTTTTGTTTATTTGTTTTTGCTTTAAATCTTTTATTTATTTCTTGGGAAAAAAAAGTACTGCTGCTCTTATGTGGTGAGCAGATAGGGTGGCCAATGTTATTTATAGTTTTCATGACGTTTAGACCTTGTATTTTGTATTCGCCATGGACGAAATTTCTCCAGCAGAAGTTCAAAATTGCTAAGGACTTTGTTTCAAACTCACCTTTGATATGTTTAAACGATGCTTAGCGATTATCAAAACCTAACAATATTTGCTTAGGGTTTTTTAACTATTTACTTACGCTGTGATGTGTATAGAATAACGAAAATCTTAGGAAGCACTTACAAAGATGTTAAATTAAACATCGGATCGTAACTATTCCTTGTTACTAAGGCAATAGTTATCATTGGTCTTCAGAAATTCTACATTTGAAAAGGACCACATCTCCCCTTGACATAATTTTTACCATGGGTGACATTGTTACTGCCTTGTACAAATGCGCTTGGGGAAACAGAAAAGTATTGTATGTGAAGTAAGCGAACATTTAAAAAAATTGGAACACGGTGAAAACGTTTATAAAATTTACGTAGCTATTTCTAGAGTCGATAATTTAACTTATTATTCGTCTGGATGGCGTTTGCTTGAGTTTAAATTTGTAAGTGATGATTCATTAAGATTATTTCGCTACGCAGCAAAAATTGTTATGGGATAAATTTATTCGCAATTTCCAATATATAAATGCTATTTGTAAAGTGAAACTTTTGCTCTTAGATGAAGAGAATTATGAAAAGTGTGATCATAAAACTCCAAAACAAAACACACACACAAAAAAGAATAAAAGTAAAAAGAAAGTGTGAAACTGTTCCAGTGTGTTCAGTTATTTAACCCGTCTTCTGACCTGTGGGTTGTAGGGTTTACTTCAGCATTTCTCCGGGATAGCGGCGATTCAGATTTTGCTGCTGACATTGCGAAGTTCGTTTAAAAACTGAGCAATCAAAGCCGGGGTCCTTAATGGCCTTAGTTTTGCGAAGGAAATCTCCTAGCCATACTTCAAGCGAAATATATTACGATAAATAATCGTAGCCATTCTGTCATCACCAAGGGATTATTCACAAATTGTCAGTTGCCTTCGTTGTTATCTGTCTGTATGGCCACTTAAGATTGTTAGTGAAGATTACAAGATGCATTGATTTTATTGGCAAAGGGTAAAAGAGTTCTCAAAACTACATGCAGAATATAATTATTTAATACTAAAAAATATTCCTTCGACAGACCTAAAATCAACTATTAAATGTTGTACTTTACTGAATTCAAGTCCAGTTCCCTCACTCGGGTTCCTTTGCGTTCCGTCAATCGTTCGCTGCAATGATGATAACTTCGTTTCTTATGGAGAAAGACATTTTTAGACTTATCGGCTTCGCTGATCCTGGCAGAATGCAGGACACGTGTCACATATGAATTTCTTAATGGGCCTTACTCACCAAAAAGTCTCTGTGTCTCTGGTAGTCAAATCAGAGCGTGGTCGTGTCTTTTCTTCGTCAGTGGAAGATTTTCGTGTCTCCCCGCTGGAATATATTTATCGTATATCTTTCCCTCATTATCTAAAATTCTCTACAAAGTCAAGATTTTACAAATATTTCTCTGCTGTATAAACCTCTTCGAAGCTCGACACGTAATTAAAATGCTCGGCCATATCTTAAGAAACTATCCGCAATTTAAGCGTACAGTTCTACTCAATCAATTTTCCGAGCGCCTTCTTGAGGTCCAATCTTTCCATACGCACAGAAATCCACGTCACATGTTTATTTTGAAAACAAAAGAGGTTTTTTGCAAAGTTTATGATCTGAAACCTTCGACCATCTTTCTCTTGTTGCGAAATTTTTCTTCCCCGTTAGTGTGTTCAAGTTCTTTATCCACTGAATTCTTATACGCATGCTCCTATCTTGATTCACCCTCTCTCTGCAGGCGATGTCACCCTCAACTTTTTACCCCTCTCACAGTCCAGGATTTTTCCTACAAAACACACTCCTTAAGGGTTTACTACAATCAGGTCATGTTTATGAGCTCACATTGGTCAATTCTTTTTTAGAAGCATAAAAGAAACAGTAACGTGACTATAGCGGGTGTTTTTTGATGGAAATTGACATTAAAGATTTAGTTTTTTACTCAAGTATATTGCGTGTCTGAGTTTCGTAATCCTTTAATTTGGGGTTGTTACAGGTCAAGCTTTCCTCAGAAAAAACCTGTTTGTCAACAATTCTTAGAAACCAGACATCCACAACATGAATAACCTGCCTTGATTGGTCGATGTCACTGATGCAATAAATATGATAATTGATATCAAAAAGTTCTGCTTGAGGCGACTTGAAGTTGATATCTCTATCTTAGACGGTTGTAATCAATCATGGATATAAAAACCTTGCTTGACAATCTTCATGAAGAAGTATCCTGTTCTGTGTGTATGACCACATTTACTGAACCAAAGATACTACCATGTTTGCACAGTTTCTGTCTTAACTGCTTGAACGAGATTTTACGAACAAGTGGCGGCCATGATATCATCCCATGTCCTGAATGCCGAAGAGAAGTTCAAGTTCCTAGCAGTGGAAACCTCAACGATCTGCCGACAAACTTTCGTATCAACAGTTTGCTAGATGTGCTGGCCATCAAAGAATGCCATACTGCTGGAGTGAAATGTGCAAACTGCGACAAAAGTAGCAAACACAGTTCGTATTGTTTTCAGTGCTGTGCGTTCTGGTGTGACGAGTGTATCATTGCGCATAACTTAATCAAAGCGAATAAAGAGCATCGAGTTCTTGCTCTGAAAGATTTTGAAGATCAAGACATCGAAGATGTATTAAAGCGGCCGGCATTTTGCCAACAGAAGCATCACGAAAAAGAAGACCTCAAGTTCTTTTGTAAGAACTGTGACATTGCCATTTGTAATTTGTGTGTGGCAACCATCCATGATGGTCACGCTAAGATTGTTCTAGAAGAAGCAGCAAGTGAACGCAAGATACAAGTCAAGTCTGTGATCGAGACACAAAAGAAAAATATTGAACACAAGAAAAACGTAATCGCTGATCTTGAAAGACAGTGTAACCATATTGAAGCGCGAGGCAATGCAGTGAAGCGAGACATCCACAAGTTTGCTGAAAACATGATCGCAGTCATTGAAACAAAGAAGAAGGAAATGTTAAACAAAGCTGATAAACAAATTAAGGAATCCCTTGGATGTGTGCGAACTCAACAATGTGAGGTCAAGCGTCGAGTCAAACTTCTTGAAACAGCAGTCGAAAAAACTGAAACACTTTTAAAACGATATACAAATGCCGAGATTGCACAGACAGATAAGTCACTGAATATGCTCTTACCTGATGATGTCAGAGATGTTGGAAAACAAGCCGCATCTGACCTTGAAGGTCTTCGTCAATTCCGTTTTAAAGAAAACAAAACATTACTTGACAGTCCTCACTCTGACGGCATCGGCTCATTTCAAAATTTTTTGACTAACACTTGCGCTCATCAGTCAACTGCCGAAGGGAAAGGACTCAGTGAAGCGAGAGTTGGACTTGAATCAAACTTTCTATTAACCACAAGAAATGCCGAAGGAGAACAATGTTACAATGAGCGTGACTTTGTAACCGTCGAAGTAAAAAATCAGGAAGGCCATGACTGTGCGACGGAAGTGCGATTCAAAGATGAGAAAGATGGCAGCTATAAAGTCAGATATTTCCTCAAAGATACAGGAAAATGCCAAGTATCAGTGAAAGTAAATGAAGAACACATTCGTGGCAGTCCATTTCCTGTTAAACCGAAACCCAGACAGTTCAGACACGTGTTATCTTTTGGACAAAAAGGCTCGTCTATTGGAATGCTAATCAGTCCATATGGAGTGGCAGTGAATGAACAAGATGAAATTACAGTGACTGATATAGCTAACTACAGGGTTCAGGTATTCAGTAGTGATGGAACTTACTTAAGATCTTTTGGTAGGATTGGTGATAAACAGGGAGAGTTAAATTGGCCTGCTGGGATAGCATTTGATAAAAATAGTCGCAGTATAGTAGTAGACTATAATAACAACCGAGTTCAATTGTTTAATGAGCAGGGTGAGTACCTGAGCCAGTTTGGTGGTGAAGGAAATCTTGATCACCAGCTGAAGAGTCCTTCGGGTTTATCTGTCGACAGGAATGGAAATATCATCGTTGCCGATAAGGGCAACAAAGTTATAAAAACCTTTTCTCCCAGTGGCCAGTTTTTGTATAAACTTGGTGAAGGTGAAGGTGAAGGTGAGGGTTTTAATTCTCCTTTTCACTGTATTCAATATGACAAATATCTAATAGTGTCAGAAGGTGGTGAAAATTGTATCAAAGTGTTTGATATAAATGGCAACTTTTTGTACAAATTTGGAAATAAGGGGAACAGTGACGGGGAGTTTAACTCACCCCGTTTTTTGTCAGTTAACAAGGCAGGACACCTGATGGTCTGTGACAGAGACAATGACAGAGTTCAGGTATTTGAACTGAGTGGTAAGTTTATAACAAAGTTTGGAAAAAAAGGGAGTGGGCCAGGAAAGTTCATGTGTCCAACATCTACAGCAATTCTTAGCGATGGTAGGATAGTTGTAGCTGATTGTTTGAACAATCGCATTCAGATATTTGAGTAAATGTGGATCATTTATCTACCATCACAATCAGACTACAAATTACTTCTAAAAAATTGTTTTTACCTAATCTTCAAATCATTTCTCGGATGAGCTTTTTGTCGTAGTCTCAGTGAAAAGAACATTGTAGAACTTTGAGTCAGTGGATTCCATTTAGTTCATTGTCTTTTTATTAGTTATAAGTTCGTGCAATAGGTTTTCCATCACGCAAGAGAAAATAATGTTCTATTATTTTTTCTCTTGCTCGCGGTAATCCCAAGAGAAGTATTTTCTTAGCTTGGTTTGTTTGCTTAAATAAATGAAAATTAATTAAGTGTAGATTAAAATGACCCGTTTCGAACTTTTAGAGAGAGGCCATTGGAAAAACAACGAGTCAACTGCAAACTGGTTATTGTCATTTTCAATCAAATTCGCAAAGATTTCATTTACAAATTGACGTTTTTGCTTTTGTCGTTTTTCCATGAGCTCAGATGAATAACACTTTCATTTTTCCTTTGTTGTTGGCTATTTTCTTTTCTAATGGCTCGTCCTTCAGTTTACTTGTTATAGATGAATAATGCTGGTTTATCTGTGTAGAGTTACATGAAACTGCACGTCAAAGTGCAGTTGAACGGCTGATTAATGTTTGCGACGTGATTGTTTTATTCATGTAAATCATGCAGTATTTGCCGAAAAAACGATAACTTTTAAGGCGGTACGTCATGAAAAGCTAGGGTTTTCTCTCTGTCTCGGTTCGCGTGAAAGGATCCTACCATTGTTATCTTTAGATTCTAGTTTTTTAGGGAAGACAAAAAAAGAGGTGAAAAATTATTGTGGTAGTGTATTCATTATTGAAAAAGAAACGAAAATTCATTAAAAATTGTCAAAGAGCAAGGAAAATGTAAATCTGTTCCAATGTGTTGAATTATTTCAGTAGTATACTGTACATAACTTGACTGTTAAGTTTGATAAGAATTCTCTGAGGTAGCAGCAAAGCTCAAAGAATTACTTAGATATTGCCGATTACATTGCAAGCTCGACACATTATTAAAATTCACGGCCATATCATTGAATAAACAAGCCACCTTCGCTTGGAGTTAACGGCCTCTTTGAATTTTCATGCGGAAGATGCAGCGATAGGACGAACTCACCGACGCCCAATTCTTACTCTTCTCTGATTTACATCAGAGGTTTAAGCAGGTAGATCAGCTTCCTGAATTTTTCCAGCCAGATTTTAGCCATGGAAATAGCGAGCGAGGATCTTTACACCTCTGCAGAGCGCTTTGTTGAGGCTGCTTCATTCGATGCGCGCTGAAATCCACGATTTAATCGGGTTTAAATTCGTTCCAAGAGAATAAAAACTTTATATTCTCTTGTCCGTTCTTTAACTGATGTCACCCCTAACTGATATACTGTTTATCCTTCTCACAATCTAGGATTTCGTATGCATAATAAGACACTTTTTACTGGTAACTAATTTCTTGCATCCTTGCCAGTTATCTTCCCATTGACTTTTTCCAAAGCAAGCGAAATGTCACTACCGAGCGCTTCATTGTAAAAGGAATCAGAATTGTCCCGCACTCTTTATAAGGTTAGGTTTTATTCAGTCAGTCAGGAGCAGTTCACTGAAGGATTGAATGTCAAAATTTGTTTCATTTAACATCATCAGTTAATCGCACAGAATATTGTCAAAGGTCTGTCAGCCTGGAGAATAATCTCATATGTGACTCGTCCTATATTTGTCCAAGTCACATGTGCTAACTGTCATCACTTCTACATTAACACTCTAAGGGGTCGTGTCATTCGTTAAAAGCTGGCTTTGAATTATAGTCTGACCTCATTCCTGGGTCGTTTGTAATATCTCGTTCGATTTCTGTAGTGATTTTCAGTGCACCTTTACTGACTGAACTTTGTATTTGCATTTTTGACCAAACCAATGGCGGGTTGAACAAGGCCTTTCCATGGCAACCGACTTTACAAGGAACAGCGATGAACAAATCACCTAAAATAGACTCTTAACGTACTGTCTGAATGGCATCTCGAGTCTTTTGATTAAATTCAGGTCTTATCACGTCTTTTTCTTTTCAATGGAAGATGCAAGGGCTCTTAAAACTGGTTCAAGTAAAAACATTTTAACTATTAGTGACTGTAACAGTATACTCACCCCTGTGTTTAAGGGTAATTTATTTCCCTCTGTGGTCAAAGAGAAAATATAAGTTCATTAATATTTTTGAAAATCTTTGATGATCTCTAAAAACAGAATTCGCTCAACAAATCTCAAAACAATACTCGAAAGTTGCAAGTTCAGTTTGCGTTCAATTCTAAACTAAACTCCTTTAAGCTTCCTTTAATCGTTCGCAACTGAGGAAAATGATTTCGTTTCTCTTCCACTTGTGTAGGAGATTTTCATACCCCGCAACAAAAACCGCGTCTTTATCGTACCTCTTTCCCTTATTATCTTAAACTCTCTACAGAGGCACGATTTTACAAACATTCTCTTCGGTAGAAGAACTCTTCGAAGCTCGACACGTAATCAAAATGCTCGGCCATATCTTGAAAAACTAGAAAGTCAACTGAAAGGTGGCGGGTTTCTACCATTACGGCAAACACGCAGACGCCCAATTCCACTTTTCTCTCCAAACTACATCCACAATTTTATTTAGGTGTGCAGGTTTACTCCATCAATTTTACCGGCCAGTTAATCCAATTAGAGTAGCAATTGAGGATCCTTTCACTTTTTCCGAGCGCCTTTTTGAGGTCCAATCTTTCGTTACGCGCAGAAATCCAGGTCGCATTTTCATTCTGACGACAAAAGCGGTTTCTCGCAGAGTTTATGATCTGAAGCATCCCACCATCTTTCCCTCGTTTCGGAAAATTTCTTACCCGTCAGTGTTTTCTACATCCACTGAATTCTTATACGCATGCTCCCATTTGATTCACCTTCCCTCTGCAGGCGATGTCACCCTCAACTTTTTACCCCCCTCATAATCTAGGATTTTTCCTCCAAGACACACTTCTTAAGGGTTTGCTACAGTCAGGTCATGTTTATGAGCTCATATTGGTCATTGTATTTTCGAAGCAAAAAGAAACAGTAGTGTGACTAGCAAGTGTTTTTTGGTGGAAATTGATATGAAAGATTTAGTTTTTTTACTGAAGTATGTTTCGTGTCTGAGTTTCGTAATCCTTTAATTTGGGGTCGTTACAGGTCAAGCTTTTCTCAGAAATAACCTACCTGTAAACAACTCTTAGAACCCAGACATCCACAGCATGTATAACCTGCCTTGATTGGTCGATATCACTGATGCGATAAATATGATAATTGATATCAAAAAGCTTCGCTTAGGGCGACTTGAAGTTAATATCTCTACCTTAGTCGGTTTTACTCAATCATGGATATAAAAACCTTGCTTGACAATCTTCATGAAGAAGTATCCTGTTCTGTGTGTATGACCACATTTACTGATCCAAAGATACTGCCATGTTTGCACACTTTCTGTCTGCACTGCTTAAACGGGATTTTACGAACAAGTGGCCGCTATGACATCTTCCCATGCCCTGAATGCCGATGAGAAGTTCAAGTTCCTAGCAGTGGAAAACTCAAAGATCTGCCAACAAACTTTCGTATGAACAGTTTGCTAGATGTGCTGGCCATCAAAGAATGCCATACTGCTGAAGTGAAATGTGCAAACTGCGACAAAAGTAGCAGACACAGTTCGTACTGTTTTCAGTGCTGTGCGTTCTGGTGTGACGAGTGTATCATTGCGCATAACTTAATCAAAGCGAATAAAGAGCATCGAGTTCTTGCCCTGAAAGATTTTGAAGATCAAGACATCGAGGACGTGTTAAAGCGGCCGGTATTTTGCCAACAGAAGCATCACGAAAAAGAAGAACTCAAGTTCTTTTGCAACAACTGTGACGTTGCCATTTGTAATTTGTGTGTTGCAACCATCCATGATGGTCACGCTAAGATTGTTCTAGAAGAAGCAGCAAGTGAACGCAAGACACAAGTCAAGTCTTTGATCGAGACACGAAAGAAAAATATTGAACACAAGAAAAACGTAATCGCTGATCTTGAAAGACAGTGTAAACAAATTGAAGCGCGAGGCAATGCAGTGAAACGAGATATCCACAAGTTTGCTGAGAACATGATCTCACTCATTGAAACAAAGAAGAAGGAAATGTTAAACAAAGCTGATAAACAAATTAGAGAATCCCTTGGATGTGTGCGAACTCAACAATGTGAGGTCAACCGTCGAGTCAAACTGCTTGAAACAGCAGTCGAAAAAACGGAAACACTTTTAAAACGATATACAAATGCCGAGATTGCACAGACAGATAAGTCACTGAATATGCTCTTACCTGATGATGTCAGAGATGTTGGAAAACAAGCCGCATCTGACCTTGAAGGTCTTCGTCAATTCCGTTTTAAAGAAAACAAAACATTACTTGACAGTCTTCACTCTGACGGCATCGGCTCATTTCAAACTTTTGTGACAAACACTTGCGCTCATCAGTCAACCGCCGAAGGGAAAGGAATCAGTGAGGCGAGAGTTGGACTTGAATTAAACTTTCTATTAACAACAAGAAATGCCGAAGGAGAACAATGTTACAATCAGCGTGACTGTGTAAACGTGGAAATAAAAAATCAGCAAGGCCATGACTGTGCGACGGAAGTGCGACTCAAAGATGAGAAAGATGGCAGCCATAAAGTCAGATATTTCCTCAAAGATACAGGAAAATGCCAAGTATCAGTGAAAGTAAATGAAGAACACATTCGTGGTAGTCCATTTCCTCTTAAACCGAAACTCAGACAGTTCAGACACGTGTTATCTTTTGGACAACAAGGCTCGTCCGTTGGAATGCTATGCCATCCATATGGTGTGGCAGTGAATGAACGAGATGAAATTGCAGTGACTGAAATTAGTAACCACAGGGTTCAGGTATTCAGTAGTGATGGAACTTACTTAAGATCTTTTGGTAGAAAGGGTGATAAACAAGGAGAGTTAAATTGGCCTACTGGGATAGCATTTGATAAAAATAAACGCAGTATAGTAGTAGACAGTAATAACAACCGAGTTCAATTGTTTAATGAGCAGGGTGAGTACCTGAGCCAGTTTGGTGGTAAAGGAAATCTTGATCACCAGCTGAGGGATCCTTTGGGGTTATCTGTCGACAGGAATGAAAATATCATTGTTGCCGATAAGGGCAACAAAGTTATAAAAACCTTTTCTCCCAGTGGCCAGTTTTTGTATAAACTTGGTGAAGGTGAAGGTGAAGGTGAGGGTTTTAATTCTCCTTTTCACTGTATTCAATATGACAAATATCTAATAGTGTCAGACGGTGGTGAAAATTGTATCAAAGTGTTTGATATAAATGGCAACTTTTTGTACAAATTTGGAAATAAGGGGGAAATGGACGGGGAGTTAAACTCACCTGGTTTTTTGTCAGTTAACAAGGCAGGGCACCTGATGGTCTGTGACACAAACAATCACAGAGTTCAGGTATTTGAACTGAGTGGTAGGTTTGTAACAAAGTTTGGAAAAATAGGGAGTGGGCCAGGAAAGTTCAAGGGTCCAATATCTACAGCAGTTCTTAGTGATGGTAGGATAGTTGTAGCTGATTGGTCGAACAATCGCATTCAGATATTTGAGTAAATGTGGATCATTTATCTACCATTACATTCAGACTACAACTTACTTCTAAAAAAAATTGTTTTCAACTAATCTTCAAATCATTTCTCGGATGAGCTTTTCGTCGTAGTCTCAGTGAAAAGAACATTGTAGAACTTTGAGTCAGTGGATTCCATTTTGTTCATTGTATAGTTACAAGTTCGCGCGTTAGGTTTTTCATCACAAAAGAGAAAATAATATCCCACTTTTTTTCTCTTGCTCACGGTAAACCTAAGAAAAGTGTTTTCTTAGCTTGATTGTTTTACTTAAATAAATGGAAATTAATTAAATGTAGATTAAAATGACACGTTTTGAACTTTCAGAGAGAGGCCATTAGAAAAACAATAAGTTAACTGCAAACTGGTTATTGCCATTTTCAATCGAATTCGCGAAGATTTAATTTACAAATTGTCTTTGTTGCTTTTGTCGTTTTTCCATGAGCTCAGATGGACAACACCTTCTTTTTCCTCTGTTGTTGGCTATTCACTTTTCTAATGGCTCGTCCTTCAGTTCACTTGTTATAAACGAATAATGCTGGTGTATCTGTGTAGAGTTATAGGAAACTGCACGTCAAAGTGCAGTTTCATGTAACTCTACACAGATACACCAGCATTGAATAATGTTTGCGACGTGATTGTTTTATTCATGTAAATCTTGCAGTATTCGCCGAAAAAACGATAACTTATAAGGCGGTACGTCACGGGTTTTCGGTTTTAGGGTTTTCTCTCTGTTTCGATTCGCGTGAAAGGATCCTACCATTGTAATCTTTAGATTCTAGTTTTTTAGGGAAGGCAAAAAAAAAAGGTGAAAAATTATTATGATAGTGTATTCATTATTGGAAAAGAAACAAAAATTCATTAAAATTGTCAAAGAGCAAAGGAAATGTAAATCTGTTCCAATGTGTTCAATTATCGCAGTAGTACTGTACTGTACATAACTTGACTGTTAAGTTTGATAAGAATTCTCTGAGGTAGCAGCCAAGCTCAAAGAATTACTCGGATATTGCCGATTACATTGCAAGCTCGACACATAATCAAAATCCACGGCCATATGTTGAATAAACAAGCCACCTTCGCTTGGAGCTAACGGCCTCTTTGAATTTTCATGCGGAAGATGCCGCGATAGGACAAACTCACCGACGCCCAATTCTTACTCTTCTCTGATTTACATCAGAGGTTTAAGCAGGCAGATCAGCTTCCTGAATTTTTCCAGGCAGATTATTAGCCATGGAAATAGCGAGCGAGGATCTTTACACCTCTGCAGAGCGCTTTGTTGAGGCCGCTTCATTCGATGCGCGCTGAAATCCACGACTCTAATCGGGTTTAAATTCGTTCCAAGCGAATAAACACTTTATATTCTCTTGTCCGTTCTTTAACTGATGTCACCCCTAACTGATATACTGTTTATCCTTCTTACAATCTAGGATTTCGTATGCATAATAAGACACTTTTTACTGGTAACTAACTTCTTGCATCCTTGTCAGTTATCTTCCCATTGACTTTCCAAAGCAAGGGAAATGTCACTACCGAGTTCTCCATTGTAAGGAATCAGAATTGTTCCGCACTCTTTATAAGGTAGTTGTTCACTTTTCGCTCTCAATAACATCTTCCCTTTTGACGAGTGTTTTATTCAGTCAGTCAAGAGCAGTTCACTGAAGGATTGAATGTCAAAATTTGTTTCATTTAACGTCATCAGTTAATCGCACAGAATGTTGTCAAAGGTCTGTCAGCCTAGAGAATAATCTCATATGTGACTCGTCTGATATTTTTCCAAGTCACATATACTATCTGTCATCACTCCTACATTAACACCCCAAGGGATCGTGTCATTCGTTAAAAGCTGGTTTTGAATTATAGTCTGACCTCATTCCTGGGTCGTTTTTAATATCTCGTTCGATTTCTGTAGTGATTTTCAGTGCACCTTTACTGACTGAATTTTGTATTTGCATTTTTGACCAAACCAATGGCGGGTTGAACAAGGCCTTTCCATGGTAACCGACTTTACAAGGAACAGCGATGAACAAATCCCCTAAAATAGTCTCTTAACGTACTGTCTGAATGTTATCTCGAGTCTTATGATTAAATTCAGGTTTTATCACGCCCTTTTCTTTTCAATGGAAGATGCAAGGGCCCTTAAAACTGGTTCAAGTAAAAACATTTCAACTATCAGTGACTGTAACAGCATACTCACCCCTGTGTTTAAGGGTAATTTATTTCCCTCTGTGGTCAAAGAGAAAATATAAGTTCATTAATATTTTTGAAAATCTTTGATGATCTCTAAAAACAGAATTTGTTTAACAGATCTCAAAACAATACTCGAAAATTGCAAGTTCAGTTTGCGTTCAATTCTAAACTAAACTCCTTTAAGCTTCACTTTATTGTTCGCAACTCAGGAAAATGATTTCGTTTCTCTTCCATTTGTGTAGGAGATTTTCAGACCCCGCAACAGAAACCGCGTCTTTATCGTACCTCTTTCCCTTATTATCTTAAACTCTCTACAGAGGCAAGATTTTACAAACATTCTCTTCGGTAGAAAAACTCTTCGAAGCTCGACACGTAATCAAAATGCTCGGCCATATCTTGAAAAACTAGAAAGTCAACTGAAAGGTGGCGGGTTTCTACCATTATGGCAAACACGCAGACGCCCAATTCCACTTTCTCTCCAGACTACATCCACAATTTTAATCAGGTGGACAGGTTTACTCCATCAATTTTACCGGCCAATTAATCCCCTTAGCGTAACAATTGAGGATCCTTTCACTTTTTCCGAGCGCCTTCTTGAGGTCCAATCTTTCATTACGTGCAGAAATCCACGTTGCATGTTCATTCTGACGACAAAAGCAGTTTCTATCAGAGTTTATGATCTGAAACATCCCACCATCTTTCCCTCGTTTCGAAAAAGTTTCTTTCCCGTCAGTGTTTTCTACATCCACTGAATTCTTATACGCATGCTCCCATTTGATTCACCTTCTCTCTGCAGGCGATGTCACCCTCAACTTTTTACCCCCCTCATAATCTAGGATTTTTCCTCCAAGACACACTCCTTAAGGGTTTACTACAGTCAGGTCATGTTTATGAGCTCATATTGGTCATTCTATTTTTGAAGCAAAAAGAAACAGTAGTGTGACTAGCAAGGGTTTTTCAATGAAAATTGATATGAAAGATTTAGTTTTTTTACTGAAGTATGTTTCGTGTTTGAGTTTCGTAATCCTTTAATTTGGGGTCGTTACAGGTCAAGCTTTTCTCAGAAATGACCTACCTGTTAACAACTCTTAGAACCCAAACATCCGCAGCATGTATAACCTGCCTCGACTGGTCGATATCACTGATGCGATAAGTATGATAATTGATATCAAAAAGCTTCGCTTGGGGCGACTTGAAGTTGATATCTCTACCTTAGTCGGTTGTACTCAATCATGGATATAAAAACCTTGCTTGACAATCTTCATGAAGAAGTATCCTGTTCTGTGTGTATGACCACATTTACTGATCCAAAGATACTGCCATGTTTGCACACTTTCTGTCTTCACTGCTTAAACGGTATTTTACGAACAAGTGGCCGCCATGATATCTTCGCATGCCCTGAATGCCGAAAAGAAGTTCAAGTTCCTAGCAGTGGAAACCTCAACGATTTGCCAACAAACTTCTGTATCAACAGTTTGCTAGATGTGCTTGCCATCAAAGAATGCCATACAGCTGGAGTGAAATGTGCAAACTGCGACAAAAGTAGCAGACACAGTTCGTACTGTTTTCAGTGCTGTGCGTTCTGGTGTGAAGAGTGTATCATTGCGCATAACTTAATTAAAGCGAATAAAGAGCATTGAGGTCTTGCTCTGAAAGATTTTGAAGATCAAGACATCGAGGATGTGTTAAAGCGGCCGGCATTTTGCCAACAGAAGCATCACGAAAAAGAAGAACTCAAGTTCTTTTGTAAGAACTGTGATGTTGCCATTTGTAATCTGTGTGTTGCAACCATCCATGATGGTCACGCTAAGATTATTCTAGAAGAAGCAGCAAGTGAACGCAAGATACAAGTCAAGTCTGTGATTGAGACACAAAAGAAAAATATTGAACACAAGAAAAACGTAATCGCTCATCTTGAAAGACAGTGTAACCAAATTGAAGCGCGAGGCAATGCAGTGAAACGAGACATCCACAACTTTGCCGAAAACTTGGTTGCAGTTATTGAAATAAAGAAGAAGGAAATGTTAAACAAAGCTGATAAACAAATAAAAGAATCCCTTGGATGTGTGCGAACTCAACAATGCGAGGTAAAGCGTCGAGTCGAACGGCTGGAAACAGCAGTCGAAAAAGCTGAAACACTATTAAAACGATGTACAAATGCTGAGATTACACAGATAGATACGTCACTGAATACATTCTTACCTGAGGAAGTCAGCGATGTTGGAAAACAAGCCGCATCTGACCTTGAAGGTCTTCGTCAATTCCGTTTCAAAGAAAACAAAACATTATCTGACAGTCTTAACTCTGACGGCATCGGCTCATTTCAAACTTCTGTGACAAACACTTGCGCTGATCGGTCATCTGCCGAAGGGAAAGGAATCAATGAGGCGAGAGTTGGACTTGAATCAAGCTTTTTGTTAACAACGAGAAATGCCGAAGGAGAACAATGTTACAATGAGCGTGACTATGTAACCGTGGAAATAAAAAATCAGCAAGGCCATGACTGTGCGACGGAAGTGCGACTCAAAGATGAGAAAGGTGGTAGCTACAAAGTCAGATATTTCCTCAAAGATACAGGAAAATGCCAAGTATCAGTGAAAATAAATGAAGAACACATTCGTGGCAGTCCATTTCCTGTTAAACCGAAACCCAGACAGTTCAGACACGTGTTATCTTTTGGACAGGAAGGCTCGTCCATTGGAATGCTAAACGGTCCATATGGAGTGGCAGTGAATGGACGAGATGAAATTGCAGTGACTGATGCTCGTAACAACAGGGTTCAGGTATTCAGTAGTGATGGAACTTACTTAAGATCTTTTGGCAGGAAGGGTGATAAACAGGGCGAGTTTAGTTTTCCTGTTGGGATAGCATTTGATAAAAATAGTCGCAGTATAGTAGTAGACAAAAATAACCACCGAGTTCAATTGTTTAATGAGCAGGGTGAGTACCTGAGCCAGTTTAGTGGTGAAGGAAATCTTGATCATCAGCTGAGGGATCCTTGGGGTTTATCTGTTGACAGGAATGGAAATATCATTGTTGCCCATAGGGGCAACAAACTTATACAAACCTTTTCTCCCAGTGGCCAGTCTTTGTATACACTTGGTGAAGGTGAGGGTGAGGGTTTAGCTTGTCCTCGTCACTGTATTCAATATGACAAATATCTAATTGTGTCAGACGCTGGTGAAAATTGTATCAAAGTGTTTGATATAAATGGCAACTTTTTGTACAAATTTGGAAATGAGGGGAACAGGGACGGGGAGTTTAAGTCACCCCGTTTTTTGTCAGTTAACAAGGCAGGACACCTGATGGTCTGTGACAAAGGCAATTACAGAGTTCAGGTATTCGAACTGAGTGGTAAGTTTATAACAAAGTTTGGAAAACGAGGGAGTGGGCCAGGAGAGTTCGAGGGTCCAACATCTACAGCAATTCTTAGTGATGGTAGGATAGTTGTGGCTGATATTTGAATAAATGTGAATAATTTATCTACCATCACATTCAGACTACAAATTACTTCTAAAAAAATTGTTTTCACCTAATAATCTTCAAGTCATTTCTCGGATGAGCTTCTCGTCGTAGTCTCAGTGAAAAGAACATTTTAGAACTTTGAGTTAGTGGATTCCATTTTGTTCATTGTATAGTTACAAGTTCGCACGTTAGGTTTTCCATCACAAAAGAGAAAATAATATCCCACTTTTTTTCTCTTACTCACGGTAAACCTAAGAAAAGTGTTGTCTTAGCGTGGTTGTTTTGCTTAAATAAATGGAAATTAATTTAATGTATATTAAAATGACACGTTTTGAACTTTCAGAGAGAGGCCATTAGAAAAACAATAAGTTAACTGCAAACTGGCCATTTCCATTTTCAATCGAATTCGCGAAGATTTCATTTACAAATTCTTGTGTTGCTTTTGTCGTTTTTCCATGAGCTCAGATGGACAACACTTTCATTTTTCCTTTGTTGTTGGCTATATTCTTCTCTAATGGCTCGTCCTTCAGTTCACTTGTTAAAAACGAATAATGCTGGTGTATCTGTGTACAGTTACATAGAGTTATAATGTTTGTAACGTGATTGTTTTATTCAAGTAAATCACGCAGTGTTTGCCGAAAAAATCGTAACTTTAAAGGAGGTACGTCATGAAAATCTAGGGGTTTTTTCTGTTTCGATTCGCGTGAACGAATCCAACCATTGTAATTCTAGTTTGTCAGGAAGGGCAAACAAAAGAGATGTAAACATTATGATAGTGTATTCTTTATTGAAAAAGAAACAAAAATTCATTAAAAGTTTCAAAGAGCAAAGAAAATGTGAATCTATTCCAGTGTGTTCAATTATTTCAGTAGTATACTGTAAATAACTTTTGATGTCCGTGGAGTGTTGAGTTCGATGAGAATTCTCCGAGGTAGCAGCGAAGTTAAAAGAATGACTCAGATGTTGCCGATCACATTGCAAGCTCGACACATAACCAAAGTGTGCGGCCATTTGTGGAACAAACGAGCCATCTTGGCTAGGAGCTGACGGCCGCTTTGAATTTTCATGCAGAAGATGCAGCGATAGGACGAACTCGCCGACGCCCAATTCTTACTCTTCTCTGATCCACATCACTGGTTTATGCAGGCAGATCAGCTTCCTGAATTTTTTCAGGTAGATTTCTCCCATGGAACTAGACCCTGTGAGCAGGGTAACTGGGATACCTGGATGGTACTGGATCCTTGGAATCAAGTGTAGTGATACTACGGGTGTCGGACTAGTATACTGAAATAGTGCGCTTAAGTCTGGCCAAAGGCATAAACTTATTTCAAAACATAGGCATGCTATGCATGCAAGAGTTACTTTTTTGTAGGGTGGGTGGATTACTTGAAACATTGTGAGTGATGTCTACATTCTTACAAAAGGAGAAAAGAATATTAATGTGGGAAAGAACGAAAATGTCGAATTACCTCACTCACAGGTATTTTGTGGTAGATTATGTGTGTTTAGCGAATAAATGTAACCAAAAATAAACAGTATTGGTGCCACGGATACCTGTTAGTACAAAATGCAGACAGCAGACTGCAGACCGGATACAAAATATAGACTGCAGACTGCAGACTGCAGAGTGGGTACAAAATCTGAAGAGTTCTTACGTCTGGTATATAAAAACATGTCATCTTACAGCTTACCGAGCGTCACGCAATCGCTTTTCTGCGATCCGCCTTCACGATTATTTGCACTATTGTGGAATATTCCTGGTCCATTTCTTGATGGAAATCGATCGCAATATTATTTCAAGCTCTCAATATAGTCTTCTTACTTTGCGCGCGAGTTGGTTGGTGTGATGTCTGTACAGATTTTACCAACGTAATAAAAGTAGATGACGTGAATAACAGTGATGGTAAAGCAAGCCTAAAACGGCAGAAATCGCTAGGAAATACAACGGATACACAGGGTATGAGTAAGTTTTATTGATTTTACGAGAAAAACGTTCATATTTCGAAATATGTATCGTTGTAAATCGACCATACTTCGTTCCCTATACTATTCCTTATGACTTGCAGTTCCTCTCGTAACTTAACACCGAGTCACACAACGCGTGACGCGTTCATGAATTAATCGTTGGCTTTTTCTCGAGACGTGGGCTTGGGCCACCTGTGGCAAGACAATTGCGTAAACAATATTTAACATAATAACATTATACACGAAAAAACACAGGGTTTTGGATCACTTATTTATTAAAAAAAGAATATCCATACAACTACAATGAAAACTAACAGAAGATTCACCTTTCTGATCGTGAAATTAATACCATTCGTACTGTTATCGTAGCTACGTTCCTTGCCATCAAGTGAATCCAACATGTCGTCTTTCTTCACAAGCAGTTTGCATCCATTATAGTTATGTTCTTCAGTCTCACGGTAGTAGTAGTGTTGTTCAATAGATTGCATAGAGTATATGCAGTTTGGTTTCAGATTTCAGATTTTGCTTTTTACGACAAGTGAACGTTTTTCAACTAAGACTTTGGCATACTTAGCATACAAGGCATTCAAGGCTTTCATGGCTTTCAAGCGTTCGCGACTCAATCCGTTCCAAAATTACCGCTCAATAACATCTTTCAGTGTGGATTAGCCGCGATTAATATGACTTGTATATGCGTCTGGAAGTATTTTGCGCGTTTGCGCCATAACGCTCCAGGAGATCGCAATCCAAATACGTCGAAATACAAAACAATTGACCAAAGAGTTTTTTATGCAAAATCTCGTGATTCGTCATGTGACCCGGCCCTGTCTGTGCATGACAACGTCAATCATCATCAAGATAACACGCGTGATCAGCATGTGAACACCTCATTGGATCACAGTTAGTTGTCATGGTGTTGAGGGCCCGATGACCTCTGGGTACTATAGCGCAATTTTTCCATTTTGTGGCGGAGGAAAAAAAAAAAGACGACTAAAAAACAAAGGCATTTCATGACTGGGCTACCACAGGTATCCCAGTAATGATCTCTAGGTACTATTGCGTAATTTTTCCATTTTGTGGCGGAGGAAAAAAAAAAGACGACAAAAGAACAAAGGCATTTTATGACTGGGCTTCCACAGATATCCCAATAAATAGCCAGTGAGGATCTTTACACCTCTGCCGAGCGCTTTGTTAAGGTCAGTTCATTCGTTGCGCCCTGAAATCCACCACTTTAATCGGGTTAAAATCCGTTTCGCAAGAGAATAAACACTACTATATTCTCTTGTCCGTTCTTAAACTGATGTCACCCCCAATTGTTATATTGTTCACAATCTGGGATTTCGCATATCAGAAGACACTATTTACAATCCTATTTACAGTCGAACCTCGATTATGCGGACCTCTATCATCCGGACTTCTCGATTATACGGACTTTCTCTGGTCCCAATTTTGTAATGAATATTTAGTAGTCATGATCAAGATCCCTAGCAATATTCTTTTTAAAACTACAGCGTTTAAAAGTGAAGTAAAGTCGAGTTTGTTTCGCTTTCAAAAAACAAAAGCTCGCACGTGACGTAACTAATGAAGAACATTCGCATGAGGTCTGATTAGCTTGAAATTGTTTTGTTGCTACGTGAGATTTCACGCTCGTTCGGCGTGGTATACAAGATAAACAAGCTAACAGCGTCATGAATGTTTCTACACGGTCATCACTTCCTTCAAGCGTAAGCGATCCGTTCTTTCAGTCTATAATTTTGCGATTAGAGAAAGGAGAAAAAGGAACCAATTTGTCTGCTGAATATGGCGTTAGTACTAGTAATGTTGTAAAAGGTCTGTCAGCCTGGAGAATAAGGGCCTATCCGCACTGGCAGACAAAACTAGAATTGTCTCGACAAAATCAAAGGACAAATTTTTTCATGACAAGTTTTTGGCGAGTTTTGACCAATGGCGAGTTGAACAAGGCCTTTCCATGGTAACCGACTTTACAAGGAACAGCGATGAACAAATCACCTAAAATAGACTCTTAACTGTTTGAATGGCATCTCGAGTCTTATGATTAAATTCAGGTCTTATCACGCCTTTTTCTTTTCAATGGAAGATGAAAGGGCTCTTAAAACTGGTTCAAGTAAAACATTTTAACTATCAGTGACTATAACAGTATACTCACCCCTGTGTTTAAGGGCAATTTATTTCCCTCTGTGGTCAAAGAGAAAACATAAGTTAGTTCATTAATATTTTTGAAACGCTTTGAAAAATTTCCTATAACAAAATTTGCTCAACAAATCTTAAAAAAAAGAATCGAAAGTTGCAAGTTCAGTTTGAGTTCAATTCTAACTAAACTCCTTTAAGCTTCGCTTAATCGTTCGCAACAACGAAGATGATTTCGTTTCTCTTCTTCCCCAGGTGAAGAAGATTTTCATACCTCGCAATGAAAACCGCGTCTTTATCGTACCTCTTTCCTTCATTATCTAAAACTCTCTTAAAAGTCAAGATTTCTTCCAGCCATTTCTCTTCGGTAGCAAAGCCTTCAAAGCTTGAGACGTAAGCAAAATGCCTGGCCATATCTTGAACAAACAAGCCGCCTTCGCTTGGAGCTGGCGGTCGCTGTGAATTTTCATACGGAAGATGCAGCGATAGGACGAACTCGCCGACGCCCAATTCTCCGTCTTCTCCGAATTCCATCCGCAGTTTAAGGGGACAGGTCAAATCCATGAATTTTTCCGGCCCGTTTCTTCCATTGAAATAGCGAGCGAGGGTCTTTTCACCTTTGCTGAGCGCCTTGTTGACTTCCATTTTTTCCATACGCGCTGAAATCCACGTCGCATGTTCATATTGGCGATACTCGTAGTCTTTCGTGAAGTTCATGACGCGAAACTTAGGACCATCTCTCCCTCGGTAGTATTTAGGTTTACGAAAGGTTTCTTCGCCCTCCTCGTCCTCTTCATCAATTGGATTCGTTGATGGACATACCCCCATTCTTGTCAACCCTCTTTTAAGCGATGCAACCCTCAACTGTTTACAATTCTCACAATCTGGGATTTGCTCTGACCACGCAATACACTAATCAACTACTACAAAAACCTCAATCACGTTCTTCCGAAAGGTGACCGGCTGAGGTAATTTAAACAGAACTGATACAAACTAAAGGTTCTCGCTTGAATCTCTTTCATCTAACAAGACCTCAGAGAAAATGATATCCATAAATAAGATCCCGTCTCAAATAAACTGTTCTTCTTTAATACTTAATGAGGAATTCTGAGAAACCACAAAGAAACATCAGAGTAGTAGAAGCATGGTTACACGAAATTAATATGATTATATACAATTTTCGTGTACAAGTTCAGGTTCCAACGACACTAATGTTTGCATTTTTTTTCTATATTTAAGTATATAAAGAGAACTCCCAAAATTAGAGATCTTTATAAACGATGATAAAGCTTTAATTTCTTATTCCTTTGAATCGAAACAACATGTAATTTCTTAGAAGAATTTCTCGGATCTGAGTCGAGCACGAAAACTGTGTTTTAAATTATTAATTCCGTTTTAAAGAAATAATTTATTGCTAAATATTATTTGCGCAATTAACGACTAAAATACAATGCGCTTTCCTTTGTCTCCATTATGGAAGGGGACGCAAAAAATTTTGAACACCAAGGGGAACTGAGGCCATAAATTCCTTCAACTTCATAAGGAAAGAGAAGAAATTATTCAGAAAAAAAAATATAAAAAATGAGAGAAAACTTTATTTTGTTTTTGATCGTGTCAACAAAGAGTAGAGTCCTACTGAGTGAGATGAGAGGATCTGTCGAATTTAGCGCAAATTTCTTTTACTCCAGCTATACTTTTCGATGTAATTAGTGGTCATAATTGGTTTTAAAAACCTTAAAAAGGTGTTAATAGTGAACGTGTTTACACTTCATTGTCTTACAAATTTGTATAGGAACTAATATGAAACATTATTAATGGAAATGAACCACATTATTAACGCTCTACTTAAATACCAGATAATACGTTATTCATTGTTTCCTTGCTTATTAACTTTGTTAGCTCGCCAAATCAAAATTAATTTGAATTCTGAAAATACGATGAAGGCATAATGACATTAGTTACAAATTTTCCTCATGGAATTAGGGCCATCTGGGTAGAAGATGAGAAATCAGAGGAAGAAGGGACTCAAAACTGAGGAGGGCTGTAATTACCCACCCTTATCCCAAACCTTCCTTGTGTGAGGCAAAATTTATATTTCTGAACCTCTATATTTAAGATTTCAAATAAAAGTTTCTTCCCCTATCTCTGGTCCTTCACCCCCAACCCCCATCTGCTTTTGTAAGAATCCGGGATTTGACCAAAATACTTTGTAGGATTCAGGAGAACGCAAAATATCCAGACGAATTCGGGATTTTTCTACTTCTGAAAAAGCACCGCGGATGTTCGCCAGAATTTAGGGATGATATGCGAGAGTTTTAACTTGTATTTCGGCAATCCGGGATGCGGAAATCGTGACGACCTACATAAACACTCTACAGGTGAAAGCGAAATGATCAAGCCAATGTGACTGGTCGATAGCTGTTTAATTGAAATTGTTCAGTAATCGACGGACGAGCAGAAAGCTGAGAGTATTTTGTTTCGACCAGATGTCAAGAAAGTGAATCGGATGTGATAGCACGCCAATTATTGACTCGATGCTTATTCGGCTGAAGCTCCTTCAAATGTTTCAAGTCTTAAGGGGATTGTTCCACGGGTCAAACCATCATGTAAGGCAGGTATTTATGTCAGCTGCTCCCTTAGACAGCCAGAGTTTCGTTCTTTCCTGGGGACATTTAATGTTTGAGTATCGTACGTGCCCAGGTCTGCACTTCCAAAGCCTCCAAAGACTAATTAGACTGCAGGCATCTTAAAATACTATAAATGTACTTGGGGGTGGGATGAAAGTAATCGTAAGGGTCAATCCTACAGTCACTTTGTTTCATTTATTCATCCATTCATTTTTATTTATTTTGGGGGGGTGGGTGGGGGGGGAAGGTTAAAAAAGAGCAGGATTCGAGTAACAAAGGGCTTAAGTGCGGGAATTCGGGATCATGCTCAATACCCCCACCTCATTTAATTATTTGAAAATCTTTGTGGTTTAATTATTCAGACACACGCTCACCTCACTCCCCTCGGGCTGCCTCACTCGTCGCGTCAAAAACGCCCAAAAACAACGCCTCTTTTGCAGACTGAGAAAATCCTTTTTTGGAATCTTGAAAACATTGAATGAATAAACATATGGTTTAGATTGTGTCTGAATCCTACTGTCTGCCGTGCTCTTTACATTTTCAGTTAAATTTTAACCTTCTTTCGGCGTGTTTCGCTTTAGTAACTGACCACCTGGACTTAATGTCATTTGCACGTGCAGTAAGCACGTGCGATCTACCTTAAACGTGCGAAGGTCTCGTGTGATATTAAACGTTTCTTCAGATCCTGCATCCGGTATCAGCACCGAAGAAAGACAAATGAAATTAAAAAATTCCTCCGCTAGGAAATTCAAACATAGCTCTCGTCGCATGATCTTTCGTCAAATCGAATCAAGCTTTCCTTGAGATCTGCAGGTAAGCATGGGAATAAGTGAAAAAGTTTAACCGATTAAACGGTCATTTTGTACAATTTTTCTATATAACATTTGAAATTTCGCGATCACATGCACGGCAAGCGGCAAAAATGATTTTGGTAGACTAACTAGAAGAGATTGTGGCGAACTTGAGACTCTTTATATGCATTTTCGCCAGCGTTTAAGCATCAGAATGGAGAGAATTGTTTCACTATCCTCTTAATTAATTGATTATCCACCCAGAAGCTTGGAGCGACAAAAGGTTACTTTGGCGAAAATGTGCAGGCGGTAATTAACCGTGCTCGGATTTTCAAGTCTAGTGCTGATGTTGTTAAGAGCGTTTAATGAAAGTAAATGGAAGTGGTAATATTGCAATCTATTCCTCTCGTGCCTCCACCGCCAAAAACTTCTACAAAACTTGCCGCAGAATATGGCATATACACGCACGAGCTTTTCTTTTCTTGCCATACATTTCACATGTCTGAATCGCCTTTGTACGCACGAGATCTTGTCGAGTACTGCCATCCTCTGCAGACTGGCCCACAAGACTAAACGAACCTTATCATTCGAAGAACGCAGTTTATTAGATGAAAAGGTAGCCACTGTATAAATACAACATCTACGAATTATTTTGATGTTAATATGTTACATGAATGATGTTTTGTCTGGGAGAAACGGCAGCAATGGGTCAGGAGCGAGCTGAAAATAAATCGGAGGATGTAATTGATCAACTTCTACTTGAAACTGGCTATGTAAGTGGCGATCGCCAGTTTAAGGAGGCGATACTTCAAAGTTGCCGTCGCCAGTATAAAAGTGGCGATCACCAGTTCCAAGTGGCGACGCCAGTTCAAAGTGGCGATCACCAGTTCAAATAGGCGACGCCAGTTTTAAGTGGCGATCGCTAGTTAAAATTAGAGACGCCAGTTAAAAGTGACGGTTGCTATTTCAAAGAAGCGAATCACCAGTTCTCAAATATAGTGTTGATACTTGCTACGTATCCTTGTTTACAGCTGTCTCATGCAAACCTTGATTATAATAAGTCTGGGCAAATGGCGAATGGAAGTCTCAACGACAATTCGTTTTTTGTAACATTCATAATTTTAGTGAAAAAGATTTTTACTGCAACGGTTATTTTTCAGCGGTAAATGTCGCGCACAGTTACAGCGCCTTGTCCAGGAAGAAGTATAGACTGAGTAAGCGGTTCATCGTAAAGACCTGGCACCAGCGACTTTCATGCTTCCGTGTCTGTTGACCTCCGTGTACCTGTTATGGTCTCTGTGAATCTGCAAGCAAACTGCAATCGAGTGACCGTCACATTTCATTGGTTTGGTTTTTCTCAAGCTGTTTTACTCTAGTGTTGATTTTCGATATTGTCTAGGCAATTCTTGCCAGGTTCTAGGGGAAGGGGGAACTATAATAATCTCATGTTACCCAAGATTTAGATCCTGTTCAGCGTCTTACAGCTAACATACATGTGAAGCACTATCTAGCCAGACACCCCAGACACCACTTTTTTTCGAAAGTTTTGTATTTCGACCTCTAGCTCTCGTATCTTTCGTATGAGAGCGCCCCACTCCCTCCCCTCCCTTCCAGGATAATACGTTTATTTTATTTCCCATATTCTATATTCCGCAATACAGGGAGAGGCTTGTTACTTGGGATATTTTCTTCTATAAATTGCATAACACCGATCATACTTGCTTATTTTTGCATTTAACTAAAAAAATTGTTTTGTTTTAAAGCATGTCGTTACCGGTGGTCGCGTTTGTTTTGACGGTAGATGATGCTCTATGCAATTGGTACTTGTCCGAGATTGTTTTTTGGCTGATATGACGAAAACTTTTACAAGAATAAAATTGTAAGCTTGCGAAATTAACGGAACATACTCACATTCTGATTCAATTTCTGTGAAGTTTTTAAAAAATCTGTAAATATTTTCATTTTCCAAATCGATCAGGCATCTAACAATGAGTCGCGGGAGAAAAATATTAGAAGTAGAGCGGAACTCGTGCCAGGGATCCTCGGCTGTAGAATAAACGTGCACGTGATATCTTCCACAAACAGATGTGATGAGAGTGCGATTGAAACAACACACTTAAAAATAAAAAAAAGAAACGACGGGGAAAAAATCTTCTTTTTCCTTCACTGTCCGAGGAAACTATCCAGAAAATGACCATTCAGAGTGAAAGACTTTTCCTCTTGATCCATTTCTTTGACTTGCCGCACGTGCTGATGTCCCACGTGCGGATGTCTCGTGTGTTTCGCGCTACACGTGCCACTACCTCGTGTGTTGCTTCAGACAAACGAAGCAAAGCTCTTTGTATGCATACAAGCACTGAAAAGTCATCGCAAGAACTTCAGCTTGTTCACAATTAGAGTTTAAGCTGAGTTTGTGATATAACAAGATGTAAACCCAAAAGGTAAGCGAAAGAGGAGTTAAGATAGCGATAGATGTTTTCTGGGAAATTTGTAGTTGCCTTTCGGGCTTTTCTGAAATGGTAAAGGGTAGTACAATAACAGTTAAGATGGCGATAGATGTTTGCCGGGAACTTTTTTAATTGCCTTTTAGGCTTTTCTGAAATGCGCATTTCTTAAAATTTTTTGGATTGAATACGCTCGCATAGGTTTCGGAGACGGGAAAAATGTGAATCACTGTTTCAGAGGATCTGGTTAAGTGGAAATAAGCAGGAGGCGAGAAAATGTACTGAAACACAGCGGACTGTAGAGAGGGCAGAATATGGTCATTTTTCACACAGAAGTCGCGTTGCTGCAAAACCGAATCGTAGCGCGTTTAAGGGCCTACTTTGTCACTGATTGCTACGTCGCCACTCAAAAGTCGCGTGTAGCTAAAAATTTAGAGGTCACAGCACGTGAGGCAAATCCAGCGTGTGAAGTCAATTTTTCTTTCGTCTACAGCAAAGTTTAAATCATTATTTGCGCTCATTATCGATTTCGACGAGCACATAACTTTAAAATTATTTAAATGTACCAGAAGAAAGACAAAATCAGAAACATTATAGAAATGTGAGGGGAATACAAGTCAGACATCACAGTCACGTTTGTCATGTAAAGTGATCACGTTTGGACATATGTGACTTCTATGCACGCAATTACGTAACATCCTACAAAAGCTTTAAAATCACCACAAAGTATACTCGACAGCGTACCACCGTTAAAAAGTATTATCACTGATGCCATATACAATACTGCAACCTCTATGCACTCGTTTATCGGCCAAATGATCGCTACAGGCGGTTGAATTTCGACAAGGAAGCTTTTTGAGAGGTTTGTGATAATTTTGTTTCGTACGAACTCAGTGAACCATATGGAACTTTTCGTGAACATACTATTAAAAGTTGTCGTGCAAATTTTGCAAGATTAAACGTAGAAGTAACAGATCTAGTCTCCCACCTAAGTCATTATAAAAACTATTTGTTGATTTTCAATATCATATTCTTAAAGTCCTGACGATACAGAATTTATTCGATCGAGCGTTGCTGCGTCCAGGCTTGACATTGAATTCAGTTCTCGGTTTAAAAGAGAAAATGCTTCGAAGACTTCCGTCATCGTCTTTCCATCATTCGATTTAACTCATCTTATTGAACTTCCGTTAAAAATATTGCTTTGAAGAGAACGCAAGATACGACAAACAAGACTCTCAAATGTTCCAGAAAGCATGAGTATAAAACTGTAATATCTGACCTATCGGACGTAGCTATTAAACTATATTGTTATGACTTGGTTTAAACGCGTCCGAACTCTTCAATGATATCATTGTTGCCTGGTTTATTTATTTGTTTATTTTTTTTTCTAATCTTTTCAAGTTACAATTTGATGTTGGATGATTTCATTATAAGCGGAAAGTTAGATGGCGGAGGACTTTGAAGACAACAGAGGTCAATTTCAGGTTGGTCAAAGAAAACGCAGTATTATGTTAATCGAGGTTCTACAGACAAGCTGTTGGCACGATTGTAAGAGCCGATGTATATCCCATGCTCATGTTACCATTGGTTTGAATGATACACGTTTTTCGTAAGACAAAAAAATCCAAAAACTACAGAATTAATCTGATTCAGCGTTCGAAGAATCTGATGAAATTTTTCCTTAGAATTTTTCCCTAGAAAATTTTCCTTTGTCGCTTAGGGTGATGTAATAATCCCAAGACCGACAGCAACTGGTATCCCAAGGTCTTGTAATGTTACTAGCAGTGCTAGCTGCTCAGCTGGAGAGTCAAAGCACCCTCAAAGAAGTGGGCACTATAGCACCTCTCCATCAACATCCGGTGATATGATGTCAAAGGGCAGTCCTGGAAATTACAACCACAACCACAATCACCACTACCATAGACACCATCACAGCAAAGGAAAGGTCAAGAAACATTATAATGGAAGTTCAGACCGCTTTAGTCGTACTGCTGCTGTACTGCGACAGGCAGGGCTTATGAAACTTACCCTGCAAATTGCTCAGTTGATTAAAACTAATGAAGATCTTCAAAAAGAAATTGATGAACTGCAAAGTGAAGCTCTTCAATTCAGTGAAAATTTAAAAATGCAACTTCAGCAGAAACTACAGGATCAAAATGGGACCAGTGATCTACATGATGAAAACAAATGAGGGACTGTTTATTATGATAAAAGGGATGGGGGGGGGATGGGTAATTAAATAGGGGGGAGGGAGGATTGAAAATTTTAGCAACCCTGGAGGTCTTGGTCTTAGGGGAAAAAAAAAGAAGGAAAAAAACAAGTTCTTATTATGATAAGATAAAACACCTGGAAACCTACTTAACATTTAAGAGTTTGAAGTATGTGGCAGTGTGTATGTAATTGAATATGTGTGTTTGGGGGGGGGGGGGGGAGGGAGGGGAGTTTGTGAGGGAAGGGATAAGTTAGGACATTAAATATTTCCCGATTGTAGAGGGTATCCTTGAAAATAACTTTCATGACAGGTTACTGGAATAGGAGGTACAGTCTGCCAATTTCTTACACATCCCTTGCTCTATTGAAAGATAGTGAAAGGTCCTTAACTACTCTCTTCCAGCAACAAAGAAGTTATTTGAAAAATACCAGGGTTATTAAAAAAATTACCAAAATTAGCTTGCTATATGGTTGTAGTGTCCCTGAAGAATCCACAGATTTATCAACTATGGACAACTGTACTTAAACTGAGACTAAGGCTGTAGTGTTTGTGGAAATGTGAAGAATATGCAAATCTTTAGTGGGGTGAAGCACAGCACAGGCAGGGGGTTAAGAAAAAAAAAATTCAAGCTTTTTAGCAAGTACCTCCCAGACCTGCTCATTACAAGGTCTGCAATGGTATTTTATTAATATAGAAGTTTTTTAAGCTAAGTTTGATTTTTATCTATTGCTCAGATCTTTGTGAGCAAAACTTTGGAGTACCCAGTAATTAGAACTTGATATGAATTTCATATCTTCTCCATTGCATGTCAATCAGAAAATCATTAAACAAGGAAGTAAGAGACACTGGTAAGTGTAGTTGTCCTGAGAACTGACAAGAAGTATATAAGATGAGCCTTTTTCTTTGCAACTCTATTAAAAAGGTTTTGTCATAATTTATTTTTTGTGGAATATCTGTATACTCTTATACACTCCTTTAATAATGTTTAATAATGTATCAAGGTTTCTGTTGTTAATCTATATTCCAATATGTTAAAATATCAAAAAAATAAATAAATAAATAACAACAAAAACACTCCTTACTTTACCAGTGTGTATAACTACTGGTACTACCAAAGACTGTATGACCCCCAACTTAGAAATAAATATTGACCCTTTAACTCCCATGAATGGCCAAGACAGAATTTCTCCTTACAGTATCAAATTGAATACAATATCAACCAGATAAGTGACGAGAATAAAGAAAAGTATCAATTTGGGGATATTTAGGTGATCCAATATTAAATTCTCTGAACTAACATTATAAGAATTGTATGGTTGACAGTTAGGAAAATTACAAATTTGAAGTGATATAGCAAACTTAATACTGTATTGCTCAGGAAAGAATGCATCAACTTTTCATCAAAGTAAATTTTTTTCAAAAATATTGATTTGCTGTTTTTAGCTCTTATTTTCAACGCTCTTGAAATTTATGTGAGAAACATTTTGAGGGTAGAATAATTTTAAGGCTCTTCTATATTTATGAATGAAAATACCCTAAATAAATACCTCAGTATATTGGTTACAAGATGCAGGAAAGACCTTCTGAGAGGTTTAAAAGTTTGTGTGTTTAAAACACCACCTAGTTGGTTTGTTCATGGAGACTTTTGCAATAGTCTCCCAAAGGATGATTAGAAATCTTCATTGAAGGAATTGGTAAGTCCATGAGAAAGAGAGAGAGAGCATGAGTGACGAGACTAAACAAAAGCTGCCAAGGAAACCAGGTATTCCAAATTACTCCAGAAATAATTTGATTAGCACTACTTATGCTTCTCATAAACCATTTAACTCCCAAAGATCTGATTGTTAATTATCCTTCCTACCTTGTAAACTAGTTATGTGAATTTGGTGTTCATGCTAACAACTACCTAATAAATTTGAGTATCCTCATTACCTGTTTACTTTAAAATGTATCAATATTATGGGGAGAGGTGACATGTAACTCAGTTCTGAGAGTTAATGGCTTGATGGTAATCTTGACTATAATTCCACGACAGATGTAAGGAAAATGTCAAGTTTGAAATCTAAAAGACCATTAGAAACATTATGGGTATTCATCATCTTGTAAAGAGCTCTGAATTTACAGGGAATGGATAATTAGTGTTGTACAAGTCGGTGGGGAGGTGCTATATCTTGAACAAAATTTATTTCCAGAGCTAGGAGAGGAAACAGATTGAAAGCAAATACACTCTCAAGGGAAATGCCACCAAGAAAGAAGTTTTCTTTGAAAAGTTCACAGGTAAATCCCCCTATAATGATATACATGAAAAAAATGCACATCTGATTGGCTGAAAACAAGTGCATTTTTCATTTTTAGACATGTGCCAAGTTGTAACAAAAGTGTAAATTGTAATTAGTGTCTGCGCTGTCAAAATTTTGTGTGTCATGACTTTCTGTGATGCTTTTTTTTTCATATAAATTATTAATAAGTAACAACATGATTTCTTGTGCAATAAATATAAGTACTAGTAAATTTTTCAAAGGCTACAATTGCACTTGCTCTATGGGCTGGTGCAATTTTGTTGTCTTTGAAAAATTCCCTTTTGCTTATAAACACCAAATTGCACTCAAAATCATGTTAATTTTCAATGTTAATTTTCTTTCCCCGTGTCTGAGGTTAACCCTAACCACCATCATGTATTGTCCTTTGGCAGAACACAATTAAAACAATTAACTTTTCTCTCTGAGAAAATGTTAGCCCTAGATTGACAGAGGGTTCCACTGCCATCAGTTAATTTAAATGCTACAGATCCAGGTGCAGAAGCAACACTGTATCCAGCATAGTAACTTATTCTAGATATCTTTTAATTAGCAAAGGTGAAACAAGCATATAGCAAATTGCTGTTGATTGAGATCATCTATGTGGTGCATCTCTCTTGCTACATAGAGGTAGAGTTTCATCAGTGGATTCCAACAGCCTTCGTGATTCCCAAGATAAATGTTAGCATAATGATGATTACTTTAGCTACTGTTAAAATCTTACGCGCCTCTAAGTGATCTGGATCGATACTCCAGAATGTTTTTTTCTATTTTTTTTCAGTTGTAATATACAGTCTCTATGTTTCGGAAAAGCCTGCAGGTTAGCGTTAATTTGCAACACTTAAAGTTGAAGGCGTCGCTGCTTCCTTAAAAGACTGAATATCGAGAATGGAAATGAGATACTTGATAGAAGATCAGGGTTCAAATTCTGTCAATATTTCATAAGACTGTGAGACAGTGAAGCCATCATTGTCGATGAATTCCTTACTTTCAAATAAAAAACGAGTAGAAACTCGCTGTCTAAACAAATAATTTATTTTATAATAAGTTACTACGAACTAGATTAACACCATCATTTGGTTTAATCGCATCAGTTTCCACATCTGCATCAGCTGAATTGTTTTCAGTTGACAAGAATTCATTTGAAAGCCTAGAACCAAGGGATAAATTTGATGTATTTAACAAGCATACCTTAGCCTCGCAATTGGTACGAAAAAAGATCAGATTACTGTTTTTCCTCGAAGAAAGATAGTATGGCGATTAGTACACGCCAGATAAAACGCCTTCTATCGGGAGATAGAGTCATTCATATTTCCGTAAGATATTCCGAGCGATGAATACCGTCCGTGTAGCGCCGCCATGTTGGTTTCTTGAAAATATGTATTATATTATATACATTATTGTAACGCAATTTGTAGTTTCCCAATGCACCTTAAGTTCAGCTAAGTGCTTTGTCTTTTGATGATTTTAAATGCCCGTCTCAATTTTTGATAATTTTTTCGCTCATATACTCCAAAGGATATCAACTCAATGGCGGAGTTACATCGCCATTCTTTCACGGTCACAAAGAGGAAAAAAAGTATTGTAGCCTACACGTTTATCTATTTTTAAGTATCGAGCTGGCAACTTTTAAAACCTGTAAATATTAGCACCAGTCGGGTATAAGTTGTTCCTTCGTTGAGTTCCAAGCGAGCACCTGTTAATTTGAACTTGCCAGCTTCGATTTCTCTTCACAGGGACAATTCCAATATGTTCTCCAACTGTGTAGATGAGATTTTAAGATTTATTTTTATTTTAAAAACTTTATTGAGACAATTTCACATTCTTCCTGTCATTGATCTTAAAAACCTGTTTCCGTTGTGCACAGTGGTTCGACTCTGTTGTTATGAGCTGTGGTCCAACGCAGAAGAACTCTTATCCGTAATTAATTCTTACAGTCAGCGGAAATGTCATAAGTTCAGTATAACTTTAAATCCGTTTATATGAAACATGAGTTTCCTTAATTCTTGTTTTTTCCTTTTCTCTCTCTTTTTTTTTTGGTCAAATTTTAAAAATTTCTCTAAGGGAAAAACACCTATACGAAGGAAATGAAAGATTTGATGCAACAAACTACGGAAGCCGGGCAGACAAGGAAAACCAGAAAAACAGGTTGTAGTCACGTGCACGAAACTCGCGCCAACAATACATAAGTGTGACTTATTAAAATTGTAAGAACACTGTCACTGCGCGTTCATACGTTCACCATGGCGAGGAATGTTGTGTGTTGCCGGTCGTGGGGAACAAAACTTCTTCTTAACGGAAGATCATCGAATAATACTCGAACATTGCTATTTTCATTAAGAAGAGGTAGTCACAGCGTTGCTGAAGTTTCAAGGACTGCCACAATTTCTCCTGAAAGGGATCACACCTCCACCAGTCCCGACAAAACAGTTAGTGGATTGAGCTTCAACGACGGCAAAAACGCGTTCCGATCGAAAACGACGTGGGAGATTGTTCGGGCCTTGGCCATATTTAGACTGTGCACCTTCGATATTCTAGTGAATAAGAACAAAGAGGTAAGGAAAATCACAACCCATACGCCTTAAGCTTGCTTAACCTCGTCCTGTTGAAGTACTGTCTAGACAAGACATATCTTAATTCTTACGTAACCTTCAACTGTAGCAAAACTTTAGTAACGTCCAGAACTCGTTTGCGGCTTTTTATCCGAAAGCTTTATAACCAAATATTGTCGATACGCGAGATATTTTGTGAGGTAATCGCACAACACGAACTCTTTTTCATCGTCTTGCTAAATTCCTGAAACCGTGTTGTTTACATGTTTTATAAATGGTAACTCCAACTGTCATGTTGTTGTTGGAAACCTTCATATGTATTCTGTTATTTGATTCCCGCTTATCGTAAAAGATAGACGAAAAAAAGAAAAACTACTCGTAACTCATTATAATCACTGCAAAATCTAACGCTGTTGGCGACTAAATCTATTGAGTCGACGACGAACCACTCTCGTATCACATGTCGATCGCGAAGTTACGTAAAACATCAAGAAAATGGGAAACTTTAAACCATTTTCAATTTCTTGAAATACGGTTAGCAGTAGGTGTAAATGAAATCTCTAAAATTTTATTTTCGCAGCACCGGTCTTGAAGTTATTAAACTTTAAAATTATTCTGTTGCGCAATTGAAAATCCGATAATTAACAAATGAGGTCAAGTAGAGGGCTTTAAGTGAAATGATCGTCGAAACATGTTTTGTCAACTTAAATTGTACTTTCCACCATTGAAACGAAAGGCTTTCTACGTCGAATGGAGATAAATTCTCATCTTGAAACTAGATGTCCAAATGTATTTCGTTCGATTTCAAAATAAACCTTTTTCAAGCCTAGAAATACTTTTCATCTATATCCTCGAGGCTGTTAGATGCGATAATGCATGTAGCAATATGTATCGGCATGTAAGTGTATCAGAATCAATAATTCATAACAAGGTTTTGCCAGTTTCACAATCTTGCAACGATTCAGGCTGTGACTAGTTTCGTTACTCCTGTTGTATCAGTGGAATTTGGAACACGCAAGGCAAACGCCTGAACACCCCTCCAGTAATATGTTGAACTAGCCACTGTCAAAGATAAACATGTACAATATTAAATACGCTGTGTTGCTTACGGGAATAGGAACACATTTTGAATATTCTACATTTTAAGTATCCTGAAAGTCTACTTATTTGCCCAAAATGAAGTATTTTAGCATTTGGCCTGACTGTTGACTACATTGTAAAATTATTCACATCCTTTGTTGCCCTCATTCAAACCAGCTTGAAGCTGAACTGGGCTAGCCTACATTAATATTGCTAATAAACAAATGAATAAATTTTAGCTTAAATCAGAGCAAATTTATGTAACAGAGAAATCTGTATCAGGCAAACTCCTCTATGAGGAAAATCTTGTCTTGAGCAGCCATCAAGAAGAGTCATGTGGATGCTCATTTAGATACTGATTTCACTTTAATAAACAATTCGGGCTTTACTTTGTTATTTCAAAATTGCTGAGGTCTTGTACCTGATGCATAAATAAAATCTACCATACACACTCATCATTCTGCAACAATTTTCCTTGAGAAACTCTCTTGTAAAATTACATAATTTTAAACTTTACTACTGTACATGTTTCAATTTTAGTTGCTTCAGTTTGGTCAAAAGATTCTTGGAAAGAATTTGTTCAGGAAGTTAATGAAGGCCTCTTTTTATGGTCATTTTGTGGCTGGTGAAGATCAAGAAGCAATCAAGCCAGCAATTTCTAATTTGGAGAAGTTTGGAGTTGGTGCAATTTTAGATTATTCCGTGGAAGAGGACTTGTCAGAAAATGAAACCAAAAGTCACATGGGACAAAATACTGAAGATTCTGTAGATCCATCAGACGAACACGACAAATACAAACCCCATGAAGAATTTGCAGATAGGAGGAAAGGAGTGTACAGTGCTCGGACATATTTTTATGAAGGGGAAGAAGAGTGCGAAAAGAGAGTCGACGCATTCTTGAAATGCATTGATGCAGCAGGTAAGATCGCTGTATAAACTTAGTTGAATTCTAAACATGGAATAGATAGAATTAGGAGCCCACAATGGGCTCCTGATAGAATAGAATAAGTAAACATATGTATTATTATTTAAGGCAATAATAAGGTATTTTGAAATTAATTTTTTTTTATATATATTACAGCAAGTTCTTCCAAGGATGGCTTTGCTGCAATCAAGGTTACAGCCTTAGGAAGGCCTCAGATACTTGTGAGTAAGACATCTTTTGAGAATTAAGGCAGTGGTTCACACTACTGATGCTAACACAAGCTCAAAAATTCTAGAATTAATTAAATCTTTTTTGACCATGTGACCATTTGAACTTGTGAAAAAATTGATAAATAATGTGAATCCTTAAGAACACTCTCCCTCCATTCAAAATTGACCAGAATAGCTAATCACTCATTTTGGTTGCCCAAATTTAGTGGTTATGAGGATCAACAGTATGCTTTCAAAACAAAAACATTAATCAGATTACACCCTTAAAATGATTCATTTCTGAATACAAAGTATGCTCCTTTTCTTACAGATGCGAATCTCAGAAATTCTGAATCGGACACAGTACTTCTTTGATCATCTGGCTTCAGATTCTGTCTTGATGGATAAGATTGGAAACAGTGTTGCCAGAGACAAGTTCTTTGAAGGCCTGAAAACACTTGGGGTAATTGATGCTGTCTTTTGAATGGTTCACTTTGCATAGTTGAGCAGTTCTAGGCAATTTCAAGTAGAGTGATATTATAATAGGTGTGAATTAATTGACTGTATGATCGTTTCTTTTTTCACTGTCAGGTTGAGATGAATCCAGAAGAAGCAAACAGAATATTTGACTTAATTGACACCAACAAGTCAGGGTAAAGTAAAGTTATGAACAATAACTACAATTTGTTGATTCTAAAATGAGCATAAGATAATGTGAATTTTAGCTAACTTTTCTCTTTCAAGTTATGAAAATTTGGCAGACTATTGGCTAACAACCTGTGTTGTTATGATTAATTCTAAATTGAAGGCTGATGGCATGAAAAGCTATTTGCAATCCATTCGATAGTATTCCTTTTTTTTTAACTTGTAGAAAGCTGTTTTCTGATGGAATCAGAGTACTACCCCTGCCTAGCCCTTTACACCAAATCTCCTTTTATTAATACTCCTCAGCCTGTCTTCTTTCAAGTGTACTCCCCAAAATTAACAAAAAGGGCAATTTTAAATGTGACACTAAATTACAGCTGCTGTATTCACTTACCATAATCTTGACTTAATTTATTACAATGAATTATGCTGGTTATCCTTAAAAGCTTTGTATTTTCCATTTCTAGTGATATTGATGTCATAGAATGGCATGAATTCTTAACCCCGCAGCTGAAACTTTCTCAGTTATTCAGGGCAAAGCCACAGGGTGATGTAAGTTCTCAAATATTCTTCTCATTTTGAAAGAAAGTAAAATCTTGTTCACCTTGATGGTTATCTGTTGCAAGGAGTTTCAGTTTTAAATAATGAATTTGTATACACAAAATATTTGAAATACTTCTTAAAAAATGACAGCATGATAGACTGCAATAAATTTTCATTCTGTAATTGGTTGTTAGGATTCATAGTAATTTTCTTTTTTTCACAGGAGAAGTCAGGAAGGCCAATAATTTCAGCTCTGACAGACGAAGAACTTATTCAAATGGAAAATATGGCAAACAGACTAACAACTCTTGCTGAGGTGCACACTGTCTTCTTGTTAGCCCTTAACCCTTCAACACCCATAGGGGATTAACATGTAGCTTCTCCCTATAATATCTTTACATTGTCTAGCCAACAGGTAACTAGAATACTCAAACAAATCAGGTCGAATTTGTCATGATTAACAAGGAAATGTTTAGCAGTCAAGGAGGGGGGGGGGGAGAATTAACAATCAGATCTCAGGATTATAGGGTAAATCCTAGAAAAGACATACCACACCTACAAGAACACTTTTTAGTCTTCCACTTGGCAAAAAATACTACTAGACTTGAATGCACTGCTGGTAGCAGTGAATATTTTGTAAGGAGCATTCATTAATAAAAATTATTTCCAATAAAAGGAAAAAAAGACAGTTTTATTTTTAAGTTAGTGAGGAAGACACTACAAGTGTTCCCCCACTTGAGATTACAGTATACTACAAACTGATGAGGAAATTTAGGGGAAAAAGATTATTGTTGGAAAAAGCTGCAGGCAAATTAGAGTAGAGCTTATTGTGAGCTTAAGAAACTTTGCACTTCCACCTGCCAAGAAGATTCCTCAAACAAAAACATGATTTTTGTGCGAACATTTTTGTAATTATTAGCATGCTTCAAAAACTGGTGTGAGGCTTATGGTTGATGCTGAGCAAACCTACTTTCAACCTGCCATAAGACATCTCACTTTAGACTTGATGAGGAAGTTTAACAAGGAAACACCACTTGTGCTGAACACATACCAGTGTTATTTAAAGGTGAGTGTTTGTCTACAAGTTTTCACCTTCATGGAAGTCTTCAAGTTGATATTTCCTCAGTAGTTGTACAGTTTGGAAGGGTAGACTTCTTTCTGGTGTTCTTTGAGGGGTAGCATGGCAATTGTAATGCACTGGTCCTTTTTTACTGTACTAATACAAATGAAGAGGCCTTGGCTGTAGTACTATTGAGTTGATGTCACTATTGTAACAACCAAGTCAAGAGGTCAAGAACTGACATTAGGCTGCAGAAGGCTTTATGATTTAATTATACAAAAGTAATGTACCCCAAAAAACCCACAAAGGGAAGCTATACACTACATATTACTACAGCTCACTTGGTATGAAAAAATTGCTCAAATATAATATCAAATAGTTGTGCTATCTTGTATATCCAAGGACACCTACACAAAGATACAAACAGACATGGAATTGGCAAGACGGGAAGGATACATGTTTGGTGCCAAGCTTGTGCGAGGTGCTTACATGGAGCAAGAGCGCCTTAGGGCCAGCACAATAGGCTACCCTGACCCAATCCACCCAAGCTACAAGGCAACCAGCAAATGTTTTGATGAAGTTTTGAATGCTGTGTTAGAGGAAACCAAAAGAGGAAATGCTAATGTTCTTGTGGCAACTCACAATGAGAATTCCATCAAGGTGGCCATCAACAGGTAATTTTCAGTTTACTGCCACCTTAAAGATTACAAACCACCATCTGCATAGCTTACAATCAAGGATTTAGGTTCACCTTTCAAACCCTTTTCTGGGAACAGGCACTAATATTACACCATTGCCAGCCGCTTGTGGAAAAAGATATTGAAATCCTTGGCTCATGGTATAAATCTTGCCTTTCTGTACAGCAAATTGCACAGTAAGATTTTTAAAATAAAGCACCAATTTATTTATAACTCATTTAAGCTTGAATTGACCTTGCTTTTGATGTCCTTAAGTGCACAATGTGAAATCGCTCTGCCATACAACATTTTGCACACTGTGATTGTACACTGCTGAGGGGCTATAGCAAAGGGGATACTATTTTTTCTTCAAGATCACAGAGAGTTTTAACAATTTTTTTTTTATCTTCTCATAGGATGCATGAATTGGGAATTTCACCTCAGGAAAGGAAAGTCTTCTTTGGACAGCTCTTTGGAATGTCTGATGCAATTTCATTTACATTAGGTATGAGGGTTGTACAGTTACATATCTGCATTTCAAGATATAGTTGCTTGAAGTATTGATTTACATGGCTTTTGCAATCACACATTACCAGCACAGGGAAGGAGTATTGCGGCCCAATGAAGCATAGCAGGGTACAAGAGGCTCACATTTGGAAAGCTCAGTTAAATGAAGTAAAATACGAGGTCTAAGATTCATTAAACTGTGCTTTTCAGTGAGATGCAAAGAGTCGTGGTGAAGGTTAAGTTCATTTAAAATTTGCTTTACACTGTTGTCAATCATATTACAGACCTCTTCGGAAACATGTACGTTATCTAGTAGATCCCAAAGGTCATGTTCTGAATTGCAAATTTGAAAATTTCAATCCAGATTATTTGTAACTTGTAGGGTCCATTAAAATATGGTGCTAGATGGCTTGGCTTGGCTCGGCTCAGAGCCTCAAAGCTTGCAAGTAATACTGCACAGTTCAGTAAACATCTAAAACAAAAGTCTAAGACAAACCAGAATAATCACAGTATGTATAAAGGCATACTCCCCAACCTTCATAGTTCACTTCAGTGATTCACAGGAATTGCCTTCAACCACTGAACTAAGATTTTTCTCATCTTTGATTCAGGTAATGAAGGGTATGCTGTGTACAAGTATGTGCCATTTGGGCCTGTGGAAGATGTTCTGCCATACCTCTCGCGAAGGGCCATGGAAAATAAAGGCCTCTTAAAGGGGGTGCTCAAAGAGAGAGGCCTTCTCTGGGGGGAGCTTAAAAGGAGGTTCCAAGAGGGAGAGCTGACATACAACCCAGCATTGTGAGATGATATTGGTTCTTCAAAAAGAAGCCACAGCTCCAGAAAGCAGACCTTGCTTTCAACAGTTTTTCAAACTAGAGTTCCTTTGACCATACTAATTAAAATTCATACTAAGAACAACCATAATAATAGGAATATAATTTGATTACAGTCACAATTGTTTGTATATAAATATAATTACACATAATTTTTAAAAAATTAAGGAATTCAAGACGGAACAATCTTTAGATGCCATATGCAAGACTTGTTTTGCTCATTTGCCCAAATTTGAAACACCTTTTGCAGTCCACATTTGTTGGAATTCAAAATTTGGCAAACACTTACTGTGCTTGCTGGGATTTTCTATCCATTATTGACAAGATGTGGCTTTAAGTGTAGCTTAGTGAAATAACCTTAAGGTTCTAACAATGATCTGGACCTGATACCTCGTTCAGTATCAGTTTAATTAAGGAAACTGTACATCAGTCGAGTTGTTGTATGTATATTCATTCCATACACAAGAAATGCAATAAGTACTTTACTCCATGTTTGCTGCTGAGGGTAAAAACAGTCATTAAGTTTTGATGTAGAGTAAAATAATACTACAAATTTTACATCCTAGGACAGATTATGTTCATACTTTTTCAGCAATGGAAAGTAAGATTTGCAGTTTAATTAATACAGTAATGAGGCAAATTTTTTTGCAAAATTTTTTAAGGTATTGACATAGTAAATAAGAAGCTTACAGAAATATTTGTTCATGAAAAAGGTGCTTGAGGGCAAAGGGCAGTAATTAGTAAATTTATCAGTACCACTGGGTTTTTTGTTCATCCAGACAATATAGTCTGAAGGAAATTGTGTTAGCAAGTATTTCTTTATGGAATACCTTATTGATTTTTGAGTTTATTTATTCCTGAGGATTTGTAAATATGTCACAGTCAACTGTTGAGAATATAAATTTGAACAATAGCACAGAATGGATGATATAACACTAAAAGTTGAAATCAATGGGGCGAGATTCTAAATACATGCGTTAAGTGGGGGTGGGGTATACTTTCCTCTTGTGTCACTTGGGACATTGCTTAATGTTTAGGATTTTAATGTTTAAAATCATCTTTGCAAATATTGTACAGAACAAGAGGAATGTTTTAATTCTGGAATGATGTAATTAGTGGTACTCTGAAATTCAATGAAAAATATTACATGCATAATTCTACTATAGAAAATTAGATTCTGCTGTTTTCCAATTATTTTTAATATTGAGTATGCTGGTATCTGGAAAATGATTGGGGTATTTTCAGGTGTAGGTAACTAAAGAAGAATCCAGTCTAGGGAAAACGCAAATAAATATGTAGAAATTAGCATTGGCTCTTCATCCATAGCTTAAGGGCACACTTGTCCTCTAGTTAGGAATGGTGAATGGTAACTTGAAAAATTTGGGGTGATAAAAATTTCTAGTCAGATATTGAAATTCTCTAAACCTTTAAGTTGAGTTGCAAAGTGATGTATTTCTTTCAAAGTTTTTAGAGTCTGGGATTTGCTATTCCACCAGGGTGTGGATGTAGAGTAGCTCAGAGTGATGGTTGTGAGGATTGCAATTTGTGTATGATTATTTTCATTTTTCTTTTTAAAACATTGCAATGTAGAAGTCAAGTTATATAAGGGAATGAAAAAGGGAGCATATTGACATTAATCTGTTCGTAAGGATTGTAATATTGAAATGTCTGGGTTTTGGACTTTGGAACAGAGGTTTTGAAGTCTTGTGAGTCTTGGATTTTATCATATATAAACCCCGTTTTGTAATAGATGGTAATGTCTTTGTCTGAGTTATTGATCCCAACACTAATCTCCCATTTTTAAGATGTCTTTGCCTGCAAATCAGAGCCAGGCCAAGGTGCATGTCCATTCATGTGAAAATCAGTCCAATTTGGGTGTCAGTTAAATAGGTAAATGATGTAACAAAGACCTACTGAGATAATCAAAATAAAGGCACATGAGAAATGGACTAGTCAAATATTAGATAAATTAATTACACTTAGAATAAACATTTTCAATAGGGGTAAAATATGGTATGTGTACTGAAATGTTGTAAATAATTGGTGTCCTCAATGAATGATCGAATAAAAACAAGGTGTTTACACTTCCACCAGATTGTTAACTCATCTAATATAGAGTCTTGGTTAAGAAGCAGAGGGGGGGCACTTGTAAGCCATAATAAAACTATTTGAAGAGATGTGTTCCACACAACATGATGAACATGATTAAGTGAATAAAATCAACGTATGGTCTTGAAAAACTTGCCCTACAACATATGCCATTCATTAAACATACTGCAGAGGGTAACACAGAAGGAATTGTGCACTTCTGTTTAAAAAGAAACATTCCCACCATCAGAGAAACGTTTAAAATAATTTCATTTTTTTTTTAATATTTCTTGTCAGGGGAAAATGATAGCAAAGCCACAGACAATTGTGCAATATTCTTGTTGTGGCTGTTTAGGTATGTTTCCAGTGCTGTTAGCAGTGCTGGTTACAGGGACAAGGGCCTGACCTTGATCCCGATCTGCACACCACACTTGATCCATCTATAGAGTTAATGAAAAACCATATTATTCAACACATTGTAACTTACAGGGAAACACTCCTCTACATGCTTTGTCACATTAACATTTGTTCAGTGGACACAAACAAAATTGTTTGTCAAATTTGCCACTTTCACTCCCATAAACTTGCTATAAAGATGTTGACTGATGAATGATGTCAAAGTATTCACAGCACACCAAGAGCAAAAGGATTTATAACCACAGCAAATGAAAGAAGCAGATGCTTGTGAAAAACGTAGAGCAAATGAGGCTTGAGGGTAACATCTCTGCGAATGGCATGATCATACATTAACGCGTTAAACTTTTGACTACCCAGCATCTAATTTCCCCCAACAATGATACTACCAAGTCATTCATGAAGATCACCAGAGTAAAGGAAATGATCACCAACTTAAGAAGCTTTGATTGATGAAATAATTTTCCTTGTCAGTACCAAAGGAAATATACAGGAAAGAGAATGGAGAACATGGATACTAATGTTAGGGTGACGAGGGTTAAGGCTACTGAAGCAACCAAACTAAATTAAAGTAACTTAAATCCATCAGATGGCCCCTGTGCTTATTTGTCGTCATGAGTTAATCTGAGGCAGAGTTCTCATTCTCTACCTTAAGCACATATCATCACTTGGATCTGTTCATATGGCAAAACTACTGCAAATGTTTATAAATGCAAGGCAGAAATACACAAATTTAACAAGAAGAAGAGGTGGGTACTGAGGCATTGTAAACTAGAGCAGTTTGGCCAAGACAATAATGAATAAAAGATACACCAACAACACTAGACAAAAAATCAAGGTAAAAATGTAAAACAATACTTGTACTTACCACATGTAATCCCACAAATGAGGTGCTATCATCCTGCTTTTTCTCTAGAACATACTGTAGAGAGTAAACAAATATTTTAATAATCAAATTATAAATAATCAACAGCTAGGATTCTACTAAATATGCTTTCTTGCTTGTGTTTTAATAAAAAAAAGTTCTGTCAGCTGCTCAGATTTAAAAAGCTCGTTTGTGAAACAACATATTATATTCAGTACACAATATGGTTGTAATCATCACTGCAGCAGAACAGACTCAACACAACGTTACAATCTTTTATCAGCTATTGTTGTTTTTTAGTATTTATAGACCAAAAATCACTTCTTAATTTGACTTGATAATGACGTTCAGCCAACGTCGAAACGTCGTCGCTTTTTAGCAATTTTTTAATCTTAAAATGTTTTTAAGTAATGTCTTATCACAATTTTTTATAGTGAAACAACTGACAATACCCGGAAATAAGCCAGGCTAAGTTTTACAACCAGTCATTTGTGAGTTTGCATCAGAAGGAGTTACTTCAAAGAAATTATACTTGATTTAAAAACAACAACAACAAAACAATGAATGTGGACATTTTATATCTAAATCCTCATTTTGTACATGAACTCAAAAAAAACAATGTAAAGAGCATTTTTGACTTTGTTATACTTACAGTTGTCCCTCAGAGAAAAAAAAACTCTTTGTGTCCACAGATTTCTAAAAATACAACAAAAAAGTATTTTTAAAACCACAACTGAAAGGAAAAGGTTTAACCCTTTAACTCCCAAGATCTGATTGTTTATTCTCCCCTCTAGCTGCTACACATTTCCTAATAAATTAGTTATGATAATTCGGTGTTAGATCAAGATCACAACTTCAACCTGATATGTCTGTGTATTCTCACTACCTTTTTGCTAGATAATGTATGGATGTTATGAGGAGAAGTTACATGTTAATCACTTCTGGGAGTTAAAAGGTTAAACTATCTAAGATTATATTTTAAGGACATGCTCAGACTGGAGGAAAATAATGTCTTCAGACTTATTTCAGGTGAAGAAATTCAAAGCATCACTGCATGTCTTTGATAGCAAAGGTAAATTAAGAATAGTTGGTGAAGAGTCACAGATGTAGAAGTGATTAACACTGCAATATCACCAAGGTATGAGATCAGACTTACCCCACACAACACATAGAGAGCAGCAGCATTACAAGATGCAAACACAACTTTTCTTTCTGTCCATCTTCATCTCAGTCATCTAGCATCTTTACATGACCCTTGAATAACCCCTACAATGAAAACACACTCTTCTTTTTCTTGTCAGGATCACATACAACAAGTTACATTAACATGATGCAGTTGCTGATGTTGCAGTGGAACTTTTGAAACAACTATTTTTCATGCAATTCAACAAGCATCACCTTGCTCATGCAACACTAGCTTAACACCACAAACTGTCAGCGACTTAAATAAAGTGAGTCATTCTACTCTGCTATCATCACTGATGACAAGTAGTCAACACCTTCGCAAAGTCTCATCATCCAGCCCTATTTAAAATTTCTCACGACCACATGTCTACTGTTGTTGAAAGATGTTACAATTCCCACAAGCAAGGAATAAAATGGTGTAATGACCATCTTTCACTTTGTTTTTGACACCTTAAACCAGCAATGTCTATAGACAAATTTGTTAATGTTATTTCTGTAATTACTCAACATACAATATATGAAAATACATTAACTTCTAGGAGAGGCTGAAGAAAGCTGATAACATTAATGAAAAGTTACCTTAACAAAAGATATCTCTGCAAGTGACTTGCTACCTAAGAAACAATAAGAGAAAGTATTTTTTTCAGAATATTTTGCATGTATTTCCTCTATAATATTGTGTGCTGAGGAGCACTGGATTAAGTTTAACAAAACAGTAATTCATTTTAATAACCAAGAGCAAAGAGAGAGTTCTTTTGCAATCAATTCACTGCTCAGACTCTGTTTTCATTCAGAGTTAAGTGGGGTAGTACTTCACTCAGGGTTTAAGCCTTTTTATGTCATCATGGCAGTGAAAGGTTGGTTTCATGTTAAAAAAATTATGTCTCCGGATATCATGTGAACCTCAAAAAACAATCTTTGATATGTAGCAATTCCCTTTGGACACCAAATGAACTCATCTGCCCCCCTGATGACAAACCTCAAATTGTTCCAAAACTTACACTTCTGTGCCATATCCATTGTAGAAACTTCCTTGCGGAAAGGATCTGCAACACTTATCAGGCTAAATGCCAATTAAAAATTTCTGGAGCAGCAGCAGCAGTGTTCTTATTTCCTATGGAAAAAAGACGACAAATATATGTCAACAATTCAGGGGTGAACAAGTTAAGAAACTGTTAATTAAATAACCAATTAGAGTAAGTAATTCACTGGTCAGAAAAAGAAGAAAGTTCATTCATTTCAATTCAGAAGAACGAAAGTTTGGATTATTCATCATTCCAGTGAATGAGTAGTTCACAAAAAGCTGCTGCTCTGGTTGTCACACGATAAACATTGTTTGAGTCTAAAATGCTTTCTTCTTGCTCCTTACTGTTCAAACAGGTTGGAAAGAGATAGAAAATGAGGAGTGATCTATTGTGTTGTATCACAAGTAAAAGAGTAATATGCCAGGAAAGACTTTAAATGATTTTAAGATGATTGCACCCATTGTTGAGTTTCACTCAAAGTTAACTCTCCAAATATGTACTCTTCATGATGAAGACAATAGTTATTTGGTTACAGATCTCTTTTAACCATTTAACTCCCAGAATTTCACCTCACAATAATTATACATACAAGACAAGTGATGAGAATAAAGAAAAATATCAATCAGGGGATTATTACTTGATCCAATGACAAATTCTCAGAACTAAAATCATAGTAATTGTATGGCAGTCATTTAGGAGAATTACTAAAGAGATCTTGGGAGTTAAAGGGTTAAGGTAAATTTCTTGGGTTCCAAAAACCGTTTCTCAGTACCATTTAAACAATTCTCATGCTCTCCTCAGTATGTACCAATATTTTTTGTAGGTTTTTTTAAATCACTTTTTCAACGAAAGCATGACCACATTGGCTCCAAAAAACCTAAGCTAGGAATATTGCACTGATAAAGATTCCTTTTCTGTTGGCTTTCATGTCAGACTTAGTCTCATGAATTTAGGGGTTAACTTTAATCTTCTCCTTTCCCCCCCAAAGTTCTTGGTTTACTTCCATTTAGCGCTTAAAGAGAAATAATAAAAATTTCTACCCGACTAACTCATAAAATATTGCTGAAAATTGCTCAAATTCACAGAGGTAAAGAGATAAAGCTATAGACTGCCTCTCTAAAGTGTTTAAAGATTTGTAAGGAGTAAATCATTGTAAAATGTAGGATAAATTTTGTTTAGAGGTAGGTAAACATAAATTGAATCAAACTTTTCATCCTTTTTTAACCTATCCCCGCTCATATTAAGTTTTTTTTAGTGAATATTTCATCGATAGTAAATGAACCGACTCCTAAATTACGAACTTTGCGGTTTGCACATTTGAAAATTTTGTTCGTTTGCAAGAGTTAGCTGCACGTGGTTAACTGACTAAGAGCATATTACCATTGCTGTGACCACCGATCGCCCTGAGACCTACACCATTTCTTATACCATGAGTTTAACTTAAGTCTGCTTTATACGAAAGATTCTGGTACAAGGAATACGATAAAAAAGTAATAAGTGTTTACCCATGCACACTGACCTTGCTTTCCCTCCGCCTTTCAATAGCCGCTCACTCACTCACGCGGTTTTTGTAACCCAGAATGCATTTCAAATTTTCTTCCCGTGACAGAAATACTCCTAGGGGTTGAGAGGGTGGGGTTTAAGGAGAGGGGGAGGGGGGAGGAGGGTAGAAGCTACAATGGAAACATATATGACACATATTGGATTATATATAGCGTTGCTTTTCAGCTACTGTACAGACGTTATCCATTTCGGAGGTCAAAACATAAGCTCTTGACTAGCCCAAATCTTGTATGCTTTGATCTTAAAAGAATTGAACATGAGTCGTTACAGGCCTATGAAAATTATTTTGGTTAAATAAGAGAATCCTTCCTTGGTGTGACGTTCAGGAATAGAATCCTCAGTACAAAATCAAGGGAGGCTAACAAATTTCCAATGAAATGGAAAGTAGTTTTCAACATTACAGGAAAATTAGATTATAAAAACAAAATAAGTAGGAAGAAGTAATGAAACAATGTAACATCAAAGGATATCCCAGATTTTTTTTACTCCAACATAGAGCAAGTAACCCTTTCTAGGCTATGAGAGTCCATCAAATTTCTGCTAAACTGACAAAACCTTTCATGGTATTGCCCTCTTGGAAAATTAAAACACCTGGCTCTGGTTGTTTAAAGGGTGAATAGCTATATGTATTGGGTAGATTCCCATCCAGTGGATAGCACATTAGGTTTTGCTAACAGTTATCCATTGAATAGGGTATTATCTGTTGGATAGCCGTATCCACCCTTTGAAAACTGGGCTGTGATTTAGAACGATTAGAAAGTTTTAGATTTTCTTCATGATGGTATTGAGGATAGGCAGGATTTTCCCACACACATCAGAGGGGGTCCTTTATCTGCATCTTGGTGGCAATAATGGCATGTCAGGTTGTTTGTGTACTATGGATTGTCATGATTTGATTGCAGGGCAGGGTCACATACCCCACCCCTAGACTCCCCCTTCCCTAAACCCTTGACTACCCCTGAATGATCAAGACAGAATTTCTCTTAACAGTATCAATACTATATCAAGCAGACAAGTAATGAGAATAAAGAAATATAAAAATATCAATTTGGGTATCATCAGTTGATGCAATATGAAATTCTCCAAACTAACACCATAAGTATGGCAGATGGTAAAGAGCGTTATTAATGAGACCTTGGGTGTCAAAGGGTCAACCCTGCCCTTTCCATCTTTTGAAGATGCTGTGACTGAATATCAAGAAAGAGCATCATGGGCAAGCAAAAACCATCCTCACTAAAAGCAAGGAAGTAGTCAAAGTGTCTGAATGAATGCATTTTATTTTAATGAGTGTGTTACAGCTGGGGTCTGGCACTCATCCCCACGTAAGCTCCAAACCCCTGGCACTTTCAGTACACCTCATTAACACCAGCAGTGTCTTTACTTTCATTGGGGTGCCAAAGGTTAACTAAAATTACATCATCTTCACATTCTAAGCTCTCCGATTAGTCTGCATCATCCTCTCAATTAATCAGATGCAAAATTGAAGTGAATGGCAACTTATTTAAGCACTTTTTCCTGCATTGGAGGTCTAAGTTCAAATGAGCACCTGGTTTTGGTTTTAAGACGTAACCCGACAGCTTCAAGTATGCAATTGTTAATCTTCTGAGACCTACACTATTCCTTCTCAAGTTAAACCATGGGCTCTCTTCTGCTTATGTAGCAATTTGAAGATAAAGATAAAAAGCTACACACAGTACATCTTTGTGCCCCATGGCACCTTTTCATGTTTCAGACTTGTCACCTGTTTTTGTGCTTCAGGTGTGTTCTTGAGGCACAGGCCATCATTGTGTTCCAAGACTTAAGCCTTGAATCCTTGGTGCCTGGCTTCAGATCACTGTTGAACTCTATTTTCCATGTTCTGTCCTCTGCTATGATACTACTCGTGTGCTGGTATGCTGTTACACCAAGCTTTTCAATCATCAAAAGCCCAGAATGTAGAGGGTTTTCCATTAGAGTCTCTTTCACGTTTAACAAATGAGGAAAAAGAAGACACGCAGTTTCCAATGAAAAAGTCAGCTCTACCAAGAATGGCAAGATCTATCTGTGGCAACCAAGGATTGAGATGGAAAATCTGAACCTGGTATGGATTACAGAAAAAAGGAAAGAACAGCTGGATAATGGAAGGAGAGAGGTCGACGACACAGTGAAAAGGAAAGCTTAAAAAAAGAAAAGTCTCTCAGACCTTCATTATTCTTAGATAATTTTGTTTCTGACATTTCAAGAGTAAGCCCTTCATCAGAGCAAATGATGTTTTTTCCCAATTTCAATAGATGTACATGACAAATTATTACTCATTCTAAGGAAGATGATTCTGACTCCCTGCAACAAATTTAGGTAAAAATTGCAAGATACAAAAAACATGACATTAGCTCCTTTTCAGTTACTGTAGCATCTAAACAGATATACTTACATTCAGTCCTTTAAGTCTAAACTTCAATTCCTCTGTCATTGGATCACTATCAGTGGCCACAAACACAGCCTTTGCTTTAAATCTTCTCACAGCCTCTTCAGTGCGATTAAGGATGTCTTGTTTGGGTGGAAAGCAGAGCTCTTTTGTAACAGTTCTGTATCGTGAATAACCCAGACACTGTGGTGATGCCATGTACTGAGGCATACCTTCTGCATGCTCACAAGCATTTCTCTTACAGAGAGAAATAAAGTAAGGTTAGATTTGCTTTCAATTACCACTTTACAATTTACTTTAAATTTCTTTCTATGTTGCAAAGGTTACATGGATGTATCCAAACCAGTTGCTAGACACTATAATCTCCCTAATCATTCAAAGCACCAAAAAGTGGTTTGCAGTGTTTTCCTACAACTAGGTAGTTCAGAAAGCTACAAAACTCTAGAACAAAAATTTATCTTTCAAATTGGTAATCTTAATCTCACAGTATCAACAAGCGCTTTTCATTCAACTAAATTATTCTTGTCTTCTAGTCACCAGATTCCCACCAATAGTGTAGCTCTATTTTCTGCATAAACACATACAAACAACCCACAATTCCTCCATTTGCTCTGATAAGGGTCTAACCCTTGAAACCAGCTTTGAAATTCTTAACAGTGGCCAATTTACATTCTCAACTCAGTTCATACCAAATTACCCAAAAACAAAAGAGTTGCAAAAATAAGAAAAAAGGAAACAAGTTTTCAGTCCACAATTACACATAATGATGTGTAACAGACGTAAACTAACTGTACAGTTTAATTCACATGGGAAAAATTTTAGGTTGATGGAATTGAGAGGAGAATATCTATGGACCAGGTCATCGGAATATCTCTTAAAGAAAATGCTACCTTAAGATCTATTGAATTACAGTACTAAATTTATATATCACAAATGAGTCATCTATACCCAGTCAATTCCATTACGTAGATGAATTCCAACAAATGGCCCTTTTGGCAAATTGTTCTGTATATACTCATCCACTTCACTGTTGATCTTTTGTGACCACTTCAAAAAAGCATGCGCTTGACGATTCTGCTCTTCAACTGGAAAACTAGCTGGAGCTCCTCTAAATGCAAGAACTGGATGACTGGATGGTGGAAATCTAAGGAAAGACATTTAAATTCTATGATACTCTTCTTTTCAATGCTGCTTGACTAAGAATCTCTCTAACTACCCAAAAACAAATTTCTTTACCTATTTCATTCCCAAGATTGCATTAGCAATTATCCTTACTGTCTGTTATACAATCCTTATGCTGTTCATCAGCAGAATTTGCTCTTAGATCAACTGATGAACCTTAATTGATATTTTTCTCCATTCTCATCACTTGTCTTCTTGATACTGTATTGATATTGAAAGGAGAAATTCTGTCTTGGTCACTTAAGGGCTTTGAAGGGCTAAGGATGAGAATGAAATGAACTAGCTCAGGACTTTAGAGATAATCCTGATAAGTGGGACAAATTTTGTCAAATGAGGGAGAAATTTCACCCTAGTTATGGAGCTAAACTTTCAGACAAGTTTCTTTTCATGTGGAAAATTCAGGTTGTTTTCCAAGATCATAAGTTGCAACCTATTTTCAATAATTTAGTTTCAGCAAGGCTGAAGTATCCATTAGGGAATATGAAAAGAAGACGACTGTTTCAATTTAGGTTCATCAAGTATGAACAGCTTCAAACATAAAGAGAGGCAGAGTAAAGAAGGTAATGAGATTTCACTAATAAAGAAAAATATCCATTCCCTCCCAACAAAACTTACTTCTTCTGCCATTGTTCCCTCTCATAAGGATCTTGTACATGAATTCCAAGATGATAGACAATTTTCTCATCAAAGTCCACTTCTAGTTCATCCCAGAATGGTTTGAATGGATTTCCTTCCTGGCAAGAAAGACACTTTTGTTTGGATTGGGCTTGACACCATGCACACAAAACAATCCTAGCATCAGTATGCATAGCCTTTGTAATGTTCTCTATGCATTTCCTTAGGTGTTACAAGGGGAATTTGTTTAACAATCATTAGCTGCTTTAGTTAGTCATATTATGTTTATTCTCATGACCTAAATACATGGATCAAGGGTGATATTGTAAGGAGAAATTAGATGCTAGTCATTCCTAGGAGGTCTAAAGGTTAGGAAATTGAAATAATAGACAAATCATACACAGCCACAGAGAACAATCCAGCAGTGGTTATTTAAATTTCATGACAGTTCTGTCACAGTTCTACTCCACTGACCCCTTTTTACCTTCATAATGCATTTCCTATCAGATCTAGGAGGTAACCAGCAGTAGCCACGCCTTGTTCCTTTTGGCCAGTGAGTGGGAGCTAAATGCTTCATAAAATCCTCTGCTAAAATAACCCTATGATAAGTTTGAAGGGGTTCCACTTGGAAAAAGTCAGAAAAAGGTACATTTTTCTGCAGATGGAAAAGATACAAATAACTCTGGTTTAAGATAAAAACTGTGAGTGCATTGTTAAAAACAACAATGGGCTCTTTTTGGTCCTTATCAAAACTGATAAAGGTTTGTAGTGGTGGTAAGTCAATGCTACAATTATCAAACATTTTCTAAAAGAAAAACTTGAAACACTCATAACATTTTACAGTGAATAATTAGCTAAAATGGATGGCCTGACATACTTGCATTTAATTCCTGCTAAAGGAATCATTATGGGCTTTTCAGCATCCAACAAAGCGCTACATTTGTTGTCACACAAGTCCCAGAATTATGGTCACTGTGATAATTGCCCTTTACATCACACACGAATCCCCAGTTATATATCAATTAGCAAAAGGACTCTGATATATCTACGTCCTCCCATCAGGGAAAAATCTGTATGTTGTGCCAGCCCAATCCTAAAAGCCTGTAAATTTTACATAGCTTAATTAATGTATTATGCACAATTTGTATTCTGTTTCAAGTTGCTGATTAAAATACATCATTGAAGGCAAACATGGAAGGAAAGTTTCTCTGTTTAAACTTAAGTTTGAGTTGTTTACTCATCATGTACAAGAAAATGAGGCTGTACTGAAAAAATAGAAAGATGCTTAACATACATATGTTCTCCAAGGTGGAAGAATTAATGTCCTGTCAAGAGCCTTTGCAAATGCTAATGCTCCCAGAAAATGTTCAGCCTGGTTTCCAAATCTTCCTGTAGAAAAAGAAAATCTAAGCTCCACATCTAACAGAAATAATTTGTGCCTTCTTACATACTCTTTATATTGTGTCATTGTATCAATGACTTTTATCCCTTGTTTAACCCCTGAGAGTGACTAGCATCTAATTTCTCTTTACAGTATCACTGATGAATCACAAGAACAGAAGGAAAGATCACCAACTTAGTGTCATGTCAAAATGCAGACTGGAGACCATGCAGACCAAGCAGATAATGCAGACTGAGCAGATCATGCAGACCATGCAGACCATGCAGACTCTGCAGACCATGTTGACTCTGCATTTTTTTTGTTTGCTTTTTTTAACTCTGATTTGCATATGATTAAGGTGTGCACATATTTTTCTTATTCTTTTGATAACATGACATAACTTTACCTGATTATTTGCAAGGCTATTTCGACTCATGCTACCTATAGCAACAATTTGCATACAATCGCAAGCTCAAGTTTACCGAGTTCATAAAGATAAGCCTCACGCGGCAAATGATGGAAAATTGACCCAGCATGACCGCAAACTTTAAAAGACCAAGAATTCTGGACTGTTAAATTCTCCTTGTCAGTATCATAGGAAATATTCAAAGAACGGAGGATATGCACATACAAGGCGGATAGACGTAATAATTTCCACATCTGAAGATCCACTTACCCATGCAGGGGCAGTAAAATACGTAACCATGAGGGTCCCAGTTAAAACTTGCTTCAGAGTTTTTCATTTCTGAGGGGCCGGCCGACTGCCCTTGATTAATCAACGAAATGAAGGAACAAATGTACAGAAGGATGGCTGCATGAACAGGACACATTTTAGATCAGCAGAATTCTACTCCACACAACGAAAAAAAATACTAAATCAAAATAGGTAAATAATTCAACTCAATGGAAATTATAAGCAGCTGAGTTTACAACGATAACCGCTGAAAGTAGCGATTGCTGTCCACTTTCCCAGGAAACTGTTCGCGATTAGCCACTCATTAGTAAACATGGCGGTTCTTTCAAAAACACAGAGCTGTGATACTCACGACTTATCTGAGAGCCGTTATGATGCATTTTTCCCTTCTCAGGTAAGGCTATTTTCATTACATTTACTTTATTTACAAAGAAAAAAATTTAGCTAAACCAAAAGTTATTTTGCTTTCAATCGGAGTGAAATCGGGCGACTGAAGCCAGAGCATGCATTCAATGCATGGTTTCAAAACACAGTTGCCCAGGCATCAATGATTTATTTAATATGCCTATTTAATCTTACGCATGTAGACAATGAACACAGGCCTTATTCATTTCCAGTCGATCCTGACAACTCCCGGAATAAGAGCAAATCTCCGGTTACCCTGTAGAAGTCACATAATTTCCCGGAAAGAAGTAACTAGGGATCATGTTCCAACATTCAGATTCCCTGTTTTCCAAAAATCTAAAATCCATCATCCCTGACATTTTTCTTTTTGAGTTTATTCAAAGACAATAGATTCTTGTTGCGGCTCAGTCAGGTTTTGAGGGTCAAAACGCGAGGCTGGTTTCCCAGCCCTAGGGCCTAACCACTTTTTCTTGGAATTCAGAAGGTCATGTGGTCAACGGGACTGGTAGGCAATTGCGTCAGCAATAATACTGTTTTACTGGAACTGCAATGTGCACTTAGCTGCTTGCCAAAAAATTTAAAGTACAAAACTTTGGAGTCTCGTTAGCACTATTATATTTACATTACATATACATTTAAAAGTTTTTTAGAGGAATTTTTAAGGTTGCTAAGAGGTAATGCTTCCGGCTAGTCGCTAAAACTTGCGGCTAATAATTTGTCTACATTCAAATCGTTCGCGAGTAATTTAACTTCGCAGTTCCAGTAATATTTGCGACGTGTTTGGTTACCTATCAAGATGGCTTCCGAAGCCGTGGTCTGGTGGTTGGGTCTATCTTTGCCAGGTTCGAAGGAGCAAGGTATTATGGGACGGTGGGTACATCCCTTTGAAATTCTACTCATTTCACCGAGGGTGATAAAGGTAGTTTCCTGTAATTTTTACGGACTAGTTTTTATAGGGACGAGTTTACTCAGAGACAAAACAAAGCCCGATCTTCTATGAGCAGCAACCTACATTACGGTTTTTTCAGATTAAAATTGCAAAATCTTTCTTATTTCAATGGCTTACACCGGTTAAAATTCTCATTAGACGTAGATATACTTTACGCTAGACCACTGCACGCGTTGTATCTGTCTTCGGGACCATTTTTATGCTAAACTGACTCAATTTCTCACATAACTATGTTCTTGAATGAGGTTCTTAATGGGGTGATGACTTTTACGGCTAATGGTTCACTCCCTTCCTTTGTGATTAAGAGTAAAATAAAGTTTGAATTTTTTTTTACGACTGTGGGTTAAAATATGACAATTTGTGCGCCTAACGGCTATTTTTTTTGCGGGCCGTTTTACGGCTAACGGTTGACCTCATTGAGACCCTCTTGAGTCTGTTCTTGATTACTATCTCTCACACCGGCAGGTTATGGAAGCGCTTGTCCTCCCACGCACTACCGCTGATTCACCGTTGCTTAGGGAAGACTGCAGGCCTATTTCACCGCTTCGCTATGTTAAATACGTGAATAGCTGGCTTTTGATCAGAAAAGTGACAGGAATACTTTTTGAACGATGACTTGAGTAAAGTTAGGTGCGACGAACGATAATCTGTCAAAGGTAAGAGAAATGAAAGTTTAATATGATTAGAGGGGATAATGTTCCCAGGTTCTAAACAACCTCGATCTATAACAATACAATACCTTTAAAATTCCCGGCATGAGACTCACACACGCCAACATTATTTTTCGAATAAATTTCGCTATTGACCTGAGCCTGTCTTTCAGATTTTTATCTTAAAGTACTTTTCTATAGATATATCCTGGAGAGTTATACAAGATTTTCACTTCTGAACATCAAGACTTAGCGAGAGTAACAGGTGTTACAGGTAGAATATTCAGGTTGACACCCCAGTGCAACTCGTATAACACTAGCGAACATCAAAGCGGATGGGAAGTGCACAGTTTACCCAGTATTGGTTTGATTATACACTCTGGCTGCAAAAACAAGTTAAACTTGTCTGTGTCTGTCCATAGGTAGAATTCTGTCGTTCTGTTCAATTTTAAAGTTTAGCTGACATGATTTGTAAATTGTTCATTGATTGGCGTAAACAATACCAGAACCGACTGAGGCTGTTAATATATCTCTTATCAATTTTAACGCTATGGAAGTTAGAGAAATAAAACCCGACAAAAGTGATCTCATCCAGCCACTGGCTGTAAATTAAGGTAATTTGGTATTATCAACATCGCTCTGACGAAGGGCTAACGCTCAAAACGTCAGCTTTTAAACTCCTAACGGTGGCCAATTTACGTTATCGACTCAGTTGATAATACCAAATTACCATGTTATATTCTCTTACTGACGCAGCACCATAGTTTCTTTAGAAACTTACCCCCTTTATTGGCAACAAATTAGTCTTGAGGCGTCTTTTGTTTATCTTTCTGTACACTACTCAATCATATCATCGAAAAAGACTTTGACAGTTTACAAAGTATTGGTTTAAAGACTCTTTGGCTCCAAGAATCAAGTCAAACTCGTCTGCCTCGTTTAATCGTTAAAATCGATAAAATCATGTCGCACTGCTAGGAGCCCATCAGTGTAATGGGCTCCTGGTACTGCCCAATTTTTGAGTCCAGCTAAGATGATTAAAAAATTTCTGTCACGGTAGTAGCTCTAAAATAATGATATTTCAACAGGAAAACTTTTAGAAATGTTTATTCTCGACCCAGTTGGAAAATATGTCACTTAAGATAACGATGTGGCACGTGACGTTTCAGTTTCGTGCTACAAATTTTTTGGGGGGCCATGAGGTTGCTTTGTTACACGTCACCTAATGAAGGACAGCGCTTTGCTGTGATTGACTGTTTGCAAAAACTATGATTACAGCCTGTGTAGCTGGCAGTTTTTTAGCACTCGACGAATGTTTAGGCGGCAGATCCGCGAAAACGGCCATCAGGAGTACATTCCGCGGCGTTGTCGCTTTATGCTTCAAAGCGTAAACGTGACTGCCAACCTAGCGGGACACTGTAATCGGCGCATTTCTTTCATAAGTTCTCGTAGAAGTACGCAGCTGCACGACTCCCCTGTCGTTTAAATTTGATCGCGGGCATCCACGCTTTTGGGTTATCAATGGTTTACCGCTGACTAGCCTGACAGCAAGCTCTCGTGTTTGGGTTTCTTCTTCTGGCCCCTTTTCCGGCACAACCGCATACTATGGCACCAGCAGCCATTGAAACCCCTGTAATCTCCTCTATGGTGTTGTCTGGGTGAACTGGGTCCTATGTCAATCTCCCAGCGTCCTGCGCGTGTAACAACGAGGTTTCAAATCAATAAAGTTTGCTTCGTTCCATTTCAGATAATATGTATTAGCGGTTATGGAAACGGATGACGATGATCTCGAATCGAAAGAGATGGGAGTCGATACGAAAGGAAAAAACATACGCAAAATAGTTCTGAAGTATCTATTTTTCCTCCTGTCGCTGGTCTTTGCCGTGGCATTAGTCGGCGTCGTTACACAGTTCGATTTTTCACCGTACTTCACGGAGCACGCGCAAGAGCTGTCTAAACACCGCACCAGGGGGGAGGAGGTAGAGTTTCATGCCGTTAGTAACATTGAGAAGTTCCCTCATAAAGAGCAACGCCTTCCAAAGGATCTGAAACCACTTAGTTACAAACTTGATTTGCGAGTGAATTTGACAACGCTTAAGTATAGGGGAGTGGTCAAGACAAGAATTCTCTGCGAGAAAACAACTCGTTATGTTATCCTTCACTGTGGAGACCTAGAAGTTTTGAACGTTTCCGTTACAGCAGAAAACAATCACGACATAGCTATCAACAGAATACTTGCTTTCAAGGAATACCAACAGCTTTGTGTAGAGCTGAAGGGAGATCTTTGTAGGGGAGGGTCGTATTTCGTTACTATTCAGTTCAAGAATAAGATTTCTGATAAACTGGAAGGATTTTACAAGAGTTGGTACCGCAGTGAAACAGGAGAAAAAAGGTGTGTGGTCGTTTCAATGTTAAAAAATTTTCAGAGGATGTGCAAAATATTACGATTTAATTCTTTGATTTCTTCAATGGATAAGCTATGCAGTTAAATCTTTTGAGAAAGCGTTAGTTCTATTGAATAGCGGACGCCTTTACATCCTCACGCATTTGTTTTTCTGTCGTAAGAAATTGCATAAAAGGACATTAACAGCTATTGTAGCGCTCAATTCACCAGAAGAGACAACTGCCTGGGAACTCCAACTTAAACAGTTATTGTGGGCAAAACAGTTCTCCATGCGGCTAATTTGTTGGCTTGACCTTTTTGCCATTTTTGGGAAGAAAGATTTTGCCTTATTCTTATCTTCTATTTCGACGTAGTTTCTTTTCCTTGTTTGCAACAGAACATTTTGCCACATCAGCACATGTGCATTTATACCTCTTAACACTCCTACGTTTTTGTTCCTCCACACAGGATGCTAGCAGTGTCTCATTTTGAGCCTGCGCACGCTAGGAAAGCATTTCCCTGTTTCGACGAGCCCTCTTTTAAAGCGTCCTTTAACATATCTATAATTCACGATCCTCAACTCTACGCCCTGTCAAACATGCCCCGGGCCCGGCTCGTGACCAGAAAGGATGGACTTGTGGAGGAACATTTTCTGCCCAGCGTCAACATGAGTACATACTTAGTCGCCTTCGCAGTGGTTGACTTTAGATATAAAGAAAAGATGACCAGCTCAGGAGTATTGGTATGTTTAACTTTATCCTAAAGCTTGTTGCTAAGTATAACAGTAATCAAGACACGTTAACCGTTGTTGGTGAATGGAACTTAACTTTCTTTCGAAACTAGTTTGTTGTCATCAATATCGATCTATTCGGTTGAGAGACCCGTAATTATTTATAAGGACGGGGAGGGGGCGTTGGAGGAGCTGGGGAGGGGTCGAAGAAGTTTTGGGGGGCTGTCGGAGGAGATTTGGGGGAGTCGGAGGAGTTTTAGGTGGGGCTGGAGGAGTTTGGGGGGCGGGGTCGGAGAAGTTTTGGGGGATCGAAGGAATTTTGGGAGGTCGGAGGAGTTTTTTTGGGGGGTCGAAGGATTTTTGGGAGGTCGAAGGAGTGTTGGGGGGTCGGAGGAGTTTTGGGGGAGTCGAAGGAGTTTTGGGGGTGTCGGAGGAGTTTTGGGGAGGCCACAGGAGTTTGGGGGGATGGTCGGTGGAGTTTAGGAGGGTTGGGGGGGGGTTGGGGGATCACATGGTTCTCAGGGGAAACGGAGGGAGGATCAGTCGTCGCTAACAGAGTAAAAAGAGGGGACTGTAGAAAATTAACTGCCAGGGAATGACGATCATCATAATACTGCAAGTCTTATAGGGGGATCCGGTAAATTTTATTGTGACCCAACCAAAATCCTTCCGGGACAAGGCAGGGTTCACGAAGCAGATAATTCCGATCGCATTAGTGGCAAGACCTGATTAAAGTGTTCCGCGAAAGATCGCATTAAAAGCTTTATCAAGAAAATTTCTTACATGAGTTTGGGTCTTAAGTGCGCGAAAAATAAAAATTCGGACATCGCATGAGTATCATTCACCACATTAAACGCGCAACAATAATATATTTTTAGCAGGAAATGTCGAGGAGAAGTTTGTCCGTAAATAGGTATGTAGCTACAGCAACTACTAGAAAGAAATTGCAAAGAAAAATACTGGTTTTCGAAAATCCTTGTAAATAAAAAAAATTAGTTTCGTGACTTCAGCTCATGTCACACTGAATGACGCTGAAATACGTACACTGTTGGGTCTCCCACGTCATCAGTAAACAGTGGTACACAACGTCATATAAAGGCAAGTCAAACAGTCAAAATGAAGATCATTTGTGCTGGTTTGAGTAAAACAGGCACGAAAACATTGGCTAAAGCTTTGAGGATCTTAGGCTATACCGTGTATGATTATTTTGAACACGAAAGCTTTCATGCAAATGAGTGGCTTGCTATCCTCTGCGAGGGTAAAGATCCTGATTTTATCGCCATGTATAGAGATGTCGACGCTGTAACAGATCTCCCAGCGGCGGATTGGTTTCAGAAAATCTTCGAAGCTTTTCCTCATGCAAAAGTCATTCTTTCTCTGCGAGATAACGAAGAGGTTTGGGTGAAGAGCTTTTCTAAGCAAGTTGAAATCTTGACGACTTATGGTGGATTTGTAAACAGAGTCTCTCTTTTTTGGCTGAGACCGATTCTTGGTGTGATATCCGCCCCGAGTAAAGCAGCTGAAACATGGAAGAAATCAACTTTCGTTCAACTGGTCGTAAGGGTCTGCTATGGTAGCTTTAATTCGAAGTCGACGTCACTTTTTAAGAAGAAATACCGTGAGCACAACGAGAGAGTGCAAGCTGTTATTCCGAAGGAAAGGCTGCTGATCTACAACGTGAAACAAGGCTGGAAACCTTTGTGCAAGTTTCTTGAATGTGACATGCCTGAAGAAGAATTTCCAAGGGAAAATGTCGCATTATCTACCACCCACCAAGCAATTTCAGCCGAACTTGAAAAAGTAAAACGGAAGTTATTCATCGTGCTGGCGATTTGTGCGCTTCTTGCATGTCTGTTTTATTTAGTGTTTTTTCATAGGAGCGATAGCGATTTTTGAAACTTAGACTTGAATTGACGCGAATTAGTCGAACGTTTTTATGATTTTTTCAACCTAGATATAGTAATCATGATGTGAGTGAAGTTCTTCTTGTAACTTAAATTGTGCAACATATATTTGTTCGAGAACTGTGCTTCAGGCAAAGTGACTCAGTTGTCTTGGACAAACGATACCGATGTACACGTGGCATTTTGAATAAATAAGTATGTAACAACTTTATTTAAAGAGGGTGGCACATAACGGTATAACTGATAAACTAGTGGTCCTCTATCTAAAATTAATATTAAATTACTAAGATACATCCAGGATATATTTAAAAATAAGAATATCATTAAAATTTTAAAATTTTAAAATATTTAAAACTTAAGAATTTAAAAATATGCAAAATATGTAAAAAACTTTAAAAACGAGGAGAGATATGTACATAAGGAAGGAAACTGGGATTTAAAGGGCGATAAGACACTAATTAATCGAATTAAGCTAAGTATTTCTGGATAACAAATATTTTCGGACAGAATATTTAAAAGCGCAAATGGACTCTTTCTTGCGAATATCTAAAGGAATGCTGTTCCAAAGTTTGGCTCCACTGACTTGAAAGGATCTACCCCCTTCTGCTTCTCTATTGTAGGAGGGACACACCAAGTTGTAATTATGACGGTCCGAGTTCTTAGTTAATAGTTTCGTTATATAACTTGGACAGCTGTTTTCATCGTCGTGATACTTTTTTACAAATGTCATCGATATGTTCGGTAAAATTCAAGTGACTGTCTAGTTTCACTCCAAGTAGTTTCTGTGAATTGACTTGCTCAATCTCGCTACTGTTACATGATATTTTGAGAGCCGTATCTAAGGCTTTCTTCTCCAGGCGTTTTCCAGTTACAAGCAGACTTTTCTTTTTAGAGGCATTAAGTACCATCTTATTGCCATATGTCCAGTCAGCAATCTTGTTTATGTCATGTTGCAGCCGCTGCTGAATTGTAGGTAGATCTGAAACCGCAGCAGAAGTACTTAAAGTGGTGTCGTCTGCGTAAATGTCTAAAATTGACCGGGAGACTGACTGGGGGAGAACATTCGTAAAGATGATAAATAATAGTGGCCCCAGCACCGATCCCTGAGGAACACCGTGTGTGATCAGTCTGTATTCTGACTGCACTCCATCAATATAATAACAACTGCGCTCCTTCTACCCCTTAAGTAGTTCGTTAGGATGAGGAGTTCCCTAGAAGTTACGCCGTATGCCTTAAGCTTGGACAGGAGTATGTCATGGTCAATTATGTCAAACGCCTTCTTGTAATCGACAAATACAAGCCCATGGGCCAAGTCTGACAATAATTGATCCGTCAGACATATGAGCGCTGTTTCTGTGGAATGGGATTTTCGGAACCCGGACTGCAAATTGTATAACCATTTGTTATTTCTTATATAGCTATACAAGGCTTGGTGGATATGTTTTTCAAAGATTTTCGAGAGTATAGGGAGCACTGAGATTGGGCTACAATTGTTCTTGTTATCTTTGCCTCTTCGCCCCTTGTAAATGGGCGTAACTTTGGCAGTTTCCCACACTGAAGGGAAAGTACCTGTATCAATGCAGTGATTTATCAGTCGACTCAGCGGCAAGGAGATTGCAGGGGCAGCTATTTTCAGTATCCTTGCGACAAGTCCATCAGATCCGGTAGCCTTGTGGGATAGCATGTGTTTCAGCAGCTCCTCAATCTTTTGCGGTGTGATATGTGGGATAGTGAACTGCGCCATGTTAACGCCGTTTGTGAGGTCCTTGATGTACTTGCAAGGAAACTGTGAGGTTGTGTTTGATGGTAGATTTCGCAGCAATTCTAAGGGTTGCTTCGCAAACCAAAGGTTAAGGCGCTCTGCAATGTAGAGTGTACTTGTGATCACTTCGGCTCCTTCCTTCAGTTGACTTATAGAAACACGGTTGTTCACATCTTGTCAAGTTAGATTCCTGATAAGGCTCCACGATCTTTTAGGATTATGTTTATGTTCAGCAAATTGGTTCTTGAAGTATTGCTCTTTGGCACTCCTAATTAACTTACACACCTCATTCTTAGCGCGTTTGAAAGAAGCCCAGTCAACAGGACTTTCAGAAATTCTAGCTTTCTTTAGCAGTTTGTCTCTTTCCTTCATGGCTTCGTTAATTTCTGTAGTGAACCAATTTGGCTGGTTTCTTTTTTTTTCACTCTTTTCTCTTTCACAGGTATCTGAAAATCAAGAACGACAGTAAAAATTTGTATCAGCTGTCAACAATATCATCAGTGTCCTCGAAAGCACTGTCCCATGGGGCATCACTCAACTCATCTACAAATTTTTGGGCATCTAGGCGTTTCATGTCTCAGTAGGAAAAGGTGTTAATCAGATTTTTGCTTTGCGAAGTCTGACCTCTGTAGCGTCGAACCGCCATTGTTGGAAGGTGATCCAACATTCCGATATTCTTTGTTTGTATACACGTACGAAAATGGTAGTGTCGTTTGCCAATATTTTCATGGCGGAAATTGAAACAAAATTAAACCAACAAAGCGAAACCAAGCCTAGAGAATAGAAACGTTACATAGTTGACGTTTTCACCTTTTGGGATTGCGACACAAAAGAGGTAGATCGGTTTATTAAACGAGCTAACTATTTTCACCCTACTATCAGATTCACGGCCGAAATATCAGAGAACCAAATCACTCTCCTCGATGCCACAGTGTTTAAGTGAGAAAGATTCGCAAGAGATTCCATCTTGGACATCAAAACCTATTACAAGGCGACCGAGACCATCCAATTTACGCATTTCGCCTCGTGCTACCCACCAGGCGTTAAATATGGTTTCATTAAGGGCGTAGCAATAAGATTGCCTGTCCGCGGCCTGGCAATTGATTAGTGTGCAAACTATGTTCGAACCAAGTCCTCCTTTTGCCAAAATTTTGGCATTGACAAAAGCTGTTTATTCTAACCCCTCTGCATTCTACGCCACACTGCTTTTTTACCGCAATTCTCGACAACAACACAACAGTAGGCACATGCAGACAGAGACTGCCTTTAATTTGAATTCAAGTGTTTTCTATAGTTTGCCTCTATGTTTCGCATGCCTCGTACGCCTCGCATCAAGAGTCATGCGTACTGGTGACACTTATTAATGACATGCTGTGGGGTAGGGGGGGGGGGGGGAAGGAGAGAAGGAAGAAAGGAGATGAAAGAGAGAGGGGAGAAGAGGCACTAACAGCTGTTAGGGAGACTCACAGCCACATGACTCGGTGTACGTAGAGTAACAAATGATGGTTTTGATCCAAGCCTTCAAGGCTTCTGTGGGTTTGTAGAATCATCGGAACCTACTTATGTAAAATTTATCAGCTACTGATGTTAGGGCTTAAATAGATTTACATTCCAGGCAGAATAAACATCGACATTATAATTTTGTATAGGAGATTGAGTAAAAGGAAACGAATCCATTGAAAGATACAGCCCTTTTCATTGTGGTGATCAAACACACAAACCCTTGAGAGTGATGAGTAAGGAGGTGATCGTCACAGGAGACCTTCGATTAATGAAATTGTCAAAAAAAAAAGTGCCCGCCCAGGATGAGATGGATTAAAGTTACGCCGAGAAGCCATTGTAGGGAGGAGGGGGGAGGGGGGGGGGTAGGGAGGAGAAGGCAATCGGCTGAGCTGCCCTGTTACGTTGGGAGTATAAACAAAAAAATTCAAAGAGGGTTAAAGGGGAAAAATCTTAGGCGGGTTGTTCAAAGCACGTTTAAGCAAGCCGGGGGATGGAGTGAAAATATAATAATGATGAGGAATTTAAATATATGGTGAGGAATTTGAATAGCACATTATTCATACTAATATGCTCTAATGCGCTTTACAACACTTTGCGGGAGACCTTGGCTAGACTTCACTGGGCAGTTTACGATTTTGTAAGGAATTTTGCAGGTACCCAGATGTGATGTTTAGCTTCTGCCTCTTGGTAACATAAATCTTCACCGAATGTTAGCTCTGCTATTCGTTTGTTTTCAGCGAAAAACCAAATCAAGGTTACATTTAACACCTGATTAGCACTATCCTCCTTTTGAATAACTCTCTTCATAGTACTCACTCATTTGTGTTCATTGGCAGGTTAGGGTCCATGCCCCACCTAGTGATTTTGACCGTTTGGAATATGCACTGGATACTGGTGTTAAAGTGCTGTCTTTTTATGAGAAGTTGTTCGGAGAGCCCTTCCCTCTCCCCAAACTCGGTGAGTCAAGCAGCTACCATCAAGGTTCCCAGGCAGAAGCGAGTTTCGATGTGAAACGCTCTTTTCGAACGAAACCGAAAAAACACCGTCAGTGTGCCTGTTTCATTACCTGAATAACATCGACTTTCACTTAAATCGCCGGGCGTAAAATTTTCCTTCCAAAGTTACATCATCATTGCACAGGAGCGTCACATATGGAAATTCCTATCTTAGCAGTATGCAGAAATTTTGTCACCATAGACTTAGTTAAAGGGCCAGCCTGACATGAGTCTCCTATAGCACGACGGTAGAGCATCCGAAATACTAATCGCAAGTCGTACGTTGTCTACGTGCGACTGCTATGGGAACACTCGGAGTTCTTTTTTCTGAGGATGCCTGTGTCATTTCGGCTTTATAAGATCGACTTTCACTTAAATCGCCAGGTTTAAAATTTTTCTTCCACACTTACATCATCATCGCACTATCCTAATAATCGGAAGGTCGTACGTTGTCTACGTTCGACTGTTATAGGAGCACTCAGAGTTCTTTTTCCCGAGTATGCCTCTGTCATTCACTGAATAACCCTCGTTGTTCACTGAAACCGAACTATCTTTTGCGTGTTTTTTGTCTCTTTATTCCAGATCTGCTGGCTGTTCCCGACTTCCTTAATGGTGCAATGGAAGAGTGGGGCCTAGTAGTATTCCGACGTGCTCTACTTGTGTATGATGAACAATTTACTTCGACTGATGCCAAAGTGAAAATGACTAAGGTTATAGCGCACGAGTTAGCTCATCAAGTGAGTCCCCTCTGCCAATCAGTCTGGATCTTTTTCCAGTTTTGTCAATTGGTTTAAGGAGCCTTTTACCCTTTGACCCCTAAGAGTGACCAGCATCTAATTTCTCCTTACAATATCATTACTCATTAAGGTCACGAGAATGAAGGAAATGATCACCAACTAAAGAAACATTTGATTGTTTAACAAATTCTCCTTGTCAGCACCTAGGAAATGTATAGAGAACAGAATGGAGAATATATAAACTGACATTAGGGTGTGAAGGGTTACGGCTGGCTTCCTCTAGTTCATTACCATTGTCACATTCGCCGAAAAAAACGTAACCAACGAGTGGTTTTTCAGTTGAATGTTACAAGTCTGCTTCGTGAAAACTGATTGTTCAGTTCTGCCGTGGCTTTTTGGGCTGTAAGAATCAAACAAGTAGCGATGGTCATTAACATTCAACTGACAAACAACTTCTCGCTTGCTTCTGATGATGACTTCGGCGCAGGTTGTCAGAAAGTTAAATGGGTAAACTTCTAAGGAAGCTGTGGTGCTGCGTCGGTCAGGGGGTATTACAAGATAATCCCTCTTTGGACCTGTGCTCAATGCTCTGACGAAGGACTAACGTTAGGTTGAGACTCTCTTTACGGCAGCCAATTTACGCTAACAACTCACTTGATTAAACCAATGGTCTTTTGAATGGTCAGTCTCGGTCATCAATAAACAGTCATTCTCAGGAATAACAGGGTAATTTGGTATTATCAACTGAGTTGATAACGTAAATTGGCCACCGTAAAGAGTTTAAAAACCGAGGTTTCGAGCGTTAACTCTTCGTCATCGCTCTAACGAAAAGTTAACGCTCAAAACGTCAGCCTTTAAACTCTTTACGGTGGCCAATTTACGTAATCAACTCAGTTTATACTACTAAATTACCTGGTTATACTCTCCCACCGACACAGCAGCACAGTTTCTTCAGAAACTTACCCCCCCTATTCTCAGGAATACTCTTATCTTACCCGGGGGATCAGCCTACACGTTCGGCTGTTAATAACATGCTTTAACTATTTAATCGTTTCCAACATATTGCTTTTATTTTAAGTGGTTCGGCAACCTGGTTACACTGAGATGGTGGAACGACTTGTGGTTGAACGAGGGATTCGCCGTCTTTGTCGAGGATGAATTTGGAGCTAATTATGTGATGAATGGCTGGGATATGGTAAATTATGTCTAACATGATGGGGCTCAACCGCTCTATGTCTTTGTATTTTCCGCCTAACCAATCTGTGAAGATCATTGGGTGCTGAAAAGACAACGATATCGCTTGTGATCCTTCGGTGATCACGCAATTCCAACGTCCCTAATTACCCGATTCATTTCTAATTGTTATTGGCTATTGCTGTCGATTTTAATCGATATCTAGGGTCTTATCTGGCTTGTAACTAGACGTGGGCCGAGAAAAAGTCAAAACTTGTAAGGGTTGTTGTGAAAAAGAAAATCAATCTTACTGAAAAACGACCTGTGAACATCGATGACAATCGAAAAACAACCGGTAAATATCTTTGATAACTGGGGAATCAATCTTGTCAATAGCCTTGGAAATGTAGATTGATCGTTGATTCCGAAAAATTGTATCAATGGTCGAAGAAGCAGTTAAAAGATGGGTTGTGGAACACAAGTTCGTTTTGATCTTTTTCTGTTTTGTATTTATTTTTAGCGTGAAACAGTTGTATCTACCAGCTGGAAGTCTGCCTTACACGGTGACTCCATGTGGTCTTCACATCCAATCAGCGTTGAAGTTCAGAAACCGGAAGAGATTGATGACATATTTGACGCCATATCCTACCAGAAGGTATTCAAGGATATTTTTAGCTGCGGATTAAAGTCATTTTATTGTGAGGTCATTTCCCTTAAGAAGGAGAATTCCTAAATAAGGAGGACGGGCATACTGCAAGATACCCAGGAAACCCAGGAAACCCAGGATACCTAGAATACTCAGGATACTCAGATTAGCTCCTTTTCCTTTTTTTTTTTTTCTTTATTTTTAAAGAGCTGCCCCTTAGGGGGGAGGGGAAGTGGAGGGGGAGACTCTCTTATCCGACCTAAAATTTGAATAGTTAGCTATTTGCGTCTTGAACAGAATGTCTTTTCAGCGGCAAGACTTGATCAGGGTGTAAACTTCACGTTACCCAATCTACCTGAGTGGCACTAACAGTTGTTTTTAGTCTCATGATAAAATTTGTCTGAATATGCAACACAAAGTCAACTCTCCGTTTATACAATCTGGTGTCTTAAATAGAGGAGCTAAATCAGGGTCGCGGGAAAGTTTTTGCGTTTGTAACAGTATTTCGAAAGTCAGCACTAATTAATTGTTCGTTGAGATATTTATCTGTCTTTTTTTTTTCGGTAGGGTGCGATGATTCTCCGTATGCTGATGAACTATCTTGGTGTGGAAAAGTTCTTGAATGGAATAAAGGTAAACTTGTCAGGGACTCCAGTTTCCCAAACGTAGTTGCCATACATAAGCTCGAAATTAGGCCTAAATCACCCTTTTTTCGAGAATACTTGGCAAGTAAGTGGACGATCACGTGGAAACTTACCAAAAGCATAGGCTTCTCAGGGTTGGGGGGTGGGGGGTGGGGTCCTGGGGTAGTGCTTCCCCTTCATTTTGTGAGATGGTTCCTTTTTGAAAGTTAACCATACTAAAGGTAGTAAACTTGCCCAAAGCAATAACGGATTATCAGATAGCTGGTTTAACATTACCCTTAAGTGAATGGAACAACTCATTTCCTTGAATGGACATCTTTTAATAGGGCTACTTAGAGACCTACAAATACGGAAACGCTGACGCAGAGGAATTGTGGGATGCCATTGGCGAGGTTAGCTTGTCATATGCTGTTCATAGTTTTATCAATGAAATGAATGTGGAAAAAGTTATTTTGACAATTAATAAATAATAATAATAATAATAAATGTGCCCATTAAACTCAGTTGGTTTTCCATACTCAATTCGCGGGATAGTTTTGTCACCTTACTTTTGGAAATGCCGTTCCACAGAAACTATGCGGTATGAACACTCTGGGCGATGGGCCCCATTTGAATCGTTGGGGTTCTCATCTTTGCCATCAGCCGACCACTCGTTGCGCTTTTAAACTACGCACTTAAGGGCCAAAGCTCACATTTCATTCTGCAGAGAGTCGCTTTCAGTATTCTTTAATTGTGAATTATATTTGTGGTGAGAACGAATTCTTTTGGAAGTGACATGTACAGTGGCCCCGAAATCTGAGCTGCGCGTTACGATCCAACTGTAAGGAAAGACTGTTCTTCTCCAGGCTTTCCTTCAGTAGCATCTGGGCTCTGAGTGAGATTGAATGATAAATTTGACCTAAAGATACAAGTACTGTTAAGATTCCAAGCTGCGCCATCTGTGTTTAAGATCAACTATGTCACCTCATAATTTTGCCAAGTTAAAACTGTGTTTGTTGTTTAATACGCCCTTAGGCCAGCGGCGATATCAACGTCAAGAAAATGATGAGAGTGTGGACGGACCAGAAAGGATTCCCAATCGTCAGCATTCGAAGAAAAGGACGCGTGTTTCATATTGAACAAGAAGACGTCCTTGACAAGCTGATGAAAGACAAGAAACAAGCGCAAAACAGGTAATTTGTCTTTTACCCAGGCAAAGGCTTTGACCGTCCTCTTTTAGCCTTTTAACTCCTAGACGTGACTAACATTTATCTTCTCCCTATAATATGCATACGCTCTCCAACAAACAGGTAATGAGAATGCTTAAACTTATCAAGTTGAAGCTTTAATTTGTACGGATCTAACACCAAACTCTTGTGACTAGTTTACAAGGAAATGTGTAGTGGCCAGAGGGGAGAATTCACAATCAGATCCTGGCAGATAAAGGGATAAACAAGTATTTGTTGTCTAAACACAAAATAAGCTTTCATTATTTATCTATGAAAAATGGCACCGAAAGAAAGGTGAAATGTCTCGACAGACGATAAGCCCGATCTTAACACGTTCAGTTGTCGTAAATCTCCTGGAACCAATTACGATTTGATCACTCATATACAGGGTTATAGCGGGTTTCGCCCATAACGAGTTTCGCACATATCGTTTCGCCCAGAACGAGAATGGTTTCGCCCAGAACAATAAAGGTTTCGCCCATAAGTAAAACTTCTACACTCTCACTCGGAAAACGTCAACCTTATAAACGTTTGTATGCACAGAATGAAGAAAAGTGACTTGACCTAAGATCATGAAATTTTGAAACGAACAAGTTACTGTTGAAACGAACAAGTCAATTATTTTTTTTTGTACACGGAAGATAAGTTCCGCACGCCAGCTTATGAATGAACATTGTATGAACAGAAAACAAAAGCCCGGTTACCGGGCTCATCTAAAGCATATGTCTAAAGAGGCCCTTAGCCTGGATAATCACTGACTGTCAGTCTGGGCGAATCGAATTTATGCCTGGGCGAAACCATTCTCGTTATGGGCGAAACGCTTCTTGGGCGAAACTCTGTGTGGGCGAAACCCGCGGATACCATATACAGGAATCCTTGTGAAACGCCTGAGTTTACCCAGTAACTAAAATGCTCGAAATTCATATAGCTTCTCTTAAATCTCTAGTAGATATTTGCTGCAAAGACTTATTACAAAACAGAAGACGAATATGGGATCGAGGTATTAACGAAACGTTTTTTTCCTGTAGGAAGAGGTGGTACTTGCCAATATCTTATTTTACGGAGTCAGATCCAACAGTACGTTGGGTTACAATACCTCCACACACGCGTAAGTATGGAAATTTTCCTTCCTTTTAGTTTTGTCCATCCCTCGCTTAGATAATTAGCCATTACCACTGTGCTTCTTAAGATGTGTACGATGTAGAAACATTTTAGAATCCAAATTATTCGCTGACAAGTTTAGAACTGTGGTTTGTTCTTCTGGTTTCTAGTCAGCGAGATTCGTGACAGCGGAAGGTGCGCGAGTAGCCTAAGAGGTTGTTCTGAGCTCACTTGCCGCTTTTTTTTTTTTTTTTTTTTTGACCAATAAACATTCTATTTTTATAAGAGGCCCGAGTAACTAAAAAGACATACCGAGGCTGTTTAAAAAAAGATATTGAAGCAGTTGATCTTGAACAGTTCACAACTATCCACCGAAGTTGAGGTGGCGAGTGGTGGGTATGTACCGAGCTGCGAAGCTAAAACAGTGACGTGAGATAATAGAGCGCAAAAAGATGAATTGAACTCATTTGATCCTACAACAGTTACAATATTTTTGGGCATGAATCCCGTGCATGTTGTTGAATATGGGAAATTGGGGAGGGAAATTCGGAGTTTGAGTAGCCAATCAGAACGCAATCCACTGTTTTAGTATATATTAAAATACTTTAACAAAAATTTAAGATATACCGCTCTAGTCACCATAACTGCACCGCAGCAATCTCTGGATTTTTCTGAAAAAAACTGCTTGGTCTTTATACAACAACTCCTTCTTCGTTCGTGAATAACTTGCGCTCCTGATGCTAACTGTTCGGTCATTTTTCGTCAGAATCTTACCCGTTAACAACAGTGTCTACTAGTGGCTGGATAATGGCTAATATCAACGCCACGGGGTTCTTTATGGTAAACTATGATGAGGAAAACTGGAAAAAACTTGCAGTACAGCTCAGAAAAGATCACCAGGTAAGATAGTGTTACTTCATTGTTACCGTTGTGAAATATTTTGAGGTTTTTATTTGTATGGTGTCAGAACGAATTATGGGGTGAGGAGTGGAGGAAGGGGGCGGGGGGGGGGGACAGGGGGTAGGCAAGGGAAGGCGGCAAATGTAACGGGGAGTATTATCACCCATTTCTACTTGTTTTGGAGACCAAGAGAATCTTTGGAAGGTTTAAATCAGTGTGGCAAGAGTGAAGCGATAAGGTAGTTTATTTACCTTTAAAATGCAATTTAGAAAAAATCTGAACAATTAGTTTAGTTGTGTTATCGTTGTGCACCATTTGCAGGTGTTTACTCCAAACGACCGAGCTGGTTTGATCCATGATGTTTTCACTCTTGCATGGTGAGTGATACCTGTTGGTATACTTGATACCATCATCATCATCAGGTCGAGCTTGCTCGGCTTAGATACCAGAAGCTTATAACCTAGTAGCTTATCACTCGTAGTTCCGTTGGTATCTACTACTTGTATATAATTCTTGTATGTTATTCTTCATGGTACCATTTCGTTCTTTATGCAATTTTTTCATGTTCTTTAGTGTTGTTAATGTATATATTTTTTTTGTAGTCAAGGTTTGCTTGACCCAGTCCTCGCTTTGAACCTGTCAACATACCTGGTGCGAGAAAAGCACCCAGTCCCTTGGGCGTTGGCGAGAGGTAAATCAAAGTGTCTCATGGGATTGCTCAGTAAAGCTCATAAACTTCTGTACAAGGTAACTTTTGCTCTGTTTGCTCACGTTACACTGACTTGAACAATGCTGTCTTTTGATGCTACGACTATGTTTAAGGTAATAATATCAATGATGCAAATTGCGTGGGAAAGTGTTCAATAGTGTTCACAAATTTACCTAAATAATAAAGACAGCGGTTTGATTTATTTGGCAGTAACTTTTTAAAAGTGTATCAGATGTCGGTTTCGAACGTAAACCATGTGGATGCGCTAAATTGTTCGGTTGTGAATCACTTAGCTGTTTACCATCTTTATCATGTTGCTATAACAAACTGTGTCATTCCTTAGAATAGAATTCTTATTCCATTTTTTTATTTCCATTTGTGAAATGTTCTGCAATTCTAAACTGCCTTCTTGCACTGAAAATTCTTACAAACATTCTTCCCAATATTTGTTCCAGAATTACTTGTGGTCTCTTCAGGATCATCTTATCCACTTGGTTGGCATGGAAGATACAGGGACTGACCTGGAAAGGTGCTTTTTATTTTTTTTCCCTTTTAGAGGAAATATCTAAAACAAACCAAGAACTAAGAGCCTTGCTAATATGTATCAAAAGAACTCAAACCATTTACTAGTCAGAAAATATCATTATCGCAAGGAAGCAATGGGCACAGATCCAAGCCCAACAAAAAGCCATACCAAATTTTTAACATTTGTTTTGGCTTCGTATCTTATTAGATGAGAGAGAAGTAGTAAGTTTTTATACCAATCAGGAAACGTGATAAGGAAAAGACAATGGTAGTCATGGATTCCCTTCTGACCCATTGATTTTTCCTCAGTTCTTGTATTTATGTTTCAGCAGCTAGAGCCTAACTCAGACTTCATTATTTTTTGCGCAGATTTTTCAGATATGATGTGTTATCCGAGGCAATGAGGAGTGGTCAAAGGAAAGAGATTAGAGAGCGTTTTATTCGCTTGTTTAACGAGCTGAAGGAGACCCCTCTTGGAAGGTAACGACTCCGACGCACTCAAGGAAATTGTGCAAAAAAAAAGCCGCAAAACAAAACGCAAACATTTTCAACCTCCAGTAAAATCAAAAACTCTGCAAGAAAATAGAGTGTCATTTCCTTTTTTTATCTCAGCGCAAATGAAAACTTTAGGTTTCTTCCCCTGACCCTTTTCATCCGGATCGCGGAATATTCCGGGCGCGTGTTTGTTCGTTGATGCGAACGGATCCTTGAATATTCGGGCGCGCGTGTATTCGTTGATGTGAACGGATTCCGGAATATTCCGGTCACGCATGTGTTCGTTCATGTGAACGGATCCTGGAATATTTGGGAGCCTGTGTATTCGTTGATGTGAACGGATTCCGGAACATTCCGGGCGCGCGTGTGTTCGTTCATGTGGGCGGATCCCGGAATATTCCGGTTGTATTTGTTTTTGTACATATGGACGGATCCTGGAATATTCCGGGCGCGCGTGTTGCACAGGTAGTCATAGAAATTAGTTCTTGGAAAAAATATCAGTTATTCCGAACCGCAAAGGTATTCGCCGAGAAACCATGTTTTCCCCCTGACTACTTGTCAATTTCTCGTCCTTCTGAATCGCTGAATTTTATTTTTTTTTCTGTCTCCTCCCCTCCTCAGTCTTCGAAGTGTAGGTCCGAACTTCCGGTACCTGGCTTTCTCATTTGGAGTAAACAAGTCGAGTGAGGAGGACTGGCACTACCTCTGGTCCGTTTACCAACAGTCTCCTTTTGATACCGACCGGAAGTTCTTGATGAGTGTTATTACGTCATTCAATACGGAAAACATTAGATCAAGGTAACATTTTTTTTCAAGTATCCTTAAACTCGGAACTTTCTTCTTGGGGACTTAAGCATTATGGTCCACTATATCGTCTTTCACTCTAGTTTCAAACACTAAGGTTGCAATGTGCCGAATTAGAGAGTACCTCGCAAAACACAGATGGAGAGTTCCCTTACAACATACACAAAGATAAAAGATTTTCTGAACCTAAATTGTTGAATACTAAAGAACTGACAACTTAATAGGAAATTTCCCGGTCGAAAACAGTCAGTCAGTTTGTCAGTGGATTCAGTCAGTGAGTTGGTCAGTCATTTAGTTAATCAGTTAGTCAGCCTAAGAGTTGTTTAGTCCGGTGATTAGTCAGTCTGTCAGTCAGACAGTCAGTGAACCATTCAGTCAGTCGCTTAGTAATTCATCAAGAATTTAGCCAGTTAATCATATAGTGAATCCGTCAGTCAGTTAGTCCGTCAGTCAGCCAGTCAGCCAGTCAGCCAGTCAGCCAGTCAGTCAGTCAGTCAGTCAATCCGCCAGTCAGCCAGTCATTCAGTCAATCAATCGGTCAGTTAGTCAGTCATTCAGTCAGTCAATCAGTCAGTTAGTCAGTTAGTCAGTTAGTTATCAGTCAGTCAGTTAGTTACCAGTCAGTTAGTTACCAGTCAGTTAGTTACCAGTCAGTCAGTCAGTCAGTCAGTCAGCCAGTCAGCCAGTCAGCCACTCACTTAGTCAGGCAACAAGGCGCTCGCTTAGTAATTTAGTCTGTTATTCAGCTAGTCACCCGGTCAGTCACGTAGTGATACAGTCGGCTAGCCAGGCAGTCAGTCACATAGAGAGTCAGTCAATTAGTCATTCAGTCAATCGTTCAGTCCTTCAGTCAAGCGTTAAGACAGTCTGATAAGGTTTGTGACGGACTCTCCATGTTCATTTTATGAATAGAAATCTCCTGTTCAGTTTGGATGAAAACAGAGTTCGTCCGCAGGACAGCTTGTTTTGGATAGAAATGATGGGTAAAGGGCGCGGTAAGATGGACGATAGATGGGAATTTATACTAAAACACTGGAAAACTCTCGCAAGAAGGTAGGTTCGTAATTACCTACCATTTAAACAAATGTAGCTTCTAGAAGAATTAAAAAATTGGCAACCCAGTTGTCATGAGCAATAGATCGCGCGATTCTTCTTGTTACTCACCAAAGGCATTCATTAAAGCCTAGACTTTGGTTTCTTCATCCATGATATGTTTTTTCCTACGATTTCAATTTTTCCTCTGCAAAGTGTCAAAATAGCAAGAGAACTGATTTATTTTTCGAGGCAGGAGGGTACGAAAACAGGGAAATCCAACCCTTTATTGTCTAATTTCTTGCTAAGACAAATGCTTTCAGGTCATGCTCTTTCGCCATCTTTTCTTGTAAGGCTCTTGCCGAATCTCGCCATTTGCTTCTCTCCTAGACCCCTCTCCCATTTTAATTTGCCCTGTTTTTCGATTATTCTCCATGAATTATTTAGTGTCAACCTTGTCTTGGCGACGTGGTTGGCCAAGTGTCCATCAAGTAACACGCATGTAAGTGCAAGGCTTTTCGTGTGCAACAATATCTTCACTCACATGTAAAGTCATTCTCTGGCAAGTGTATCTGAACGCCCAAACCATTTATCTCCTCTTCCTCCCCTCAAATTATCGAGGGAGAGCTGAATCAGATCCACTCTTTCTATCATCTCTACAGGTCTTGCTGTATTTCATCAATGATCAAATACACATAACATAACGAACGAATAAATATGATTTTGGCACTTCGTGTTGTTCTTGCGAAAACTATAGTTTGAACCGTAAACAGGAGAAACAGGAAAGGGCTTCAAGAAAGGGATATGATTGCTAGTGCGTATGTAATCTTTTGGTTTGTGTCCTGAACTGAATTTTATTTTTTATTAGATATGCTGGAAGCTACAAGTTTGGTAACCTTATCAAAGCGGTGGCTGGAAGTTTTCACTCAAAAGACCAGCTTAAAATGGCAAGTACATGAAATCGTTTCCCATCTTTCCACTTCCGTTGCATATTGTTAGCTACTCTATCAAACAATCGGTTAGGTCCCCTGAGGGGATCATACCCAACCCAACCTCATCAAAGAGATAAAATCATCGTTTACGTTCTGTGGCGTGTTTAGTGATCTGATATTTGAGGTATGATATGTAAGCAACCGGATAGAAGCTTTACTTTTTTCCTTGTGTATGATAATGGATATGAAGACATGCTCACGCTTATGTCCTCACATCACGATTCATTTTGCTAGGTTAAGAAAACCTTTCAATCCTTAACTCTCGGGGAAATTGCTGTCAGAGCTCAAAGCCAGACCGTGGAGAAAATACAACATAATATTGCTGGTAACCCTGCACATCTTAAGACAAGCGAAAAAAGAATAGTCAGATGGCTGAAAGACTACAAACGAATTTCCTGAAACGACGTCAGAGAGTTGTGGGAGTGAATCATTTTTTGAAAAAGTCCTTGAAGCGTAATGGGTACGCTTGTTAAGTTTGTCCAAGTTTATGGTCACAGCGGCAAACGTGTTGTAAGGAGACTCACTAATATCATATTTTCCCCATTGGAGGATGTTTGTTTTTGCTAAAAGATCAGATTTTCGTGATCAGAAACAAACTCTTATCGGTGAGTCTTTAGGTTCAAGGTTCAAATCTAAGGTGGTGTGTTTGGTCCACGATTCAAGTGGCTGTGAGGGGAGGTGATAGAAAATATACGATAAAACTATCTACTTAATATTCCCAAGTTATCGCAAAAAACTATACCCTACAGGAAGATAGAACGTTTATGGATATCCGATAGGCTTCTGTTCTCCCTTTTTAATTAAATCGTATTTTATCAATATTTCCATCACGTGCACTTCAAGTTTGCCATTACGAACATAATATTCATCCAGCAAACATAGGAAAATCAAGCTTGGCTCTGTTAGCGGTACACCGCAGTAAAACATATATCTGCAAGAAATATGTACCGTTAAATCGTCGAGCTTTTGTTTGTTGCTGAGCCTTTTATTGTCCATTCCTTTTTCCTATCGTGTTTTGGTTCGTTTTCTCGTTTTTGCTTCGCCTCGTCCATTCGTTGAGGACTTCGTGCGTTTGTTCGTCCATTCGTTCGTTTCATTGGCCTTAACTTCGTCTGTTTGTGCTTTGGTTCGTTTCCACGTTTTTGCTTTGTCCGTTCGTTGAGAACTTCGTGCGTTTGTTCATCCATTCGTTCGTTTGTTTGGGTTTCACTTTGTTTGTTTCTGTTTTGATTCGTTTCCTCGTTTTTGCGTCGTCCATTCGTTGAGGACTTCGTGTGTTTGGTCGTCCATTCGTTCTTTTGTTTAGGCTTCACTTCGTCTGTTTGTGCTTTGGTTCGTTTCCCTGTCTTTGCTTCGTTAGTTGGTTCTTCGTATCACTTATTCTTTCGCCAGTTCGTTCATTCGTACTAACCGTCTCTCTCTATTCAGACGCTTGCAAGCTTGTTATTTCTGTATACTTTCATGCTTTGGTTGGTCGGTGGTTGTCAATTCATAATAGCTGACCTGTGTGGGCAAGTCACAGCACAAAAGATTTTCAATCTAAAAAGTCAACAAAGCAACTCCTGCATGATTTAACTCACGGTTTTAAAATTATTAGCGCAGAATTGATTCTCTGCCGCTACTGTTGACGGTCTTTTAAGGCATATGTCTGTTTCTGTTTGCACATTAATCCCATCGAACCACTAAAATATTTTGTTCTAAATCACTTTTTTTCGTAAGAATTTTACCACGAGTTTGATACAATGAGATTGATTTATGATTTAGAATTATGCTTAAAGGAATCATCTTTAATTTTTTTGGTAAAGTCTCTCAAACATCCTTACCCTTTTAGATTTACATGTAAATTCTCCTTTAAATTTCATAACATTATTCTGGAGACAGGTGCTGAGAATAAACAACTTCATCAGCCGGAGAGGGTAATATTGATTTTGTTCGGTTACAAATGAGAAACAGAGTTAAGGGATTAAAAGCTCTATGAAGCCCCTGGGGGTGGGGCAAAGGCTTCTCCTGACGATTCCTGACTCAGATCTTTATAACTAATTGTTAAGTAATAGTTTGTAGTTAAGAAAAGTGCATTCGGATTTACCAACACGTGAATGTTTTCAAAAAACAGTTTAAACTGAAATACTCACAGCAGGAGACTTAGAAGAACTATTACGAGATTACTGATGCATTCATTTTTTCTGCTCTCTATTATTCTCTTCTCGTCCAACATTAATCGACAGTCGAATTCTGGTTACTTAAAAGACAACATTTTCAAAGCATTAGGTAACGAATGTTCATGAAATATTACCCTTGAGTGTCAGAAATGACGTTAACGTGTACGGGCGAGTGTGATAGTTGAATAACAGCTCTTTACACGGTCTTTCACTTTCAATAACACACTTTTGTTTCTTTCTTAACCCTTTCGCTCCTAAGATCTCATTAGTAATTCTCCTTACCGTCTGCCATACAGTTCTTATGATGATAATTCGGAGAAGTTGGTATTGGATCAACTTATGATCCCCTAATGGATATTTTTCATACTTCTCATCACTTGCCAGTTGATATTGTATTGATATTGTAAGGAGAAATTCTCTCTTGGTCACTCATGGGAGTGAAAGGGTTAACACCTCTATTCATTTTATTGAATATTAGTTTTGAGAATCTGGAGTTGCATCAGTTCAGTCTTGCCTCGTCGATTCCGTTCGTTATTCTTATCGCCTCTTTGCTGTAGGCTGCATCCAAGAGTGATATGCATGGTACCAATAAAGTTATGTCTGAAATCACTACTACACGTCAAAGGAGCTTTTAAAGAATTCGGCTTTTATTTTTCAATTACCTTTCCCATTATAATCACACCGGCTCTTATCCTCTACTATTAAACTTCTTTAGCAAACTGTTTTTCATAGTTAACAAACACTTTTAAGATTATTGCGAATTTGGTTCGTTCCAACGTTTAGCATGCACCGCTACATTTTTCTGGAAGATCCTTACTCTGTAACACGCCACCATTTTAGGTAATTTCCAGTATGTGAAGCAGAATATTTGATCTCTATGCTAATGGGCAGTTTTCAAGTTTGCTATACGATCTTATTGTACATATATGTTATATTGCATTGTTTATTTTCTAAATTTCGCGAAAGAAAATCTCACTGGTTTGCCGCTTTGCTAAGCAAAGCATAGACATAGACTTGAACAGAAAAAAGAGGTTCATAAGATGAGGAAAAAATGCGCAGAAATGTCTCTTAAAACGTGCTAGCCTGCTCTCCGTACTAGAAGATCTATTCTTGCATTTGTGAAAAGCATCTAGCACTGACACGGTGAATGGTTTTTGCAGTTTGTTTCGAACTTCGTGTTTTCCTTAATCACTTCGAATGAACAATGTATCTGTATGTCTCGCTTCTTTGCTCCCATAGCCGAGCTTTTGTCTTGTTAACAAACTGACAGAGTTCTTTCAGTTATGCAATTCTTCTTCATTGTCACCCTCCATCTTGCCTCCCGCGGCGAACGCGGGATCGAGGAAGCCATTTTTGATTTTATCAATCGGTGCTCCACTTCTAATCAAGAGTTCCGCACATTCGAAATTTCCGCTGATAACAGCAGCTTCTAACGGAGTGAAGCCCTCCGAACACTCCAGAGTCAAATTCGCGCCATTCTCGATAAGGATCTGCGCGCACTCTACGAAGCCTTCCGAAGCAGCCTCGTGAATCGGTAGCCTTCCGATGGAGTTCGCTTGATTCACGTTGACGTTTCCCTCTCGCAGTATCTTGGCCAGTTCCTCAGTATTGTTTTCCATCACGGCGGAAAGAAGTAAAATCTCCGGACAAAACGACACGGCCCTCGGAGGTTTTTGGCTTTCGTCGGGGCTTGCGAAAATCGGCATTGTTTGATATCTTCTTCGTACTACGTCGTCAACACTTCGGCGACTTCGCACGATAGCTTGCGTTAGTTCTTCCCCAGCTGAAATCTTTCTCTCTCTTGGTGCCGACTCTTCGGGTTTTGACCCATCCTCTGCTTTCGAAAGCGCTTCGTCCGGGCAAGAATACTTCCTCTTCTTCAGCTGCCCCCTGAACGACATTTTCCCTTTAATTACCTTCATAATAACCTCCCGTGCTACTTTATCAGGGAATCAAACAGGTGAACTTCCTGTAAACTGTGTGGACGATAGAGTGGTTTGCAAGGCAAGAATCTGCTAAGCTGCGAAAGACGATTTTGCGAAGCTTTTTTTGTGTTGATAACGATGTGAGCTAAGTTAGTAGGAATATCATCACGCCCTTTACACTAATAACAGCAATAATGTCAAACATCTAGAAAAAGCACTCAAAACGCAATGTCGGTAAAAACTTAAAAACAGAAACAATTGAAAATAAAGAATAGAGCGACAGGAGGGCGCGAGACTCCATTTGATACTTACATGCCCGGGGGGGAGGGGGGACTCATCTGAACGGACCTAATAGGGTAGCCATAACGAAAAGGACGTCTTTCTGGAGCTGGCATCATACACAAGTGGACAGGGATAACATATTCCATAGATTTGTGGAAGAAAACCGTCATTCAGATATTTTAAAGGGTTTAACAGGTGATTTAAAAAGTTTCTTAGGGGGAAACTGATTGAAGTCATTCAGTTAGTAACTTCAACGCTTATTTCTTTCTCTTTGGTTTGTCATTTAAGAACTTCTGTAGCTACACCAGAGGAGAACTGTCTTTTTGTTTTTGCGAAAGTGTACGGTGGAGTACTCTCTAACAAAACGTTGTTTGGTACCCCCCGGTTTACTAGCTAATAAGTAATTTGCTCTGTAGTAAACAAAGATTTCCCATATAGGGACGAAGACATCGTGTCGGAGCCCCTGCTGTGATAGGAACAACTCACACTTGCGTGTTTTCTAAACAGCCATTCGTAAAACACATGAAAGTAGTTTGATCACTGAGTCGGGTTCTGTAACGCCCCGTTATTGCAATGACACTTGGCTTAATTGTCATTCAACAAAGAGTCTTGCGGTTTTACAGGATAGAATTAAATGCAATTTGCGGTTAGCCTGTTTAGAGTTTTTTCTCGAAAGAGTGCGTTTATTCAATGATATTTTTTTTCTTTGTTCTTTTATCAAGGACAAGCTCGTTCTCCATCGTTAAGCGTCATAAAGAGTTATCTAGAATGATCAATAACCACCCTGTTTATCGTTTGTGGTGTTCAAAACTGTGTTAAACTAGAGTAAACACTTACACCAAACATTCTGTTCTAAGACAAATAACCTAAAATAGAAATGATTCTCAAAGACTGGATAATTTTCTGCAGGTGAATGGAGTCAGTCGTCCACTGATAAGACTTGTAGGTTGCGCCTGTGAAAGGTCTCGAAATCCATCTTCAATCTTCAGTTTGACTTATGAGACTGTAAATAAATGTTTGGGAATGCGTGCTGAAGTATTTTGTTCACTATGTGGCTTAATCGATTGCTGTTAATAGCTGATGACTGGTGTTGATAAAATCTAAACAAAAGCCTCCGTAAATTTAATTACAAAACACGTCAGGCGAAAGAATCTTTGCTTGCATTTCATTACATCTGGAGGTTTCAATGTTGCAAAATGTTTTGTTTGTCTCAACCGCGTTGATGATGTAAACTGGCCCCTTTAACATAATGAGCTCAGTTGATAAAACCAAATAATGTTGTAATGTACCCCACCGACGTAGCACCACAGTTTCTTCAAAAGCGTACACCTTGGTTTCATCGGTAGACTGCCTTTATTTCCAAACTCGTTCACAGTGATTTGAGCGAATGCTGTGAACGATAAGGAATCTTACCTTCCTCTAACAAAAACTGTTCTTGGGTTTGAGTGGACGCTTATTCGAGGGGGACACTTATTTGAGGTTGGTTGCTTATTAACTTTTCTCCAT